CTCGAGAAATCCAGTTGTAAACTTTAGCATGACTTTAGAATACAAACCGATTGTTTCTTTCAAGTTTCTAGTACATTTCGTCCTTCAATATTCCTTGGTTATTTTAAAGATAATTGAGCTAAAAACTGATTTTCGATATTACAAAACAAGAGGTTCTAGTCGGGAGCTCCCGACTAGGGCATATCCTAAACCCTCTTCTTTCCACAGGCGATAGGTATAAGATATAAAATACTTGATATATATATACTATTCTAGAAGCTTCATGTCAAGTTTGGAGACTCTAGCTCTTATTATTAACCAAAATTGCTCAAAAACAGGATTTCGATATCGATTTTTCTCGATTTCTTGGGAACGGGGCAGTTATCGAATATCGGTAACAAACTTGATCTGCGCGGGGACTAGGAGGACCTACAGCCCAAATTTTAGTCTCTAGCTCTTATAAGTTCTGAGATCCTTGCGTTCATACATACGGACAGACGGACGGACAGACGCACGGACAGACGGACGGACAGATGGACGGACGGACAGCCACACGGACATGGCTAGATCAACTCGGCTATTGATGCTGATCAAGAATACATACACTATGTGGTCGAAAATGCTTCCTTCTGCCTGTTACATAAATTTGCACAAATACATTATATCCTTTTTACACACTTTTAATGGGTTCAGGGTATAAAAAATCAATCAATTACTTGTATTAGGTAAAAATATTTATTGAAAAAATTAATTGTTAATATTACATTCTTGAAATAAACATAAAACAATCTCAATGCAAACAAAAAAAGATTTTCGTTAAGAGCCAAAAATTTTGCAATCTTGGGTAGATATTAACTGGAGTAAAAAGAACTCGATTCTTTCTCTGAGTGAATTCTGCATGTGTTTGCCCAATAAAGTGAAGACTGACATCTGCAGTCAGCCAAAATGGACAATAATGATGCCAACTTCAGCCAATGCATGCGATTAATTGGCCCACACTCTCCGCTCATGCCCCTTGCGTTCAACATATTTTGGGCCAGCTGCCATCACACGAAAAGGCTGGAAGTGACAGGAGATGCTTTGCCAGGGCAGGCTCCGTTTAGTCAGCAGCCGCAATGTTTGTACATAAGTTCTTGCCGTTGCCAGAGGCCAGGAGCCAAAAAGGATTCAAGCTTGAGGCCATGTGTCCAATCGAGTGGAGCATATGCTGCAGTTGCACGTACGCGCGCCAAGGTAGAAGGGGAAACTGGGATAGAGCTATGCACCATTAGGCGGAGAGGTCCCGCAGCTATTGTTATATTGCATTTGCAGCAGCAGCAGCAGTAGCAGTAGGCGACGCTGAATTGGACTAACAATATTTTATAACGAATTCGTCGAGTTGGGCATGCAAAGCACGTTGTTGACAGCGTGGCGTGGCCAAGGCATACCGCAAGGTGGCACAATTGACATGCCTCATGCCGCATGCCTCATGCCACATGCCAAACTGCGACAGTTAGCTCCAGCACAGCCTACTTTGGCTATGGCAAAAGCAAACCCGTAAAAGATGTTCACGATTCGCCAGTGTGAAAATCATAATCATCAAATTAACGCGCGCCTCGCACGAAACACCAAATTCGCCAGGCTCAAATTGGTGCTTGGGAGAACGATGCGGGCCACAAATACTACGTGAGCATTTAAAGCCATGCGAATAAAACTTAAGTGCTGCCGTGTGTAGAAAGAGGTATATGCTTATATATATATATGTATGGTGTCAGAGATTGGCAGGCATCGTATTGCTACGCCAAGGCTAACCAGGTGTCAACTGATGCGAGCGGGCGGTTGGGCGGTTGGGCGGGCAGCCTATTGCGCTCCCGACCCTCGTTAAACCAATCTGCGCCAACTGAAAGGGCTGCTTAATCAGCGGCCAGGCCGTGACAGATAACTAACTGGGGCTGGGCGGGAGCAGGAATCATCATCGTTTGACTGCGTCAGCGCCATAAAGGACCAACGCAAGGGACCGGCGATGGGTGCGCCACCACTTCACACATTCGTCACTTGGCTAGTTCTCCAGCACGCGCTCCTGCTCCCGTTCCAGCTCCAGTTTCAGTTTCAGCCAGAAGCGTTTGAGGCCATCAAATTTCAGTCATAACAATAACACTGATAGTCCCGCTCGTAAAATAAAACCCTTTTTGCCCACTGCCGCAATGTCAGGGCACTGCGGCCGGGATTTGTGTGCGGATGTCCTCATGTGTGTCGTCTCTGCGTGTATGTTTGTGTGTGTGCCGTTCCATTTCCAGCTTCAAAAACAATCAAGAAAGCGCGCGCGACAGGAAAAGCAACACACGCTGCGCACACAGCACACACACACTCGAAGAAAGAATCAAGTACTTTCTACCAAAAATCCAGCTAATGTCAATATTTCTTCAGCTGAGCACAAGAATTTTTATTTTAAGAATTTCTTTCTTTATCCTGATATTCCTTAAAATAGCACTCAACTCTTGTACTCAATCTTAGTTGCAATTTACTTATATATACTTCTACTGAATTCAAGCCGTTTTTATTGATTTCAATTCTAGTTGAATTAGAATACCATTTTTCTCCAAGTGCACAAATTTGACAATGGCACTTGGGGTTGAGGGGTGCCCTGCACCGCTCCCAATCTTGGCCATCCGATTGCAGGGACTCGGGCGCGGTCAAAAGGCGACACGAAAAGCATTTAAATCCTTTTCGCACTTTGCTTGTCGCTGTCTCCGCTTGTTGCGTGTTTTTCCATCGACTATTTCCGGCCGCAATACGTGTGACACGTATGACATATGAAGTGTCTATGTGTGCGTGCGTGTGCAAGTCTGTCTGCGAGTATGTTGTATGTGTTGGATGGGTGAACTGCTTGTCATGCTTCAATTTCAGTTTGATGACGCTTTCGCAATACAATGTGCGCCCAAGGATGAGCCGTGCCTAATACACCCATCGGCCAAAATGGAAGCCCATTTCCTCTCAGGCCGTAAAATAGGAATTTACTTTATTAAAATTTTTCGCTTCAAAAATATGGGACAACAACAATGGCAATGAGCACAAAACAACAAGCTAGGCAAATTTGTTGAAAATCCACGCACACATACCCGCAATCCCACACGCACACACACACACACACACACACACCCGCAACCCCACACCCACACCAACACGCACAAGCACACACATGCCGCTCAAGTTCGCCAATGATGCGCCCCATCATGAACGAGGTAAAAATTTACTCAACTATGAACTCTCGCCACAGCCCAACCAATGCGAGTGTGTGTGTGTGATGTCTGTGAAATAGGCTCGAATTTGCGTAGACCGTGCCCCTCGAGGGGCAAAGGTTATAGCCGCGCCTGCTGCTGCTGCTGCTGCTGCTGCTGCTGCTGGCAAGGGTTCCCAGCCAAGGGCCAAGGCTCGCCTGCGCTTGACAGTTTCATTCAGATAAAGCGAGGTTGGGGGCAAGGCATCTGAAAATTTATATAAATTGACAGTAATGCTGGCTGCTGCCGCTCTGCCCAGAACAATAACAACAGCAACAACAACAACAGCGACAACAACAACTTCTATGCTAAATTGCGCGACAACATTGACAACAAGAACAACAGGAGCGGAGCCGGAGCCGGAGCAACTTTTCGTATCGCATTCTTCGGCTCGAAAACGCAAATTATGTACGAAAGAGCAAAATAATGAAATCGTAAAGAGTTGGCAGGCACAACCGATCCAAGGCACAACCCCTGACAAGACCCCTGACAAGACCCCCGACAAGTCCCGCATGGTAGGGATTGTGTTTAAAATTCATTTCAGACATCGTGTGTATGCAAATAGTGGCCATATTAATCATTGCCTCGGCATTTTTCGGCAAGTTTTAGTGATTTTTTCTTCTTTGTTTTCATACTATAAAGTGTAAAAGAGTATATTGGCTAGGACTTACCCGACTGTTGCCCGCTCGCACTGGGCTAAGGGTATCTGCAAGTCGAGCACACCCGACTAGCGCACTCTTAAAAGGTTTTTGTTTTGTTTTAAGTTTGGAATTTCATCTGCCACTCGCGACTAGCTCGTTCGTTGTGGTATTTAAAACTGCATTTCGGCGCTAATAAATAAACAGCTCCTCCACTTTTTGGCCATATGCGCGCATATTCCGCATTCCGCATACCACAGACCGTAGACCCTCCCACCTTCAGATCCGTTTGAAATTTATGAAAGCCTCGTTCCACGGATAAAGTGCACTGAGCTCTGAGCACGGACACGGGTACGGACATGGGCACTGGCCCTAAAACAACTGTAGCTGCCTGATGGCCGCGTTAAATGCTTTTGTTGATTCTGGCCTCGGCTCTGGTCGCGCCTCTTCCTATTTTTTTTTTACTTTTTTTTTACACAATTTAATAGTTTTGGCGGCGGTGGCACTGGCAAGAAATAAACTGCTGGCGACTGCGACTGCGAATGCAGTCCGCAATAAGTCTTGGCAAACAGTCGCCGTGGCGGATGCCGGACACGCCCACAATTGGCTTTTGTGAGCTGGATTGCAATGGGCTGCGGGCAGCGGGCAGCAGCAGCGAGGGGAAATGTGTTTGTTTTTCATTAAAAAACTTTTCATTTTGAGCGGTCAAAGTTCGGCTCCGACTCCAGCCCCAGCTTCACCCCCAAATGCAGCTCTGCGGCAGCTTAGCGGCGGGTAAAGGCTGCGGCTGCTGCTGCTCCTGCTGCTGCGGCGGCTCCTGCTCTGACAGCGGCATGTCCTGTTTTATTGCGGGCAGGATTTGCTATTTAGGAAAGTCTCTGTGCGCGGCTCCATTGTCTCTTTGTGACTCCGGGCGGCGCTCATTGTTTTTTGCCGGCTGGCTAAATACACATTTCATAATTCAGCTGTAATGGAAAGTCACGTATCCAATGGAAATGAAAGTCAACGCCCCCGTTCCCATGAGACGCCATGGCCTGGCCAAGAATAACAAATGGCCTGACAATTAATCTTGCATTTTTCCAACGATCCTTTTCCAATTTTCTTTTTGTTTATTCTTTTCTTGCAGTTCTATGGGCGCTACTCTTGCCCCTGCCCAGCCACGCCCAGCAGCAAAAGTTTCGCACAACGCCGCACGATCTGCAAGTGCTGGAGGGCGCCGAGGCGATGATGCGCTGCGAGGTGGCCAACGTGGCCGGCGCCGTGCAGTGGACCAAGGATGGCTTCGCCCTGGGCTTCTCAGCGGTCATACCCGGCTTTCCGCGCTACTCCGTGCTGGGTGATCGCAAACAGGGTGTCTACAATCTGCGCATCTCCAATGCCTCCATCAACGATGATGCCGAGTATCAGTGCCAGGTGGGGCCAGCGCGCCTCAACTCGGCCATTCGGGCGAATGCCAAGCTGACTGTCATATGTAAGTAAGCCCCAGACTACATATTTTATTTCTACGTACTTTAAATGTCTTCGAAACTAAACGAAATTGTCTGTAGTTCAATTTACGGCTATCAAATTTGTTTCACTATTTTTATTTAATGGTCGACAAAAACGAGTGTCTTCCTAATTAATCATTAATTAAAATACACAATTTTCCAATAGCATCACCGAACGATGAAGGTATTTTATTTGCCCGTCCACCCAGCTATGCCCCTTTTCACAGTTAATTGTGTCAGTGACTACAGCTAAGAAGAAGGGTGTAAGTAGAGAAAATAGTGCTCTTAAGTAAAAATTAAAAATAATCGTAATTTACTTTATAATTAAATAGGAAAAAACGAAAGAAAGAAGTTGTTAATGAAGTATAGAAATGTATACTAGATATATAGAGTATTAATTAGATAGGATAAAGAGATAGTAATGGGAAATCAGCGACCCGGTGCGAGAAAATTTATAGCCTGTCCGGGCAAGCTATGCCACTGCTCATTCTGGGAATGGTCAGTGAGTGCCCGAAGAAAGCCTGAAAGCAACGATTTTACTAGGGGTAGAAAAAGTTCGGTGGAGAAAACATGATACAAACTATTGTAATTGAAATCAGATCAGCTAAAATTGTTTCAGTTCAAGACAGTTCAAGTTGGATGGAAAAATATGATCTGTTTCTGGCTTAAATTAGTTTCATTTTTGAGCATACAAAGGCTTCAATTCATGGCAAAATATAATTAAATGGGAGTTTAAGATACAGTTCAAGCTGCTTGGCGTGCACGACATTCATTTGTGGTCGATTCCTAACTAGAGCTCTCAGTTTCCTCTTAACTTCAGTCCAGGCTCTGGTTGCAGGCAGCATCAATTAATTCCGGTAATAAATACAATTCGTAGAACCTCCTACCCCTTAGTTTCTCGCTCATTGCACCTATAGCATTTGCACTTGCATATTTAAATGCTGGAGATTCCGCATGCGGGTGCCCAAATTGGGGGCATGGCATGGCGGGGCGGCTGTTGGTTGTCGCTGCCAACATTTATTGTCAGCAATTTGCAAAGCAACAGCAACTGGAACAACAACAACAGCAACAACAACAACTTTGTGCGAGCTGAGCTGAATTTAGCGCAGTTTATTGCTCCAAGGAGTCACAGTCTGAGCTGACACTGTCAGGACCAAGTTAGGGGAGTGGGAGTGGGAGTGGTGGACGGGAACAGAGAAGAGGGAAGAGGGAAGAGGGAGGGAAGCAAGCATTTTCAAATTGAAGCGAAATGAATTTATTTTTGTTTTTAGTGTTGGGTGTATATGGGTATCAGTGTATGCATGTGTGTGTGGGCAAGTAAGAGTGTATTTGTGTGTGTGTGTGTGTTGGTCTCGTTGCATTGTTATTCCTGCTGTCGTGTAATCACTTTGAATGTGTGGGTACTCCTGTTGCTGCTCCCGCTTGCTGTTGTTGTAATCACTCAAGAAATTGCGCTACATTTGATGACAGCGATTTTCATTTCCTTTGCTTCGTTTGGCTGCCTTCTATTCTTGTAGAGATTCCGCAGCGAGTACCCCACTTCAGCCCACTTCTATGATGGTCCATGGCAACGACAACGGCAACGACAACGACGATGACGACGACGTCGACTGCGATGCTGCTGTCTTGCCCAAGGCTCACACATGCACACACACACACACACACACGCACACCAATATACACACCCGCGCACACCATCTCGCACACATATATGCGCATGCCTAATGACGTTTGTTTAGTTAATTACGCGCCATGAGCTGTGACAATGATGATGTGTGCCGAGGAGCCTTGCAAAAACTCAAAGAAGAAAAAAATCTCTCGCCAGTTCCTATGTACACTCAGAGAAAAAAGGACGTTCTATATTGCAAACATGGCCGACATACATAACGAGTTCTGCTCAATATTTCAGTTGTATTTGTTTTTATGTTCTTTTATTAGCGATTAATTATCCTCGATTTAAAAGTTAATTGGATTAAGCAGAAAAAAATAATTTGTATGCATAAGATAAGTCCAACACTTTCTAAAAAAGAAGAACAAGATTTATAAGTAAGGAATACTTAAATTAAAAAAGTTTATAAACTAACAGCTTCATTTTTAACTTACGATTAATTCTGGTTTTTTCTCTGAGTGTATATGTATGGGTTGTGTATATGTATGGGTTGGATTCGTATAAGCTCGTTAGTTATTGCTGTTGTTGTTGTTGTTGTTTTTGTTTTGCTGTTGTTGTTGTTGCGGCAAAAGGTCGTCCGGCGGCGCCTCTGCCTTCTTCTTCTTCTTGTTCTTCTTGTTGTGTCCCAACACAGCAGCCCATGAAGAAATGTTTGTCATAATTGTCGGTACTTGTGCGTCCCTCTCGCTTACACCCGCTAGGTGCCATTCTCTCTTTTGTTCTGTAATGGCATCTACTATGTTTCACTGACGGACTAAAATATGTGTGGCTATGACTGTATGTGTGTGTGTGTATGTGTGTTTACATACATAGGTATGTCCCTTAGGCATCCATGAAAACACGTGCGACATTATTGCAGCAATTAGCCCGGCAAAATGTAGACAAATGCGTAATAATTCAATTAAGTTCAAGTAACATTTATTTGATTTATTTATTAAGCTAATTTACCATCCCCCCCCCCTATACCTGTTATTGATTGATGCCTGCTTTCGCATTGTTTGCCAGTCAAGTTTCGTTGGCTATAGGATGACTCCTCTGTAATTTCTCTATTGATCTCATATTACATCAAGCACACAAAACGGGGTATATTGGTTCGATTTTGAAGTTAGACAAATCCAACTAGAATTGCATGAGTTAAAAGCATATTGATTATAGATTGCAAAAATTTATATATCTTTCCCTATTCCCAGAGGCAATTCCCGACCTGTTGTCGGCGGTTATTACACTGAATAGAACATTGCGGAATCGATTGCAACCCTCTTAAATGCTTTTTCGTGTTCGTCTCTGTTTGTGTCTCATTGTCTTTCTCTAATTTAAATAGCATATGCAACGCAGAAACCTAATGAACGAACCTTTGTCATTCGCAAATTAAATTTGAAACACTCCAACGAGGCAGATGCAAAGTTCTTTTTGAACTAATTTCAACGTACGCTGGCCGCTTAGCTAAAAGTTTCATGGACCCAACTGCACGCACACACACACACACACACACGCACACACACACGCACATACTCACACACACGTGAGGGCGCAATTAGATTATAAGTTGGCATAGTAAAGAACTTTTGCACACAAAAGTCCACGTGCAAATTTATGGAAATTTAGAAAATGTTCGCATGCCATTAATTTTTAAAAACGCAGCCAAAAACACATATGCCGCAAGGCGACCGACCGACCGACCGACCGGGTCCAAAAGTTTTTGCTGCCAACGCATAGGGACCCACGACCAGAGTCTGAACCTCAACCTGAACCTGAGCCTGAGCCCGGGCCTGGGCCTGGGCCTGGGCGTGGGCAATGGCGATTCAGCTGCTTCGGGCCAGGCACAATGGAATTCCAGGCATGCACGGCCAAAAAGCAGAGCTGCCTTTATAAATTTTGAATACAAAGCAGCATTGCAAAAATTGAAAGAAAAAAAGGAGAAACATTTTTTTCTGTTATGCAATGCAGTCTAGATGGGAAAATGCGAATGGAAGTTGTAGGGGGTGGGGACGGAAGTTTGGCGAACGGTTGGAGCAACCCCCAAGCCGCAGACTCAGACTCAGACTCAGTCTCAGTCCTGGCCTGGCTGAGGCTGGCAGCCAATAAATGTGCTTTAATGATTTTTAAATGGTCAAGAATTTTTCCAATTTCCGCTCATTTGACTCGAGTAATCGCATCGTAATTGTAGTGCAAATGATCAAAGTTCGAATCCCCAGCTAAGGCCACCCAGTGAGAGGCTCTGAAATATGGCCAAACATTTGTTTTGCGACCTTAAAGTCACCATTCGAGCCCATTCCCTCAGGGAGCGCATGTCAGAGATGTGAACAATTTGGAGTGTGCCTGGGACGACAGCGACTCGGACCCGGACTCGGACGCGGACTCGAACCCAAGGCTCAGCACTCACTCACTCAGAGGCTGTCTCCAGACCCCAGCAAAACAGTTGACGTCAAATGGAAAAATTGCCAATTCTTGCTTTTCTTACCCACCAAAAAATAAGAAGTAGAGAAAAGAGTCGAGAAATATTTCAGCGCATAAAACTTTTATGAGGCGTACTATTAGTGGGTTAGCGGGCTGAGCTCCAGCCTGAATTCATGGCAAATTGCACATTGTACACCCTTTTGCCCGGGCTGCTGCTGCTGCTGCTGCTGCAGCCCAACAATGGCTGCATAAATTATTTGCAACCTCCTCAGCATCCCCTACCCCTGCCCCTAGCCCTACCCTGCTGGGCTAGTGCATAAAATTTAATCAACGAATCGCTGCGACTCTCGTATGTTTAGGGTTCAATGGAGTAGGGTCGAGCGCACAATGGAGCTGCTCCTGCACCTGCAGCATGGTACCTTCTAAGCTCGTTCATAATCGCATGTAACGCCAATTGTGACGACAACAACTGAGCACAAAACGACGACAATCTTCTCATTTCTTCTGCCATTCGGGCCCGTCGGCTACACTGATCGATTGTCGTGAATGCGCCTCGCACATGTCAATAATCAAATACAATTTGCATACCAATCAACAATGCACACATCCTTCTCGACCCCCTCATATGTGTGTGCTCGCAGGTCCTTCTCAATCCCCATATATGTAGGTGCTTGCAGGTCGAAGTCGCCCCAGGATTTACTTGTTACAAATCGCACTTGCATTGCCTCGACTTTGTGCAAAACAGAATCATAAAATGTATATGCATTGCTCGCTTTCTACGCTCATGTAGGGTATTATAATTATGACCCCAACTATGGTTTTTCTGAAATTCCGGGAAATAACACGGATACATTCGGACGCCTTTTGAAGATCCAAAAAAGTTTTCTAAAAAAAGTTATCCCTTTTTTGCAATACTTCTGGTAAACTTTTCAAAATTCGCGTCTTAATCATCATTTAAGTTGTTTTTTATTGTTATTTACTGTAAAAAATTTAGCTTCTTAGCTCTTTGGGTTTGGGTTATGCGCTGATCATTATTCAATTAGTCAATCGATCAGACAGACATTCCCAATATTTTTGTATATTTAGAAGAGTATTTACGCTTCTAGATTTCTCAGTTGCTCTCTCCTGTTAGATATGCAACACGCGCGGCGTCGTGACGCTGCGTTGCTGCTGCAATATGCCAAATATTATGAATTTCCAATGCAAAGCGCCTCCCTTGCCGCGGATATGCCGCACAGCCGTAATGCTCCTTGGGGCGTCCTTGCGACACCAATTTGCACACAAACGCCTTCACTTAAGGCTGACTTTGCCACGTAGATAGGTTTAAGAATATGTCTTTTTAAAGACCCAATCGAAAATATCCTTTAACAGATGCGAGATAAGCAAGTTGCATAAGAAGGAAGCTGAAGTAAATGCGAAGGCGGCTTTAAATAGTTTGAATGTAAAGCTAACTATGAGATATTTTTTAGTATATCTATGAAATCAAAGGGAACTTGTGTGTAGAAGCGTTGCCTGCTTTCGGGAGTAAGCGCTGAAATTATGTATACTCAATGTGCAGCCAAATTGGAGGCTGGAGAAGCTGGAATATTTAATGCCGCAGGCACACACACACACACATGTCAGGGTCGCACCTTTTGTGTACTGCTGTGTTTCTGTTGTGTGTCGCGGGATTTTGTGTTTTGTATATTTGATTTGTGCATAATAATTTAATGCGCCCCGAGCCAGGCAAATAAAATTCACAAACAACGCGCCAGCTTCGAGGCATCAGGGCTTGGCTAAGGCTATCAATGGGGAGCTCGGACGGTGTTGATTTCATTTGGAGTAGCAGCAAAAGCAATTACCTCGACAGGACGGCTTACGCGGTGGCAGCGTCTGCGCTCCCCTGGCAATATGCTTGGGCAGCCTCGCTTTGCCACGGCTTTGAGCATTCATTTTGCATGCAACAACTTCTACAGCAGGCAACATATGTTGCATGTCAAATACACACCCTACGCCCCCAGCCCCCAGCTGCCATCCGCATTTCACTTTAACTTCTCTACATGTGTTGCAGCAGCTTCGAGCGCATTTTCCTCAGACCGTCTGCGGCTGCCACACAAGACGCAATGGCTGCCTACTCCTTCAGGTGGCATTAAAATAATGCACACGTGCACTTAACTTTATCCACGACTGTTTGTTTGTGTGTGTGTGTTTGCAACTCTGCTGCAATGCTCCCATTGTTAGGCTACCGCCCGTCCCGCCCTGTCCCGTCCTGCCCTGCCCCGTTGGCCGTGTGCTGCACAAATATTGAGACTCATACTTGAGCACATTAACGGGAGCTGGTGGCAGACGTCAGCCTGCAGGCCATCCACTACTTTGGCGGCCATTCAACCTGCGACTGCAACCGCCGCACACACACACACACACAACAGCACAACAATGTCGTCTACAATGGCTGCCACGCCTACGCCCATGCCCGCACACCCAAGCAGCTGGCCAACGTGCTGCATTGTCGCATAATGAGCGAGCGTTGTTTTGCTCTGCCATTGTTTTATTCCGCCTACGGCCACGCCCACTTCCATGACGGTTGCATTATTTGCTACAGTTGTTGGATTCGAGCATTTGAAGTAACAATCGTCTAATCACTTATCCTTGCTCTCTCTCTCTCTCGCTCTTTCTCTTTCTATAGCGCCACCCTCATCGATCGAGATCAAAGGCTACAGCCACAACTCCAAGGTGGAGGTGCGCGAGAACCAGGACCTCACGCTCAAGTGCATCGTGGCCAACTCGAAGCCGGAAGCGCAAATCGTTTGGTATAGAGGAAACGTCGAATATAAGCCAGGTTGGTATACAAACATACGTATTATAACAGCTAGCAAGGATTACTCGGCGTTGCCCGGGCAAAGTATCAGTTTTTCAACCATTTGCCGCAATTGGAATCTTCACTTACATCAGATCAGTCGCTCAATCAGTCAGCCCGAAGTTGCAAATTCATATATGCCTATAGATACTTCTATATATTCGCACATAATGCACTAATGTAATAGAAGGCTGGCGCAATCAACATCAAGCTCACACACACACTCACGCACACATAGACGCAGCTCGTGACAAGTGTCACAACACTAAGCCATCAAATTTAATGTCCACTTACACAACAACATCCAGCCTCCAACGCATGTGTCTTCTAATGGCACCCCCCCCCCCCTTTACACCCCCTTCCCCACTTTGCCGTTCCTGTATCGACCCGATGAGCGCTTTTAGGCAGCCCCCGCAACGGCTACCGCGACGGGCTGATCCACTCTGGCCAAAAAAAAAACAAAGAGAGAAAAGTGTAAATGGGTTTTGGCGGGGGTGGGGTACAAGGAAGGAGGGGAAGGGGTAGCCCTTTGGCTGTCAACCAGTTGGCCGGGGCACATATGAGACCCGCCCGTTGACTTTCTGCTTGATGACGGTGCTTAAATAATAATTTTATACCCTAACAAAACGGTCTCTCTTAGCTGCCGATGCTGACGTTTTTCCCTTATCTGTTGGCCTCTGTTTGTGCCTTGTCATTGTGGCCCGCTGCCCGGCAGTCGGCCAAATTGGAAAACGGGACCGTGGACGTTGCGGAAAATATGGAAAAATGCAAATGTATAAAGGCATCGGGATGGCCAGGCTAACCAGGACATGGCCATGGGCATGGGCATCATACGGCGCTTAGTCGCTTAGTCGCCTTCACGACACTTAATTTTCATAATGATTATGATATGCGGCATACATATAGGTGTTGTCGAGCAGTGGGTGTGTGTGTGGTTGTGTGTGTGGGTGTGGTTGTGTGTGTGGGTGGCTAGTGGGTGTGCGGGCTGTCGTCTCCGGCTGTCATTTGGCGGCTAACGAAATCATTTTAACACAACTGGCGCGTTAAAAATGCTTAAAATGTGAAACGCACAGCGACGATGATGATGGAAATTTTTGGGCAAACATAAAATAAAACAACATACACACACACAAAAAGAAAAGCGAGGAAAAACAAAATAAGAAAATTTCGCAAAACGGCGTAAAATGTAGGAAAATCCGCAAGGAAATGCGGCCAGCACAGGGGGCAGGAAGCGCTGGACGTAGCTGCATGATGAATTATGTTTACGACACAATATGTTGCGGCTGGACTGGCTGGGCCCCCCAAAAACAAGACTTTACGACAATGGACAGCAGCAGCGGGTCTGCAGCCTGTAGCATCATTTGCAAGCTGTCAGTGAAGCTGACTCGACTCTGACTCTGGCTCTGGCTCAGTGGCTCAGGGTCGTCCCTATATGTGTGTGGTGGTCGCGTAAATGACGGTTAATGCCAGTTCAAGGCACAGGCCGAGCAGCCTGCTCATTATCCCGCTGCCATGTTAAATACGTTCAAGAGGGCAGGCTGAAAAGTATTCGATCTAGATGAGAAAAGATACAATTTTGTTGTTGTTGTTTCAACATAATCACCTGCCATCTATCCAAAAGAGTAAAATAGTCTATATCTAAATATACTATTCGAAAGCCGATATACCAATTGATCAATGTGTACAGCCTTTTGGTGCCGATTACTTTTCAGCCCAACCTCGCGTATATGCTCAACACGTGAATAGTTGAGGCAGCTTCATTTTAACCCAAATAGTATGCTACAACCGGCCTACAGAAAGCCAGAAAAAAGAGAGAGAGGGCGGAAGAAAGAGAGAGAGAGAGGGGAGAGGGAGCGACTCACTGCAGATACTTCAGATACAACGAGCCATTGACAATTTATGACTAAAAATTATGTCACAAAATGTGCGCGTAGCAAATATTACACAAAATATGCGCCTACAAATGAATTCCATGGGTCGTGGGTCAGGGCAAGAGGGGCAAGAGAATTACGGTGCGGGGTGCGAGAAAACTTCATAAAATATGCGTTAAACTTTATGACAACGACTTAGACGCGGTGCGGTGCGGGACGGGACAGGGCAGAGGAGCTGCACGTACGCGAAAATGGCGTGCAAATTTTGCAATACCCAGTCAGAGGGAAAACGCCCTTCACACAACCATCCCCCCCCCCACACACCCACACACACACATATGCACACACAGATACACCCGCCATTTTAATTTTCTTTGTGTAAAGCTCGACCGAGTGCTGCTGTTGATGTTTTGTTGTTGTTATTATGATAAATCGCAGACATTTAACGCAGCGCACAAGAATTTATAACACACGCACACACACAGCACACAACACACAGACACGCACACACACCCAAGCTCAGCTGCATTTTTGGAAGTTCGCTTGTTGCGTCATTATTTATGGCAATGCGAGTCCCAGCCCGACCCCCCTAGCCCGACCCCACATTAGCAGCAACTGCAGACGACAGGCAAATAAACTATAGAAGTCATGTATCTATTCATGCAAAACTGTTTTTATGCTCTGACTGACGAACTGTCTGATTGACTGACTGACTATCAGCATGCAAAGCGTTAAGAGGAAGCTTAACTTTGATGTGTAATTTAAGACCACGACAGGTCTTTGATGCAAGGGTGTAAAATTTGTAAATGTACTTAATCGTCATCCGAGTCGCTTCAAGCTCATTTTCATAAAATGCAGAAAAATTGTAGATTGGCCGGGCAATGCCTGGCAATACCTGTTATAGACTATAGTTACATTAATTATAATTGCTGTCGATTTTTGCTCTCAACTCCACAGATAAACGCGACGATAAGGTGGAGGAATCGACACCGAAACGCTATACGACAACCTCCAGCCTGAAGCTGAAGCCCGGCGCGAACGATGACTATACGGAATACACCTGCCAAGCGAAGCACAAGGCGCTCTCGCCGGATATGCCCATGCGTGCCACCGTGCAACTGTCCGTGTTGTGTGAGTAGCGTTATAGATTCCGATGCCCATTCCAATTGCAATTGCAATTGCAATTGCGAGGCCTGTGGCCAACGGGCCAGCGGGCCAACTGGGATGCCTTTTGTATGGCATGTCAAATATATGCGAACTGCGAAATGCCAAATGCCGACCTCATTAGCCAGCTCAAATGGCCAAGTTTGCAATACAATTGAAATGCTAGCCGCGCGTTTATGCCAAGTGCCAAGTGCCCACCTCACCCAAAGGCAGGCTCGGGCCGCAACGAGGTGCCAGCCAATGCTGACCCGCAAAACATAGATGGCTACCGATGGCCACAGCCGGTCGCTCTGATGGCCTCCGCGGCCGCTAATTGCGCAATTGGCGCGCGTATTAATTAGTTTTTAAATTCTAATGCGATGCCCAGCTGCTGCATGCATCATGCGGCAAGGGGCACGGGTCAACGGGGACATTGTATGATGTGTATGATGGCAACGTGAAGCGGCACGGGAGGTCACAACAATTCCGTGCCCGGTGCGTCGCATTTGCGTATTTCCGTTATTGATTACCGGCGCTGGCTGTCCAGGTAACCAACGCACCTGGCCATGCCCCCAGCACACATTACGTGCGCCATATTCAAATTAATTATGTTTGTTATTTATGCATAGGCTGCTGCCTATGAAGCCAAAGCTGGCGCTGGCGCTGGCGCTGGCGTTGACGCTGACCGCCAGGCTGAAGCTGGCCACGAGGCTATTATTGGCGCCGCCATTCATTTAGCCATTTCGTGCTCTTTGGCCAAAAGCCCGCCCGTTGACCTAATAGATTTCAATTGTCAAAGCAGCCAAGCAACCGAACACACGCTTTGTATTATTAGTAGTAGACATCCCCGTCTCCCATGAAGTCAATGTATTTCTCATCTATATCAACAGCCAAGATGACTTAGTCAAGTCTGTTGTCTGTTGCTATGCAAACCAGTCTCTTAATTAAATCTTGGCCAGCTATTTTGTTGAATGCAGTTCATATAAATAAGAAAAATCAGTCGAGCATTGAGCACAGGTAAAAGGACCTCTTTAAGATGTCTTAATTAAAAACGGAAAGCCAGCCATGCGCAAAATCTTATCAATATCGGACTACTATATCATATATAACTTTGGAACAATCGGTCGACAGGGGTATTTAGTCTACGTATGCATTTTCTTTTTCGGTTTGCCCAATTTGATGCATGGCAGCTGATATATGAAATACAGACATGTGATGGATATGTTTTTATCGATAACAGGCGCGCACACACAGATATATATCCGACGTGCGTGTCTGTGTGTGTACTAGATATAAATATTTATATATCTTAATTGCGGCTACACTTACGCGTATCTCTGGGACATGCACATTGCCGTGCAGTTGGGCCATACTCGTATACACGCGTGCTCAATTATGCGCTATTATTGCACCCCGGGCCCCGCAACCTGTGGCCCGTTACCAGTTACCCGTTACCCATAACCCGTAACCCGTAACCCGTAGCCCAAACCCTTCGTCCTGTCATTTGCAAGAACTGGCCGTGGTGTAATCGGATTCAGTTGGCCACATGCTGGGCTATATATGTATGTATGTATAGTCATGGGCAAGCGCCGAGGCAACCGATACTCGCACAATATTTTAAGTGATATTAATTTAATTTTGTGCCGGCTCTGCATGTGTCTGTGTGTGTGTGGGTGTGTGTGTATTTGTGTGGCATACATTACAGCACACCTCGTTCCCGCTTTAAAGTGCACACACATTACGTATACGCACCTATAGCAGCTAGACAAGGGGAAACAATCAAATTTTCTTTTTTTATAAATTTGAACTGCGCACCAATTTTGAAGCGTTTAAAGGCCGCTTTTAACAAGTCGCATTGTTTATTGTCTGCGGCATTTAAAATGTTATTAAACCGCCCACAAACATGGAAAATTACAGACAACATTTCGTTGCACTTTAAACAAATGCAATGCAGTTGCACACGTTTTAACAGGGCCCCGCCCTAAGTGCAAATTTTACAAACAAATAAAAAAAAATAAAAAAAAATAATAATAATAAATAAACAATAAAAAGGGAAAAAGGGAAATCGGAAAATAATGCGTTTGACCACATAAACGATTTGCATGCAAACACTTCAATTAAAAATCGCGCACAAATTCTGCTGCATATGCCCGCCTGTCCATGTCGGCTCGGCCTGGTGGCATGCCGCATGGCCAACTGTTCAACTGTCCAACTGTCCAACTGGCCACATTTGTTTTAGTGTAAATTGAATTTATTTGTGGCAGCCAGTACAATTAAATATGCACGCGAAAAAACACAGACACGGGTTTTTGCTACTGCTATTTCCATTATCCATTATCCAACTATATATATGGGCTGATAAACACGTCGCACGGTTTTACTATTGTGTTTGCTCTTTTTTCTATGCAACCACAGATCCACCCGGACCACCCTATATCGAGGGCTATTCGCCCAGCGAAACACTGCGACGCGGCCAGACTGTGGAGCTGATTTGTCGCAGTCGCGGCGGCAATCCGCCCGCGCAGCTCATCTGGTATAAAAACAACTCGCAGATACGTATGGCCTACAGGTAAGTGGCTACTAAGTGGGCAGCTGGTTGCAGCTCACCATTGCCCTTAATCGATCTAACTGCTTGCAGAACCTCGGGCCGGCTGTCGGAAAACATTTACACATTTACCGCCGAGGCGGGCGACAACAAGGCGCGTTTCCGATGCGAGGCGAGCAATGTGATGTCCCAGACACCGCTCAAGGCGGAAGTGGATTTGACTGTTCTATGTAAGTGCAACCACCCAACCGCCCAGCCACCCAACCATTCTCGAGCTGCAGCCTCATCATCATCAAAGTGACACTTGAATCTCTCGCCTACCGATTCTCTCCTGTCCAGAGCCAGACCCGAGCTCGTTATGCAGACGGTGGCAATTGCCTACTACTACTGCGACGCCTGTGACTCCTTTGCTTGTTTGCCTAATTGTATTTCGTTAATTTTCATATTTACACACACTCGCACACACACACTTATGCTAACACTCAGATTCCGTTGCTGGTTTGTGTCAACAGTCGTCCTTTGCATACTCGCTGCATTCCACAGAGCCTGCCACTTGGCACGCGACACAAAGCGAAAACAGGCCTGGCAACATTCTCTCTCTCTCTCTCTCCGTCTCTCTCGCTCTCTCCCGCTCTCTGTCTCTACATCGCTCTGGCTGCTTGCTTTCTTTTGCAATTAAGCTTAAGCTTGCACTTTGCACCCGCACCCCACTTAGCTTTGTCAAATCAAGCAATGCAAATTCTTTTCAAGTGCCAAATAGCACCATTCCCTCGCTCACTTCTTCCCTCTCATCGCCCCCTCAGCTACGCCTCTTTACAACAACAATTGCAATCAGGCCGAGGCGCAGCAGCCTAAAAAGTAGGCGACGTCTGTCCAAAACGTCGTTAGTCTACGCCATTTGCATGCAGTGGCTCCAGCTTCTAGTCTTTGTCGCCCCCTTCCCCACCACACACCCTTGTGTCTAACATGCAAATGGGCTTTGACTTGAGGGCATACGCCGCGTATGCGTGATATTTAAATTTGAAGCGGCGAGCCACTCGCCCAGCTGAATTGTCGCTGTTTAGCGCTGGCCTTACCTGGCAGCATGGTTGCATAGTATGAAAGATTTTAGGCGAACCTGATGGCACCTGATGCAGCAGCCTCCAGCAACTACTCGGACGTGGCCAGGACTTGTCCAGTTGCTGGCGATTGCCAATAAAATTGGCTCTTGTTTAGCCTCAAAAAGCTTTCCTTGTTTACCTTGTTTAGCTCCCAAAATATGCCACATTGAGTGGCCATTCGCACACACACACACACACACACGCGCCCGCACACACATACATGCGCATCTACATTGACTTCAGCTGCGCTCGCTCTCGCCAAGCAGCACGCATTATTTATGTATAAAGAAATGTGGCACAAAAATGAAGACGTAGCAGGAATACACATTGAGCCCTGCCCCACACGCCTCCCCACACCCGAGGGTGTGCGTGTGTGTGTGTGTGTCAGTGTGTGTGTGCGGAATGAAGATGTATGGCGAAATATGCGAGAAGTTAAGAATTCATAATGTTTATTTATATGCGAAACATATCGAACCGAAGTTTCGTATTCCCCGGTTGCAGACCCAATCGGTCCACTACGGCGTATGCGTAATATATGCACAGCTGCTGCTGCTGCTACGGCTACGGCTACTGCTACGGCTATTGCTACTGCTACTGTTACTGTTACTCCTACTGCTACTGATGGCTGCCTGCACTTATCCATCAAGGCAAATAGCTGACAGAAGGCAGCTGCAGCTTCTGCTCGTTCCTGGAATTAGGTAATAGCTCGGCACAGCACAGTCGCCTGTCACTCAGTCACTCAGTCATCATTTGCATGCAGTCAGCCAGTCTCTAGCCAGCTCTGGCCCACACGCGGCAAAGAGCGAACGATACGCAGTATGTGAAGCCGTGCGGCATGCCACAAGCAAGGCAGCGTCTCACATTGACGCAGGCTTATTAAATATTAATGCTGTGCGAAATTACTGATGCTCCGACTCTGCTCCGTTTTAACTAAAATTCCCCTTCTACTTCCATCTGCTCCAATACAACCTACAGTCGCACCTTCGCAAGTGACAGTGACGGGTCCGACGGAGGCACGCGTCGGCGACGTTGTGCCCCTGGCGTGCGCTACAGCGCCATCGAACCCGCCCGCCGAGATCAAGTGGATGGTTGGCGGCCGGCAGATACGCAATGCCACATCCAAGACTGCCGTTAGTGCCGAGGGTGAGTGCCAACTAGATGTATAGAAATATGTTGGCTTGAGCACACTTTATTAATTCACTAATCATCCTGAAATCTATCCATTCCAGGCGGCTGGACAACCAGCTCGAACATCACGACCATCGTGGAGCCCAATAAGCGTTCCCTGGTGGTCATCTGTCATGGCCTCAACATGCAGCTCACGGAGAATGTTGTCTCCACGCACACAATTAACGTTCTATGTAAGTAGTAGCAATTTAATAAGATTTGTTTTTCGATTTCCCTCTAAAGTACTATTCCATCAATCAGTCAAATAATCAGTAATACAGTTTTATTTAGATTGTAAAGACAGATTTTCACAAATTGTTCCATAGCGCAGTCTGTCGCGACAAAAGTGTCTATGATGCACGGGCTTGCCCAACAAATCAATCTAGTAGCAATTATGGGGATCCGACTAGGCTTTTTGAAATTTAACTCAGTTTGTTTTCAAAGTCTTAACACATAGGTTGGAAATCATAAAATTACGCATATTTAATATCATTGGGTTTGCGCAATTACGTGTCTGCGTTACTTTTGAAACTTTTGCAATGTATGAGTTTCCGCAATGTGTGTCATCCGGGGATCTGGACAATGATTCTTCCGAAAAGACTTCGGCTAAATCAGAGATGAAGTTCCAGCTGCCATCAAAAAAGGTCGCTAAGAAAAAGGTCGCCGAGAAAAAGAAGTTCACGAATATACTGGAGGCGACACGCTACGAGATGTGGCGCGAGCATCGTCAGCGTCTACAAAATGTGGTGAGCGATCTAGACCAGCAGCCACCCTCGTTCCAAGCGGTGCGGCTGACCGGTGTGAATCAACTACGCGATCAGGCATTGCACTACATGGAACGCACCAAGGCAAACATACATATGCTGTTGGGTCTGTCGCAGACTATGCGCACCCACGGCGCCATTAATCCCTTCCGCTACGAGAATGTCAGTGTTATGTCCGCAGTGCCAACAATCATTAACAATCTGGAGCAAATGGAGCAGGATAACCGTGATCTGGGCAAGCGCATCTTAACAGTGGTCAGCGAGGTGGACTCGGGCCTAAAACCCGATCGCCATACCAACCAACCACAACCTACGCAGCCGTTCACCATGCCCGATCAGGCGCTGGCCAAGTATAAACCTTTCAACATCAAGCTGCCCAGCACAGATAAGGAGCGCTGGCAGCTCTTTCGTCCACGCATCTACTTTGATATCTATCTCAAGGATACGCGCCCACTGGGTCGCTTTGTCGTCCAGCTGTACACTGAGGCGGCCCCAGTGGTGGTGCTGCAACTGGTGCGCGCCTGCATGTGCAACATGCACAATAAGTTTCTCATCAAGCGGCTATTTCCTGGCCTCTGGCTGGACGTGGAGCTGCCCACGGACAACAATGCGTCCCTGCATCGACCTTTGGAGTACGATGGCAAGATCATTGACCATGGTGTCTCCAGCTATGTGCTTTCGTTTAGCAAGACACACCTGCAGGGTTTTCGTAATAATCTGTCCTTTTCCATTTCCTTCAAGCCCCTCCAAGTGGTGAATGGCTCGCGCGTCGGTTTCGGTCGCGTCATCAAGGGCAGCAAGATCTTTGAGTGTCTCCAGAGCTATGGCACCAAGAACGGCACTCTCAGCCGCGGCATACTCTGTACCAGCTGTGGCGTACTTTAGTCCTTCCACAAAACATGACAAAATTTTGATGTATTGCCAGTAAATCAGTGTGTAATTAAGCGGCGTCTGATTTACTGATTACTGAATGGGTGAGCATTAAACTACTGATAGCTAGTCTCAGCAAATGCTAAAACCCGAGAATGTCCATTGTGTTTTACTTGACCTCCCTGATGAAGGGAATGAAGCTTTGCTCAGATGCTTTAACTTATCCTAAGTAAGTGGCATCTATTTGATGCTTTCGTCGTCGTCTAAGCGAGACTACACTCTTTGTTTAATATGTAAAGGAATCGTTAAGTCTTCGAAGTACCAGAGCACAAGAAATTTTCTGAATCCTTTTTGAAATAGAATGCCAAACATTTCATTTCAAATTTAGTGACACAGAGTTGTAAGTACGCTCTGAATTTTAGTTTAGTGCTTTTTAATCGACTTTCCGTGTCGGATGAAAAATAATACAGAAATTTGTAGTGATTTTTTTTATCGTATAACGTTTTGATAAGCCGGCCATGTCAGAGTTGCCGCAATGTAACTCGGGGGATTCTCTTTATTCCATTGAAGAGAATCCGGTTTCAGAGGCACAATCGCGTGTTAAGCCAAAAGGAACGAGACTTTCGAAAAAAAAGCCGAAAGTTAAAGTGGGCGATACGCGCCACATGGAAGCATGGCTAGAGCATCGTCATCGAGTGCTCAATGTTGTGAGTGAGCTAGATACGAAACCTCCCGGCTTCCAAGCGGCCCGTATGACCGGCGTATTGGGCTTGCGGAAAAATGCAGAGTCCTACAATGTACGTACCAAGGCGAACATTCAGATGCTGGTAGAGATATCAAGAACAATGCGAACTCATGGTGCTATAAACCCATTTCGGCATGAGCGTTTATATACCATGTCTGCGGTGCCGATGACCCTAAAAGTAATGGCTCGCATTGACCAGGAGAATCAGGACATTGCCAAGCGCCTCCTGGAAGTTGTCAGCGAGATCGATACTGGTCTTCCAGCGAAAGACAAACGGCCCACGAAAAGTAATCGATCCGCGCAGCCGTTCGTTATGCCCGAAAAAAGCCTGGACAAGTACAGGGGCTACAACATTAAGATGCCCGAAACGGACAAGGATCGCTGGCAGCTACTGCGTCCGCAAATTTACCTGGACATCTATTTAAAGGGCTCGCGCCCGCTCGGCCGCATCGTCATCCAACTGTACACGGAGGCGGCCCCTGTGGTTGTGCTACAGTTGGTGCGTGACTGCATGTGCAATAAGCAGAGAAATCTGGTTATTAGGCGATTGTTTCCAAATCTCTGGCTTGACGTCGAATTGTGGGACCATGGCAATGCGGATCTAAATCAGCCCATGGAGTATGATGCCAAAATAATTGATCATGGTGCCTCCAGTTATGTGCTGTCCTTTAGCAAGCAGCATTTGCAGGGCTTTCCCACTTACATGTCCTTTTCAATTTCGTTTAAGCCGCTCCGCGTGGTGAACGGTTCCCGCGTTGGCTTTGGTAAAGTTGTTAAGGGCAAAAAGATTCTGGATTGCCTCCAAAGCTATGGCACCAAGAATGGCAAGCTTAGCCGCAGCATTATCTTCACGGGCTGTGGTGTGCTATAAATTTTATGTGATATTGACCATCAAAGTTAACTTTTAACGACTTTCGTAAATTTTTACTCGACTTCTGTTTTCTGTTATTGGGTTGGGAGAATACGACAGCGGCTACATTTACCCCGAACTTCTCTTACAGACTGTCATTAACATTCACACTTGTCACATAAAAGTCCAATCAGTTGCCAGCGCTGCGTCAACGCTCGTCAATCTGTTTAACCCCTCACATCCTCCCTTCACGACCGACATAGTTCTCTATAGTTGCTTGCTGCTCCATGTCCAGTCACATCTCATCTCTATTTGCCACGTTACAAACGCAGGTGTCTTAAACTCCATTATGCCATGTTCGACGTCACTCTTCATTTGCCTCAATTATAAGTGGATAGCGCGAGGAAAAGCGCAAAACACAACGAACACAACGGAACACGAAATTCATCGAGAGGGGGAGAAAGAGAAAAGGAGCCGACAGTCCAACCACCCAACCACCAAACCACCAACCACCAGTCACTTCTCGATAACAAGATGCCAACTTGGTAACATGGCCCAGGACACAAGGCTTATTAATAATTGCGCCGACTTCCTAGTTTTAGCTTTGACTTGGTCAACGCCAGTGGCAACAACTGTAAACAAAGCCAGCTCTCTGTATGTGTGTGTTTATGTGTGTGTGTGTGTGTGTGTCTGTGTGGGCACTTGAAAGGCCTTACTCCACTCCATGAGTCCTTTTTGTGCAGCTCCTGCAGCGCTAATTAATTTTTCCACCCAGCATTAGCGGGGCGAAGCCGAAGCCGAAGCACGACTGTGAGATTTACATTTATTAGCCATATTCAGGCCTGGGGGTAATGAGATCCCCCTAACCCCCTATAGAACCCATCTGCCCAGTGTCCAGCGACCGCTTTCGTGCTGACACGTTGCAGCTGCCAGTTTGGTGGGGCATAGAAATTGTTCCACTCTTCCTCTCTCCCTCCAGCTGCTCGGGAATTTAGAAATATTCAAGGCCGAACCGCTGTGTCTTATGTGGATATGCGGTTGCCCTCGGGGAGGCCCTCCAGATACTTGTACTTTATGCGCGGCAAATTAAATAATTTTAATTTTTATTGTTTCGGCCCGTTGCGACGTCACAGCGGTTGGTCCTGCTTTTGGGTTGGCTTGGCTCCGACTCTTAGTAGGCCATAATTTGCTGGCCAAGTTTTTGGGAGAGCTCCCATTGTTTTTTTCAGGTCCTTTATGCTGACGTTTTTCTCTATCTTTTTCGCAGATCCGCCCGCGCCGCCATTAATTTCGGGCTATATGGAGGGACAAATTATACCAGCCGGCTCGGTGCAAAAACTGCTCTGTGTCTCATCGGGCGGCAATCCGCTGGCAACGTTAACGTGGTATAAAAACGACAAGCGGGTAAGTTCTTGTTGCTGTTTTTTGTTTTTGCATATGCAGCACAGCATTTGCAGCACACAGGCAAAACATCCAAATTAGAGTGCCCGACTCGGAGTTACCATGTAAAATAGATAGAGAACCTACATATCAGGTTAGGCTATATTCTTCAAGCGATATCTTGGAAATATTAGAAGATATCGTTAAAAAGAAATTATAATTCAAATCTTAGGTGAAGGGCTGTATTGATTTCTAGACAAAATAATTGTTGGGTTCACAGATGCAACCTTCCTATGACTTTGATTAGCTAACTTGTATACCCTATTTTACTCATTTTCAATGGGTACTGGGTACAAAAAACTAACTAGAGCAACAGAGATAGAAACACACACACACACACACACACACACACACAGTTGGACTCGTTATGATATCAACAGCAGACAACAAACATGCGCCAAACAATAATGACGCTTTTGTTGACCATTTCCGCTTCCGCTTTATGTGCTGAAAGTGCTAATAAGGCGTTAGCAGGCCGAGGGCCGTTCTATATATATATCCAGATATATTCTCTGCCTCTTTTTACACCTGGACTTTGATGCGCTATCGGGCAATTATCGTTGCCTTGGTCTAGCTGAAAAATTAAATCTTTAGCTGGGCTGGGCATCAACGGAAGTGGCCACAAGCTGCACAGCTGCTGTTGCATACTTATGGGGGCGACATCCTGCCACTGCCCCAGCCACTGCCACTGCAGCAGTTGTAAAGTTGATATACAACAAATGGCAAGTGGCCACCGCCAGCTGCCTTCTGCTGGCTGCTGTCACAGCAACGGAAACAAGCAACTGCTGCTGCTGCTGCTGCACGCTCAACTCTCGCCATCTTTATCACCATTGCGGTTTGGTATCTATCCCAGTCGAAAGGCGCTGCCCGGGGGTTTCGCTGGTGCCGCTGCTCATCTGGGCGCGCAGATTAAATGATATTTTATCAACAAAATTAAAATGCGCTGTGTTTTACGCCAGCTCTCGGCTTCGCCCGCCAGCTGCTCAGCCAGCTGCCGCTGCCTGTCCCTTTGCATATGCAGCACATTGCCGCGAGTTGTTTTGCTTTTAGCTCACTTCGCGCCCACCTTTTATCAGTATGTGTATGTGTGCTCCTTGTATACCCTGTAGACATTGGAATTGGTTAGTGCAGCTGGGCAAATGTCTGTAACAAGCAAAATAAAGTATATATTTAGAGTCTAAGCATTTCGAGCATATTATACAGATTATGAGAGAATATAGAGACACACAGCATATTTTGTAGTATGCCTGTCCCGAAGAGTCCCACTTGCGGCTTTTGTGTGTATGTATGTGCAAAGACAAATTTTAATGTACGTTATGGCTGGGTACACGGTATCTCAATGCTGGACACTCACAACTAGAACACTCTGGATATTTCTTGCCATGTTATGGGAGGTGCATTTTTATTTTTTAGCAAACGGCGAATGTACATACATTATGCCAACTGACGCAATTTACCTTTGCTGTTGCTTTCCAGATCAACTCCGTCATTCGGGCCGCAGACAAATCTGTTTCGGCCGAAATAACTATTTTGGCCAACGTCACCGACAACCAGGCGCAATACCGTTGCGAGGCCTCGAACAGCGCCACGGAGATACCACTCTTTGAGTCTACGACGCTGAGTGTTCACTGTAAGTAGTTGCTGTTCTTGTTGTTGCTGTTGTTGTTGCCACAGAAAAAGTCGTTGAAGACAGCTCATGCCATTATTATCCGCTGGCTGTGCTTACAGTTGCGCCAGAGACGGTAAAAATACGCATTGAACCGGAAGAGCTGCGACCTGGCATGGAGGCAACCATCATTTGCGACTCGAGCTCGAGCAATCCACCGGCAAAGCTGTCCTGGTGGAAGGATGGCATTTCCATTGAAGGTACGTAAGCGCCAAAGATTTTGGAAGTTTGCCCAGGCGGCAGGGCATGGCATGGTGTGGACTTGGCGGCGCCGTTGTCAAAATGGCAGCTGCTGCTGCTGCTGTTGCTGCTGCGTCCTCCCAAGAGCTGATGCCGCCGTTGCATTTTTTAAGGCGTTTCCACGACAACATCCGGTCTGGTTGCCAGCCAGTCAACTGGCCCAGCCAACGTCCAGTCGAGTTCAGTCAGTAAAGTAAAATCACGCCCATTTTGTTTTCTTCTCCTGCTCCTCCTGCTGCTCCTGCTGCTGCTGCTCCACAGGCATTAATAACACGTCCAAGCCAGGCCTCTGGGGCGGCACGGTCTCCACGCTCGAATTCAGGCTAAACATTACCCAGGAAATGAACGGTGTGGTCTACACTTGCCAAAGCGCCAACGAGGCATTGCAGCGCAGCGTCCACGAGGCAATCAGCCTGAATGTGCTGTGTAAGTAGTCCGTCTGGATACCTAATTGAGCAATTAGACTCCATCTGAATCTGAATCTCAATTTAAATTGGAATTGAAATTGGAATTGGAATTTAAATGCTCCTCCCTTTCCACCCCCAACACACATGCATAGATCGTCCCAAGTTTGTGCCGCCGCCCTCGTCCACGTCAGTTGGGTTAGAGGGCGAGTCCTTGCAGGTACCGCTGCAGGCCAATGCAAATCCTGCGCTAATAAGCTACACTTGGACAAAAAACGGCACACCCATACCGCAAGACACCAGCGGCAGCGTCTCCGCCGGCGAGCATCGCATCTTTGCGGATGGCGCTGTTCTCAACTTTACCAAATTGCATCGCGAAGATTCCGGCATCTACTCCTGCACGGCCAGCAACTCCCAGGGCAAGGCCAGCATCAACATAACCGTTGTGGTGGAATGTAAGTACCTAAAGCGACCATATAAGTCCGCCATTAAGCAGCTGCTCTTGCACAGATGGCACCGCCATTAAGTCCGTCTCGGAGAATATCATTGTCAATCCGGGCGAGGATGCCATGTTGTCCTGCACCGTAGAGGGAAAACCGCTCGCCGACGAGCATGTCAAATGGGAGCGAGTGGGCTACGATATGAAAGTGAAGACCACAACAACCTTTACTAATGGCACCGCCTATCTGCACATTAAGAACGCGCAGCGTGAAGATGTCGGAAACTTTCGTTGCGTGGCCGACAACCACGTGGCCAATCCCACCAATAGAGATGTGCTGCTTATAGTCAAATGTAAGTGATTCGACAGCAACTCATTTTTGCGTCTGCTACTCCCAATTTCCATTTGCAGTTGCGCCGGAGATCGCCAAGTCGCCGACGCTGCTGCGAGCCGCGAGCGGAACTGGGGAGCGGGGCCGACTACCCTGCCGAGCGCAGGCCTCTCCTAAGCCGCAGTTCATTTGGCGCCAGGACGGCAAAGATCTGCCAATCAATCACACATTCAAATACGAGCTGGAGGAGCGTAAAATCGACTCGCTCACCTACGAGTCCTCCCTGATTGTTGAGAAGGTGGCACCCGCCGACTATGGCGCCTACGAATGTGTGGCACGCAATGAGTTGGGCGAGGATGTCGAAACGGTTCGTCTGGACATTACCTCCCAGCCAGAGCCACCGCTCAGTCTTAATATACTGAATGTCACCCATGACACTGTCACCGTAGCCTGGACGCCAGGTTTTGATGGCGGCCTAAAGGCCTCCTACCGCGTGCGATATCGGTATGTATCCCACCCTCCCAATCCGAAAACCCGATTCTCCAAAACCTTAAGTTCATTCCATTGCAATTACTGCAAATGTCACGCGCACTAATGAAATTGCCAGCTCGACCAGAAGCCTCCCCCCCTTAACCCGTTGCATTTTCCCTCTCTCTGTGATTGCAGGATGGCCGACCGCGAGCAGTACAAATACATTGATGGGCTTCCCAACAGCCACAAGCTGACCATCGGAGGGCTGCGGATGAATACGCTGTATCTGTTTTCGGTCATGTCGTGGAATGATTTGGGCCAGAGCTCCTACCTGCCGGATTTGGCGCGTGCCCAGACCAAAGGTAAGCAAGGCTTTAAGCCGCGCAAAATATTCAAATTAGCCGGGGGCCAAATGCCTGTCCCGTCCTGGCGCCAGCCTCTCCACATTGATTTATGCGTACCGCCAGTTGGCATTTATGGTCATCCGCTGTCCATTCAGTCGCTGTGCCAGAAAATGAAGTGTCCATTTCCCCTGAGATTGGCACAGCGGTAGTTGCTGCCGTTTTCTGTCCCACCCAACGATATTCCTTCGCTCAATGATCTCTCTCTACTTCAACGCTGCACTTAATTGGAATTGTATTATGGCCATCAACAACGTCCACGACAACATCAACGACAACGACAACGACAACACGGCCAAACCTCGACCTAAAACATGAATACACGCTGGATGCGTCCGCACCGCAGAAGCGCCGCCTCCCTCGCAACCGGCTTCCTCGCTGGGCGGTGGACCGCCAACCACTAGTCAGACACCCCTGGGTGGCACATCGGGCATACTGCTAGTCGGCATCGCGGCAGGAATTACATTGGTTCTGCTCAACGTGTTTCTCATCGGCTGCTGTATTCACAAGCGCAACGAGAAGCGTCTCAAGCGAGGTATATTATCAGCGCTCAAAAGGAATATTTTATGTGGTTGTTGTTGTTTTGTCTAAATAATGCAGCTGATTGACTGACTAACTCCGTAAGAGTATTTTTTTTCGAAACCCATGACGGAATTTTGCGAAATTCCTTTGGATAGAACACTTCTTAAGCTCCTTAAAGATTACATTCGATAAACCTCATAAAAAATGGAAGATAAAGAGATTTTAAATTTAAGGAATACAATACTTGTTAGCTGTCACAGCTAGTCGCAGCCGTAGTTGACCATCGTATCATTTGAATTTATAATCCAGCCACCGTTCCTCTGCTACCCCACGGTCCTCTGCTACGTGCCGTGTGGTCAGGCGTCGGACGGCGCTAATTTCATTTGCCCGTCACATGTTGGGGCTGCGTTTCCGCGTGCGCCATTGTGACTCCATGGCTACGTGATTTGCGTCACTTTTGCATGGGTTCCTTAACTGGGACCAGATACGTTCAGCTCTAGCTGGAAATAGGGCGCAACCGCAGAACTCCCAGAGCCGACTACCCAGCCCCGAGCAGCTCGCATCCATCCCCATCCCATTGCCCTGGAGCGATGCTGCGTCATTTTTATTACAATTTCTCATTTCGTTTCGAATTTATTTATTGTTTTATTTTTGCAAGCATATTTTTTGTTTTTTATATATTTTTTTTCATGGTTTCGTTTGGTTCGCTTCGGTTGGCTTTGGTTTATTTTGACTCGATGTCGCGACATTGTCATGGACCAGGACTTGAAATGATGCCAGCCGAGTTAACTGAGGATTCCAGCAACACGCCGAATCTGGTCATAATTGGCATCTCTCTGGCGGCATTCGGATTTCTTTTGGTCAATGCGGCGCTCGTCGCTTGGTTCTTTGTACATCAGCGACGGAAAAAAGGTTCGTTGACAGGATTTTTATTTATTTGATCCTATTTCCTTTAACGTACATACTATTTATTATTGTACTTTTATGTGTCTGGTTTGTTATTTATTTTTGTTGCGTTTCCTATGCGTTTCAAAGTGGTATGGAATTCAGAGCTCTAATCGTATTTATCAGGCACATTTGGCCATGTAAATTATACTTTAAATTCATGAACACCCTTATGCTTGGCGTAATCTTTGAGTCTTAAGTCAGGCTGCAGCCACTTCGTGGCTCTCGCACCACTTCCGCGATACCACAGGAAGCAAACGCGTTGTGCAACATCCGATGCTCCCAGTGGACGTGGCTGCTCACTTTATGATGCTCACTAAACAATTTCCTGCATCTACATAGATGATACACACACAGATACAGATAGATAAAGGTGGGGCGGGCTATAGGTCTGAATATCGTATATGCGCAATATGCGCTTCTTGTAATTTCCGCGAGAAAACCAGAGCCCGAGCATGGCAAGGAAACAGCCAAGTCAAAAGGGAAAACTGGAAATGCGAAATGCGAAAAGAAAAACAAACCGCTTTCTGAGCAGTCAACAAGAATATAATGATGACAGAAAATAATGATGCATCCTGGCAGCGGACAGCAGCGACGACTCGGGGCCATGCCAAGTGCAACTGTTTATTGAACAACGACGTTGGCAGCCACCTCGTCCGGTTGCCCCTCGTCCGGTTGCCCCCGTTAGCCCGATGGCGAAGACAAATGTGCATCGTTTTCTTAGCTGAACGCACAATCTTTCGGAAATCAGATTGCTTTACCCCATCCTTAGCCAGCAGACACCCGGCAACGGACACTAGACAGCAGACAGCAGACACCAGATAGCATAGAGAGCACGTGTCCGGCAAGTGTTTGAATCCTGCGCTGGCTGCCTGCCGCTCAATTTGCAGCTAAAGCTGGAGATTGTTTATTAATATGGAATTATATTTCAACAGGCCAAGTGAACGAAATATAAATATACCTCCCCTTCCCACAGACCGAAGACAACGAGCCACCGAGCCACCCGACCGTTGAGTTGAGAAAATTGCAGACATTTCTTGGCAAGTCAGGTCTCAAAGACAAACCAAGCTAGAACGTGCAGAAAGTGTTAGCACAGAAGCAAAAAATTTCGAACGCTTCAAGTGCCAGAACCACAAAAATTCTTGGCCAGAGATGAGCCAACGTTTGGCCGGGCGTGCTAACCAAATTATTTTTCATTGAGCCAAATTTAGTGGTTTGACACGCAGAGTTCCCGAGCAGCCGCACCAGCAGTGCCAATAGCAGCAGCAGCAGTAGCAGGAGCATCTTCTCAATCAGACTCAGAGTCAGTCCCAGTGCACCACCGTTCCAGAATTATGCATACGCATTTGTACGTGAGCTTGGTACGATATGATGTGCTCCTACATGCCATACCCCGAGGCAGCAGAGACAGCAGATGCAGCATTCCGACTGCCAGTTGTCGTTCGCAACAGTTTGTACAACTGTGCATACTCCCAGTTCTCCGTATGTACTCGGTATTTGCAGTTGTAATGTATGCTCGTATACTTTTGCCAAACATTTGACTTATGAGCTGGTTAACTTCTCCGACTTTTTGCCCGCCAGTTCAACTTTTGACGGCTTAATGGGACGCTTTGTATTCATGGCCGAGTAGCATAGATGATATCTTTTGCACAAAGTTTAAAAAGTTTTTAACTAGCTGGGTATTTATGTATACATAACTGGTTCACTTTACTAACTGAATGATTGAGTGATTGACTGACTGAATGACCCATCGACAACACGACGCACAGCTCAAACTCAAAAAGCTAGAAAGCCCATAAGATCTGTCTTCATTTCCCGGAAAACTGTTCTCCTGTTTTTTATCCAATCGGTTTTTAACTCCGTTTTACTGGCTTTTATTAAAACTCAATGTATGTATTAGTAAATTGCAAATTATCATTAGGTACTTCAGCTTTAGTTATGTCCATGTTCTCTCGTTTTTTTTTTTTTGTTTGTACTTCATTAAATGAAGTTTGACTCCTTGGGAACGCCCCTAGCCTAGGCCCTATTCAGCGGGTTTTGTAGTTGCCGCTTTTGTCTGCTTTCTCGAATTTGCTCTGTGTGAAATGTAGGCCAAGATTTTTGACATTATGAGCGCGAGGCACTCTCTAGCGGAGCATGAACTATAGCCGCAGGACATAAATAAGATATTTTTCTTAGAATTCCGCTTGCTTTATTATACGGATACGGATGCGAGCTGAGATAACAGTGGGGATAGGGTTAGGGGTAGCAATTTCTCTCTTATTGCCAGTGCACAGTTAGGTTTGAACAAATGACGCGCTTGCATATGGATGCAAGTGCCTAACACCACCATCCCGTTGAATATCCTGCACAAAAGAAATTCATATTTCAGTTTTAACAGCCGCTTGTTACAAGAACTGTTAAGCGAGCCAGGAGCCTCCTTCTTCTGCTACCCAACAAAAAACTAAAAAAAAACTGTCTACTCCAACAACATTTTTATGACAATGTTCGGCTTGGAGCCGCTCCCGAACCCGCCATAAGCCGATAACTGACAATGCCCAAAAGCATTTTTTTCCATTTTTTTTTATACCATAAAAGAGTTGTCAGGGAAACTGGTGCGTTGGCCAGGATGACAAGGGTGGCGGGTATGAGGAGGGGGGGGGACTAGTGGACAGCTTTTAGCCCGAAGATAACTCTGCATATTTCAATGTTTTCGCTAGCGAAACTTGACTTGTGGGCTGCCTGCTGCTGGCTGCTAGCTGCTGTTTGTTTGTTGTGCTCGGCCCTTGGATATGCATTTTTAATGTGCATTTGCGCTTTTGTGTCCAAATGCCGCATGACGGCAAAGAAATACACCCGCCACAAGAGGAAGTCATCCGCACAGAGACTAGGACATGGCCAAGAAGCTTTCACTATTCCACTGGGCTGTTGCCCGATAAACTATGCCAAAAGTCTGCGGTTGGCAGCTGGTCGGCGGTTCGGCTTTTCGGCTGTATCCTCTATCCACTAGGTCAATGGACTCCAGTGGACATTGGACACACACACACATATATCATTCTCGTATGAGTTTGCCATCCTGTAGAATGCCATTTCTAATGTTTATTGCCTTTCGTCGACTGCTCCGTAGATATGAAGTGCGTAGAGCGAAATGACAAAGCGGCAGTTCCACTGAGAAAAAATGAAAATTACAAGAGTAGTCGTGCTCCTGGGCTAGCACTTGGCATAGTCAAACGTTAATTTGAGACTGGAAAAGATGAAATTTCAAAAACCAATGACAGGGAGCGAGAGGCGAGTAGTTGGGGCAGACTGTGGCTGCAACACTAGGCAAAACTTTTGTGCGAACGTTGCCAGAGGCGATAAGCGATGTCGCTAACGCTTCAATACAAACGAAATCCTCCGGAAACCACTTGACTTTGACACTCTTTAAACAATTGACTACGGCCTCAGTGGGCAGCGGGTATGGAACTGTCCATCGAATCTGTTGAGATAAGCACACAGCCTGTCAAACAATTCGGCGCCATTGCCGATGTCCAAAAGTTTTAAAAGTTTCCTTCCAAGGATTGCTATCTACATGCTACATATTTGGGTGAACCTTAAATATTTGGTATTTGCAATTTTCTGTACCAACTCCAGATATCCTGTAGACAGCTCAGAGCTGTAGTTCTTCATTTCTTTGCTCCACTTTATGCACAATTCATTCTTCGTTATCTTCGGAAGTTGGCTAATTCAATTCACCTTATCGATCATATTTATACCCTATTGCGTCAAATATGTCCCCTACTGCACGTTGCATAAAGTTACACAACTGCAATATACCTTTTCTCTCTGGGTACAGGGTATAAAAACTGCACAGCTAGGCAAGAAGTTTGCCCAACACTTTCGAACAGAAGCTATGCTGACAAAAACTGAGAGAAGTCAAAGCATAACTGGCAGCTATTTTTTTGCCCGGCTCACCCTGTGCCCCAACAGTTCAGCAGATTAGGAGAAAAACCTTCAAAGCAGACGAGCCCGTCGACGGCGACGTCATTAACTGTCCTGACGACCGCAAAAGCTGTCTAAGCCATGTCATATATGTACATATATACATACATAAATATATATGTATATATATATATATAGCAGCGCAAAAAGCGGACAAAATCCGCTCGCCTTCAGTCCTTCCCGTCCACTAGGCACCAGATTTTTCGGGCTGCCGTGGCATAAGTGCAAAATTTGTAATCTCTGTGTCGGCCACATAAAGTGCAGCGGAGGAGGTGTCGGAGGAAGACTCGGCTCATCTTCGAGTAAGGCTCTGGTTTATTTGACGTATGGCTGGTTGTAGTACAGCACAGAATAAAGCCTCCCACCCAGAACGTTATTGGCCGAAGGCTTTGACAGTGATAAGCCCGTGTGGTAACCTTTAATTCTGTCTGTCCACACATTTGACAGAGTCAAGTAGCCCAGAAATGTTGAGATTACCTTTGCCATTCGAAGCGTATTTATTTCTGTGCATTGATTTCTAATGGGTGCGTCTCCAATTTTGGTTTAGATTGGTCGACTTTTGACTATATTTAACAGTTCAACCTATTTATACCCTAGCAGAGGGTATTCCAAGTCGATAGAGCTTTGTCCGTCCTTCCATCTGTTTGTTTCTAGGTAAACTGTTTTCTGAGCTTAAGAGTATGCAGCTAGTACGCATGCAAAGTTGGCAAAATCCAATCAGCATGGGATTTATTATAGCTCCTTTAGGAACGAGGGTATTTAATTATCGGCAACCCGAAAAATAACATTTCATTCTTGTTAAAGCCAATTGTAGTTCTTTTGCAGGCTTTGGCTTTATTGTAACCGCCACGTGTCGCCATAAATAAAGCATGTAAATGGGTTGAAAAAATATTTTTTTAATTCACTAAACTATAAATGCAATCGCATATTTGTTAGTGGAGCCACTTCCCCGAGTAGCTGACCCCGGGCAACATATTTTATTAACGACTGTCGCAATAAATACGTGACGCTGTCGACAGCAGTCGGCTGGGAGTGCTCTACAAATTGACGACTCGCAATTAAAAGCTTTTTATATTTGTATTAACATAAACAAAAAATTATTTAAAGTGAATATGGGTAAGAGTTTAAAAATAGCCCTAATATCGAACAATAGTCAAGTAACAAAAAACCAGAATTTAGGCAGAATTTGGCAAAGCTGCAATAACAACACATACTTAAATATTCTATTGTAATAAATTTATAAAATTTCATAAATATTTGAATATAATCTAACATAATATTTTCGATTTTTACCTTTTCCTCAACATGAAACCTGAACGAATCACTCATCGAAATGCTGCTTTCGTGTAAATATGGAAACTCCAAATGCACTCAACGTACTCACACACACACACACACACACGCACACACGCACATTGACTTTATGGAAAACACGTGTTAACCATGTGGCGCGGTCATTTTTGTCGTTGCCATTTGTGAAAATGTGCCATGAATCATTTAATGGCATTTTATATACAAATTTAATTGCATTTTTACTCTTCGACAACCCCGCGCCGTCCCTGCGCCGCCCCTGCGCTGCCATGCCTTGCCTTGCCACGCATCGCCGAACTGAACATCGTGCATTGATTTTAACCCTTGACCACGGCCAACAAAAATGCGTTGGCATCCCAAATGGACGGCGGGCGTTGTTGTTGGCTGCGCGCTACTCTGCACCAAATGTGAATAATTTAACACAATGCCTGCCACCTCGCTTTGCCCTCACCCTCACCCTCACCCTGTCAAATTTGGCAACATTTGCTTGCTCTGCACTTTGACAATCTTTGCTATTTGCATTTGATTTGCATTGCCTGAAACTATGCCCATGCACACGCCCACTCCGACGCCCATGCCCACGCCCACTCCCACGCCCACGCCCATGGCATTACAACAAACCCTCCATATCCGGGTCTCCGATGCTCGATGCTCCGCCCGTGCGGTGTTCCAAACGACTGGCGCACTGCGCACCGCCGCCGCCGCCGCCCAATCAATTTTCGGCATGTCACTGCCAATTACACCTTTTCAATATTTGCGCCGCATACTTTCTACCTTTTTTTTTTTGCTGGATGCCCAAACTGGCTGGATGCTGTACCTCTGTCATCCTCTCTCTGCATTGTCGCATCCAGTGGCGGAAACTACAAATCAACCAGGCAAAACGGCGACCATCGAAATGTACGCGCCCAGTTCGTACAATGACACCGTCACCGGCGAGACACTGTCCAGCGTGTCGGAGAAGAGCGAGTCCTACTCCAATGAGGGCAGTCAACCGGAATATATTGTGAGTATACCACACACACACACACACACACACACACACATACACTGCCACCACACTACCACCCCACTTACCCGTTTGCGAATTCAGTTTTTAGGTCCACTTTTTATACCAAACTATTTTGTCTACCCTGTGCTCATTGAAAGTGGGTATAATCGTTTTATGCAACTGTATGTAAAAGTTAAAAGAAGACATGATTGGGACACGTCCGTCCGAGAATAAAGTTTATTTCAAATTATCGAAAGCTTCTAGAGTAGATTTTACCACACTTTTTTGGAGCATACAGAAGTTAGGGACACCATCTCGTAGAGTACACTCAGATCTAGAAAATATTATTTTTGAAACAAGAGTGCTTTATAGCTGTCTGATGGAGCGTTGCTCCCAGTTGGTTAAACCCCATTGCAGCATTTTTATTTGGATTTTTTTTGCATGAATATGCAATTTGTGAACGCGAATGAGAGTACAATGGGCAAAAATGTCGTCTGATGCTGGAGCTGAGGAACTGTGGCCAGCATTTAGGCAGGCACTGCGTTAAAAAATTATGGGCTGCCTTAAGTTATTGCCAGGCGCTTGAAATTACAACTCAAGGCCGGAACTGGGTTCGGGCTTGGGACTGTTGACATCGAGGTCGCCGGAACTGGCTGGCAACCAGTCAGCTAGCCGGAAGCAGCAGCCGGCTAAGACGTCATGATTAATTACGCCCTGCTGATGATAATGATGAGCGCGAGTCCAAAAACCAAACCGAACCCAAACACAACCCAAGCGAGCGGGGACAACGGCAAACAAATCGTTTCAAATTATTAAAATCATTTATTACCCGCGTAATCTTGCTGTGGCGCAGTAAACCACAAAAACTGCTGCCTAATGTTGACTGTTAACAGTCTGCCTGCCTACGGGGCGTGCCATAAATCAACGTTGCGTATACGCAGCGTGCACCCCTCCGAGAAGGTGTCGTCGATGTCGTCGCTGTCATTGCCGCTGTCAATTGCGCGCAAATGACTTTCAACGCCTCCCGAAACAAAAGCTTAAGTAGAACGTAATTACCAAGGTGCAGCTAAAGGATCAGGTGTCAGAGTTTGAATCAGAGCTGTGGTCAGGGGGCAGGCAAAAGTCCTGGCGATTGCATTTTCATTGATTGTTTTCGTGTCGCTCTTTTTTCTCCATGCAGGACGAATCACGCAAGAAGGCGGCATCGACATATCTAGTTGAGAGCACGGACATGCCACCACCCAGATACCAAAAGGATGGCACACTGCCAGCATTATATCCAAATAATATGGGTAAGTCAAGATCCAGCTGACCAGATATCAGCTGCAGCATAATGAATGTCCAGATTGCAAATCAAAAAAAAAACAAGAGAGAAAGAGAAGGAGAAGAGCACATAAAAAGCATTTTAGATAATTAACTTTTGACCAAAACAACAAACCAAGTTCAGAGTTGCACGCGCTGTCAGCACGTCAACGTCCGTTCTGGCCCAGTCTTCCAGCGGCAGACCCCCTGCCCTGCTGCAGTTGTTGGCTGATTTTTTTATGCCATGATTGCAATCAAAGCTAAAAATAAAAATAAAAGCGATGTAAAAACGGATATCGGCAAAATCCACAGAGCAACTAAGTACGCGCCAGCTGAAAATTCAATTTGAGTGCAACATCTCCATCTTAATTGTAATTGAGCAGCAAAGTTTTTGCCAGTCTTGATTTTCAATTGACTCATGAGTGTGTATGCGTGTGTGTGTGTGCGTGCAAGTGTGTGCGTGCAAATGTGTGCTGCCTCCGGCTGAGTTCAGCACTAGAAACCAAATCACGTTCCGGGCCCTGCGCTAATTTAAGAGTGCGTCTGAATTTAAGAATATCGTTTATCAAGGCGCATCAAAATGAAAGAATAATAATAATATTAATGCCCCCCACTAGAGAGGGGAATATGCTCAGCATGTCTGAGTAAAAGACGAAGAAGAAGAAGCAGAAGGGAAAAACAATAGTCGTATTATAATAACATTTGAGACATTGCTGAAAGCATCGCAACTGCATTTCAAATGCAAAGCGCAAAAATAATAAAAATACATTAGCTTCAAACTTTTGCTCGCTTCTCTTCGCTTCTTCTCTTCCTCTTCCTCTTCTCGCCGGTGTGCCCATGTCTCCTTGTCAATTCTCCGCCGTGCCTGCGCTGGAAATAAAATACAATTACCTTATGTCAACGAATTTGGCAAGTGAAGGCGCCAAGTGGAGCATACTTCAAAAGTGGCAGCCACTACAACAACAACAGCTCAAATAAGAAGAAGAAGAACAAGAAAAAACAATAAACTTCCGATTGCCGAACACAAAATACCCTTGCAGACAGCGGATATGTCGCATATCCTTTGATCCTCAAAAGTGCCTTTTTCATACCAAATATATATATACATATGTACTTCCTGCTAATTGTATAGATATTCTATAGAATCTCCCCGTTCTATTGTCAAGATACTTTTTTTATCGACTTAAGAACTGCAAACACGTTGTTCCTCTTTGGAAGCCTAAACTTGTTGAGAATTATAAGCGCCGTTTTTTTTTATTAGTAAATACTTTAGGTGGTCGGGTAATATGCGTTACACGTTTCGTGTTCAAATTTAAATTCCCTTTGTTAGGGTATTAGAAGACCAACAATATTTGATAGCGCTTGACGCCGGGACAAGGACTTTGCCACAGATAAACGGAGATGGCGAGTAATTATGTATACGGCTGCGTGGTAAAAAATAAAAAAGGAACACATAAAACACAAACAACAACAATAAGAAAAGCCACACAAAAACACGAACACGAGCACGAACACAAAGACAAGCGACAAGGAATGAAAGAAAAAAATGTTAAACAAAAATGCCTCGTGGCATAAAAATTAAAATGCTTGCCGGAAGCTGAAGCTCAAACAAGCGCCCCAGGCGAAAATGCGCCATGGGGCAGAGGCAGAGCCGGAATACATACATATATACAAATGTACATATATGTACATGCATACATGCGAGCGTACATACTAAATACATCTGTCTTGCTGTTAGTTGTCGCCACCTGCTGCTGGCTGAGTTGAGATCAAATAATAGATGAACACAACTCGTCCTCGCATCCCCCTCCATTGCATTTAAGCCAAAAGCAAACTGTGAAGCGCATTTTTAATGAGATACCATAGAACGCGCCACCCTGTTAATGAGCAGCCGCATGGAAAAGCCCCCGGCCATCTACGGGCGATTTTCCGAACTACGAATGTGCAAATATGCGACAACAAAAAAAAAAAAAAAAAAAATTTAATGAAAAGTCAGGTTTTGAGCAAGTTTCCATAGCCTTGGCCGGCTTAGAACCGACCAGGGATAAATATATATAAAATATTTTTTGTATACTCTTTCAAAATATATATAAGGCGAATATACAGACTGTGCATATGCCTATGTCAGCTGCATCGGAACGATATATATGATATAAATGCCTTAGAAAGAATGGGTCCAGAAATGAGTTTTTAAAATCAAAACTTTTTAGTCTTCTATGATATGTTAATTTGACTTGTCAGTTACTTATTCTACCATGCTCCTTAACAGTGGCCAATCTTATTGGCCTTACACTAATATTATAAATAGATCCTATAGGAGGAATCGTTCAAAATCGTTTTTCAAAAATGTTCCACCACAGCTTGAACAAAATCTTTTTAACAACCACATGCACATACACAAATGTCTGCAAGGGTATTCAATCTTCGGCGATCCGTAGGCAACTTACTTACTTTGTTTTTATTTACCAAGCGCAATGCTTTCGACAAAATAATTCCCTTTCAACAAAGCTATTAATATGAAATGAATGCCACCTGGGTGGATAAGGCTTATAGATGTACATATGGGCAGATGTATGAATGTGTGTGAGCGTGCATAGTTTACTTGCAAGGATCTGGCCAATTACACACATTATAAGTATATGTACAGTAATGATTTTTTTGTTTTGCCGGTGCTCCGATTTTGATTTAGCTGTAACTGGCAAAGACTTCTGCTGCTGCTGCTGATCGAAAAATCAATAATTCATGAGGACACACCACCTCCCCCTTCTCCCCCCTCCCCACCTTTAGAAGGTGCACCCCAGCCTACGCCATGTTGTACTATACACGCATACTCAATACGCATATGCAAAGTAAACAGGCCACAAAATGAACATGGGAGCCCGTAAGCAGGTCAGCCACAGCTCCATCTCCCGCTCCTGCTTCTGCTCCTGCTCCCTCTCCATCTGCTCGAGCTTCATTTCCTTTACGGCGTGTGGCAGGCTCCCGGGCGTCTTCGATTTGTCTCCGTGTTCTTACTTCGAGTAGATTGTTCCCACAGCCGCAGCTTCCTCAAGTTTCTTAACAAAATTATTGTTGCCTACATTCGAGCGTTGCTGGCACTTGAGCTACACGTTTGTATACTCTAGTAGGTGTGCGTGTGTGTGTGTGTGTGTGGGTGTGTATCGATGTGTATGCGTGTGTGGCTCTTTGTCTAAGTCTATTTTACAAAATTACAAATTTGTTACGTTTGTGGCTTTCACGCCTTTTCGAATGACAGCCTTGTTGGAACTCGGCGAGTTTTGAGTGGTTAAAGCGCTGTGAATGTGGGCTGTTTGGAGGGGGGGGGGGGGGGGGGGAGGGTCCTGTGCATGTGTGATTGTGGCAGCACCAAATACCAGACAATTTGTCTTATCATAAGTAGATGCCATAAATACTATGCAATCGGCGTCGCAACTTTAACGCTTTGGGGCAACCGGCTTTGTTGCAAGTGTATCGAAACGATTTGCCCATTGGGCTTATCGCCGCAACACCTGCCTCTTATCACCTGTCCCGGCCATTCGTTGCAATTAATGGCACTCGTTTTATTCACTTCCAAACGTTTGCACACCAAATGAACCAGAAAGCAGCAAAATGTTGCACCTACGTGGGTGCGCCACGCATGCCTGCCAAAAGGGAAGCTCAATGCCGAATGGAGGCTACGTGTGTGCATTTCCAGTGCTCAATGTGGTGTGTGTGTGTACGAGTGTGTGTCCCTTTCAGGCAAAGTCTGTGCCTTTTGGTTTTTTCAAATGCCCCTGTAAATGTGTCATTTGCAGCACCCAAATTGAAATTGTGCTGCTGGCCAGGCTTTAGTTGGGCTGGCAAGCGCTTTAGTTGTTGCAACAACAACAACAACATTAATGGAACGGGCCTTGGCAACGGAAACAGTCGGGCCAACCATTAAAAATTCAATTCAATTCATGCAAAGGTCAAAGTTCCCGCTAGCTAGCTAACTGGGTGATCTGTGACCTGTGACCCGCTGACCTTACACGATACTAATTAACCGCTATCTCTCCACTTGCAGTCAACGCCTGCACGCTACCACATCCGCGGCATAACAACGGGCACGCGGCCGCTATTGCCGCCGCCGCCGCCGCTGGCCACATGACGCGCGACGATCAGATGCTCATCAGCAAGGGCGTCTATATTCCGTCCCCTTCGCCAGCACCGCCAACGGATGGCTCCTACTACAACATGAACAGCGACAGATATTTGTCGTATCCGCCAATGGTGAGTAGAACTGCGAGTTTTCGTCCTTATCTCCGTCAAACTTGCCGCGTCACGCCTCGGCGATTCTTTAAGACTCGCCGGGATTAGATGCAGCTGCAATGCAATGTTAATTGCCCGCCTTGATCCTTAATATCGCTACCCGCTGCACCGCTTATGGCTAGTCACGGCCAAGGATTAGTTCGCGCAATTAGTTGGAGTTTTATGCACGTTGCCCGGACAACGCACACACACACACACACACCCTACCCGCCAGTCAGCCCTAGGCAAATCCCACTCCATTTGCATCGCTCTGTGACCGGCAATGCACATATACTTATACATACACTTAGAGAAAAAGCAAGTTATGTAGTCTAGTTAGAAGGACATGGGATTCATACAGTTTGGATTCTTGAAATTTAATTTCTTGTATATGCCTAAAATGAGTATACGAAACTTGTGATTAGGAATTTTGAGTATTAAATCGAGTTTTCTCTAAGCTGAACTCGGTCAGCAAATTTGATCTAAAACTATTGATTATTTCTCCAAGTGTACTATATATGCTAGCACATCTATCTACATATATGCACATGTATATATATCTGTATATACGATCAGGCTTGCGGGGCGGCAGCCAACTGCCATGTGGCAGCTGGCAGCTGCCAATGTGCGCTGCAGCAGAATGGCTGCCAGTTAACTCGGTTCGACTTTTATAATCCGCGTGCCGCATGCAACGCTGTAAAGACAAATGACAAACTCAAAAGCATTAAGCTGCAGGCAGCAGGAGGGGTACATAAGATGAAGGCGGTGGGGGGGGCAGCTGTAATATTGGCGAAGCTGGCAAGTTGGATGCTGCATTTGCTTTGTTGTCATTGTTGTTGCTTGTGCTGCTGCTGTTTGTACTTGCAAAAGTAAACATTATTTTCTCAAGACAACAATTTAATATTACGCATACGCAGCGTGTGAAGCAGCAAGAACGACGTTTCTGAGGACAGACAACCTCCGCGTATTGTAACTTACAATTTATCCCATGTGCTGTCTTGTGCCATGTTGCTCCCTCTTGTTGTATGTGCCTCGCTTCATTACATGCAACAAAGTTTTGCGCCGCATCACTCATAAAGAGCTGCCGCCCAACCTTCTCGACCGGGGCATGATTTTCATTTCAAATATGTATGCGGCATGCCTTATTTCAAACTTTTGCCAGATTTTGTGGCATGCCACAGCCAGCATTGATCTTCTGACCGGGCTCGACTGGCACAAAAAAATGCCAGAGAGCAGTGTCTTCGTGTCGCATTAGGCTAACCCAATATAAATTCCACAAATTCACAATAAACATGGGAAAATCAATTTTCCAAATTTATTGCTATCGTTCTTTTTTTAGGTGAGGATATGTGTATATGTATATTTTATTCGCTAAACCCATTGAAAATGGCTAAAAGGGGTATAATGGTTTTGAGTAAATGTATGCAACAGACAGAAGAAGGCATCTTCGACCCCACGGTGTGAACATATTCTTGATCAGGAGGACGAACTGAGCCGATCTAGCATGTCGCCTGTCTGTCTGTTGGCATATACACTCAAAGTTTATAAGGATCAGGCAATAAACCTTGAAAGTTAATTATAAATCAGGAAAGAAGACGCGCAGCAGACACATAAACGGCTTGCTTTCGAGTGCATATGCGTGTTTTTTTTGTTTATACGTGTATTGAAATAAGCTTTTAAATGTTTTTAAAAGAAACTGGACGCAATGCTCAGGGTATTTGCTAGTCATATACTCCGGACTAGAGCAATCTTACTTGTTTCTTTTTATCACTGCTGCCGCTGTCGACTGCTGCTGCTAAAGGGGTGTAAATGTGACAAGTTAAGACGACACTCAATGCGGCTGACACTCGTGTCCCCCTGTCCTGGCATTGCCATCGCCCGGCCACCCACAGCTGTCGACTGTCAGCTAGCATTTTATGGCGCTGCCAGGCCAATAATTGTATAAATTAGATACGAACGAAATGCAGTTAGCAGCCAACTCTTGTGGATCCCCAAAGGGATGTCGCCAGCTGCAAGGGACGCACACACGCACACAGAGACACACTCCTAATGGCGGCTAATGTAATAATATTTATGCTAGCTGCTGACCATTTTTATGGGCTTTTATGCTTTATGCGATTTGGCCAGTTACTCAATTCCAATTCAAGTCCCGGCAACGCGCGTTTGTTTACTCTGGATAACAGTTAAATGATGAAGAGTCGCCCAGTGGAGATATCACTAGCCATATCAGAGTGCCGAGGACAGCTGCAGGCTTTCGATGCCCCCTGTGCCGCCTGCGGCCCACGCGCTGCGCCATTGCACATGTTAGTCATTCAGCATGGGACACAAAACCTTTTGTTTGCGGTTTTTAGTCAACGAGGGAGAAAAATTCAATTTCGGTTTAGTTGGCCAACAATGGCATTGTGGGTGTGTGTGTGAGGGTCCTCTTGTGTGTGACTGTGTGTGGACATGCTCGTGCGAGCCTTTTCTGCCACACATAAGAAATGTTTATTGTGAAGCCAAATTGAATTATTTGATAAACATCATTAGAAAAATTACAAAATATATAGAGCACTCGGCATGCGGCAACAAATCAGCCAGAAAGAGAGACAGAGACAGAGAGAGAGACTAGAGAGAGAGAGAGAGAGGAAGAGGAAGAGGCACAACATTTGTATCAGCTGCGGTTTTTCTAAAACATTTTCCCTAGCACTAAATTACTTTTCGGTGCACAGATGTCTGCGCAGATCCTCTGTCGTCGTCGTCCCCCCCCCCCCCCCCTCCCTCTAACCGCCTCAAACAAAACTAAATGAATAAAAACAATTTATAGTAGTAAATCAAATTAAATTTCAATCGCATGCCTGACTGCAAACAAAAAAGATTCACTCACATTCACACGATGCTCCTGTTTGCAGTGACAGGCAAAGCGTGGCCATTGGATTGGCCCAAGTGGCCCACGCGGCGCATACGTAATATACGAGGACAGTGCGGCTTATTAAAAGTGTTGAATTTGTTTTTAATGCCAGCAAACACGCCGGCAACAGACCCAAAACAAAAATAGCCAATGATTCGGTTAACGGCTCGAAAGTCTTGTTAAACTAGCTTTGCACCTAAACCCAGTTTTTGCCTCGAGCCTTGCAGCATTTTTATTTTCTGCCATTTCGAATGAAACAATTCAATTTTAAGTTTATACAATTTTAGCTTTGTTTATTTCAAATTGTAAACACGAAAGTTGTCCACTAAAAGGTCAGGCAATAGAAATGTTAGGTTTGAAATGACACCATTCCAAGGAAAAAAAATTGTACTCTACCCCAATTAAACTTAGGTAAAAAAAAAACTATAAAATTTTAGGCTCAAAACGGTGTGGTTTGAATACAAGCATTGCTTATTAAAGTCCAGGGTATACATACGTATGCCAGTTTTGGCCAACGCCCAGGTTCGTGTTTGGATGGCATGGGCCCACATGTAACTATTTAAGCGGCAATTTGTATTTTATTGCCAATTGCGTTCTGCATGTCCATTTGACGACGACAACAAGAGCAACAAAAACAAGAGCAACAAAAAATAAAGTTTGGGCCACATCTCGCCCCTGCCCAACTCTAGTTGATAAGTTAAATGCTGGCTGAGAGCTGCTGTCCCATTTAGATATGCGGCACACACATGTCCGAGCTGGGCGTGGGCGACGTGAGCTGGCAGGACCGGGACCGGGACTGGGTTCTGGTTCTGGACTGGATTCCAGCGCTATCTGGGAGCAGCTACGTGCATGTGCTGAGTGGCGTCGTCCAACTTAACTATGGCTCACTTTGTTAGCGAGTTTTGCAGAGTTTGAAATTCAATTAGTTTTGTGCGGGCTTCGGGCACTTGGCATTGTCTCACTTAGCTGGAATCTTTTCGAGTCGTGTCTGGCCTGTCGGAGACAGCCGGTCGAAAGTCAGCTTCTCGTATATACCGCATACGCACTGTATGGTATGTCGTGTTTAAAATTCAAGGCCCACACAGACCAGAGCTGTTGTCGATTAAATAAATAACCAAATACACTCACAGTAGTGTCCATAATTTAATTTCAGTGCAGGCACGGCGCGTAGCCCTGGCGCCTGCCGCGTTCGCCGGTTTTAATGTGTAAAGTTTGATGGCTCTAAAAGTGGCAGCGCCTCGGTTACGTAGTCCTTGGGGTGCGCAGTCATATACATTTGATATTCTATTTACGCAAAATGAACTCCTTGCCGCTCGTTGGCTTTAACTTTAACAATAACGACAATAATGAGCCGGCCAACCCAACCCGTCCAGCAGAATTAGCGCACGCGAGTTGCCACACACAACAAAGACCTTTAAGTGGCACAAGCCGCCAAAGTTTTATAGAGAAACCCCTTTACCGCCGCCTATGCTGATTCAGCTAGTGCAACAAATTGCTGGCGCTCTGCCTCTGCCTCTGCCTCTGCCTCAGGCCTGGCCAACACCCGAAGCTCAGCTCGAAGTTTTCGTTAAAGACAATTTAACTTTGTAAACTGATACAAAATGTCCGCCTTGGTATACTCAAGTCCTTTTAGGCTAAACTACCAGGCCTTCAGAGTTTCGCTGTTAATCAGGGCCAGGCACGGTGTGTGTGTGTGTGTGTATATGCCCCGATACATCTTTATGTGCCACAGCCCCATATTCCTTACATAATTTGTTCTCGATTAAAAAAAAGGAGGTAGAAAGAGAACAATTCTTTAGAGTCTGCTGCTGTCTTTTTTTCAGTCTCCAATATTCCAATTAGGCACGCAAGTCACCGCCCAAGTTGAAGTTTTTCTTAGCAGGCAACTTAAAAGTTAACACAGCTCCTTTTCCGTGTGCCTTGTGCCGGGCGTTAAACTTCGGTCTAACTACTGGAAATACTTTTGCGCGGATCCAACTGGACCCCAGCATGCGAAACAATTTCCAAACTGACACAAAGTGTCATGTCAATCGAAGTAGAAGATAATATTTCCAACTAAGGCAACTAGCAGCACAGCCAACGAAAAATGCAGCACATTTTTTACCAACTTGCAACTTGCACTTGCAACTTGTCCACAACTTTTATACATGTAGTCACACATATTCAATGCACAGCAATTGCAACAAAAAGCTGCAAGAAAACGCCAAAATGGGGGTTCAAATACGTTTGCAATTCGTGTAGCGACATTTCAAACGAACCAACGCACAATTTACAATTATCACATTGTTACTCCTGACGGGCAGTCCTTTCTCAACAAAACTGACAGATAGAATAAAGATAAATTCCCAATTTAAAGAGAACGCAGCAAAGGTTCGCGTTGATTTCACTTGAAAACTGCAGAGTTCGGATCACACCTCGTCTGTTTTTCCACGTTAAAACTATATTCTCTTTTTTAATCGCTTCATAGAATAATACAAATAAAGTTTAGGGTTCGTAACTTGTGCCGCCTCCAGAGCAAAATAGGACTATCATTTTCACAGCTATAACTTCTCTTTAGCCCTATGAGGTAGGAAGGCAAAGGAGTCTTGTTGAGTAAGACGCAGGCATAACAAAGGCTGGGCTTGGGTTCACAGCCCACTTTCTTCACAAATGAGAAAACTTTTGACGAAACGGAAACTGAGACCGAAATTCGTCTTAAAGCCAGAGCGAAAGCTATGCATAATTATGGCTCAGGCCTAAGCCAGGGCAGTGGCAGTTACTATGTGAAACTTTTTCTAATTGCCGACTTCTTTGCTACTCTATTCGTTTCAGGAATACCCGGCAACGCTGGACTTCAGTGGGCCGCCGCTGCCGCTGGCGCATCTGCAGCCGATGCCCATTACGGTGACCTCGCAGGCGGCGCTGCTGGCGAGCAATGGAGGCGCCACGCTCATGGGCAATGGCAGCGCCGTGGGCGGTTCGGGCACATTGCGCCGCGGCATATTGCGCGGCGTTGTGGGCGTGCCGCCACCCGATGTTACGCATCACACCTCAGCCGGCGGCACGCCATCCATGCAAATCATGCACGACCTGCATCCGGTCAATCTCAGCGCGACAACGCTGACAACTAGCACCACGCTCAATGGCAGCATGACGACGGCCCTGCCATTGACAACGGCCACGCTGCCTCGCCAGCCGCACGGCATCCTCAAGGATCCTAATCGCAACAAGCAGCAGCAACAGCAGCAGCAACAACATCAGCAGCAGCTGCTTAACGCCAGCCTGGTGGGCGTGCCCGTCTCTGCGACCGTTGGCAGCCTCCAAATACTGAATCTGCCCGTGACCAGCGCGGCGCTGGGCAACAACTTGCTGATGACAACCAGCGCCACCTACGACCCCGCCTCGCTGAGCAGCTTCAATGCGAGCGGAGCCGGCGGCGTGCCGGTAGCCTACACAGATGCGGACGGACATCTCGTATAGCTATAGGCAGAGACTGGGGCCAGCACTGAAACCCGGTACTGAGCAGCCAGCCCCCAGACGGGGAGACAGAAGATGCCAGGTCAGTCTGTCTGTCTGTCTGTCTTTCGGCCCATTGAACGAGGTAACTTCTTGCATCATCTTCACATATACATATATATAACTAAATGTACTCCACTCGACTCGTAGCTAGTTTAGAAGCTTTCCCTCTCTTCAGCGTGAAGTCTGTATGAATGTATCCTAGACGTGTACTGTAGGCAATTACCAAATACCCTGCATACGAAGAGTGGCGGGGGAGGTATACATACAATCGATATTTATCGATATTATTCAAATGGGTTGCGATATCAGTTTGTTTGTGATATGAGATAAGAAAGTAGAAGCTACGCTATAGGGCTTGAAGTTTTTTTTTCTGCCTGTTACACACATTAGCCACCCCACAGTGGAAAGGCTACAGGGTATGAGAACAACGAGTGCCCCATTACCTTATTCAAATCAGCTACAGAATTAGTTTATGTTAATTTTTAAAACGAAACTCCCTCCCCATAAAACATTGGACTGTGTTTATTCAGATAACCAGCCCAGAGATCTCATTGCCAAGAGACTGGACAGGCGGTCGGTTCGTCAGTCGCTTCGCCGATTGCTGCTTGCAGCAATAACAACAGCTATAGCGAAAAACTTTGAGCGGGTGGCTCCGGGGGGAAGCGGGGCAGGAAGCGGTCAAAATTTTTGAAATTAGTTCAGCGGAACGAAGACAACAGCCGCGCAGCCGTTTGACAGCTCCCCGGGGCGTGCTCAGGCCTCAAGTCGATGGGCACGTGATTGCGCCGGGCGCACTGGGCGTGGCAAGCAAATAAACGAAAGAAAAAATACACACAGTTGACAGCAGCAGCAGCAGCAGCGACAGCAGCAGCGGCAGGTTACGGCGAGCGATTAGTTGGCCCCAACTCCTTGAACTGTTGCTGAAAGTTAGTGCGCCATATTGAAGACGGGCGACTCCCTCGGAGCATAACCAAAACAAGCATAGCTCGTGGCAGTGGCAGTGCCGGTAGCCGAATGCGGCTCCTCTAATAACACAAAGCACAAAATGGAGCAGCTGATGCCACGCCCAGCAATGCCCGGGCACATTATGTGCAGGCACCGCAGTTGGCACATTCAAAGGCTTCCGCACAGCTACGATTGCTCTGTTGCCGCCTCCGATTGCGATCTATGGGTGCTTATAGGTATCATTGCCATACCCCAACCCAGATACCCCGCCCCACCGCGCCCCCAATCCGGACTCAGTCTTAAGTGCTCGCCGCACATTTGCTGCTCGTCGCAGCTCAGCGAGCGTGACATGCTCCTCATCTTGAGGACGCCATTAACTTCTGTTGCTGCTGCTGCTGCTGCTGGCCGCGCTGGAGCACATCATGACAATTCTATTATGTAGCATCAATGCAGTGTAGAACCCCGCAACCCCTACGCCCAGCGCCCCGCAAATGCCACCCTTTTTCCAAGGGCAAAAGTAGACATATCCAAGGAGATATCCGCGCCGTATCTCGCTCTGTATATATATATATATATATGTATGTGTATGTGTATGTGTATGTGTGTGGGTGTGTGTTAATTAATATTCATCGAGCTGTAATTACCAAAGCAAGACCCTGCTTCTATACTCCCCACCCGCCCCCTGCCACTCTCTAATGCAGTCGCAGATAATCGCAACTGCATGCCTCTATCTGAGCATCAATAAAAAATGAGCATTTGTCGCTGCTGCCAGAATGTTTCTCTGACTGAAAGTAATTAAGAATTAAATTAAATATATATATATATATATATATATATATATTCGAAATTAACGAACGTACAGACAAAGCCAAAGCCTGAGACAAAGGCAGTGCAGGGAGCGAAGCAATGCTTTGCCAAACAGAAAGTAAAATTAAGGATAAGCCACATATCCTTGCACACAATACAGATACATTTATATATATATATGTGTTTATCAATTTTAAAGGCCTTGCAGCTCCTTGCAAGCCTCTCCTCCCGCCCGCACATTGTTGCGTCAGGCCCTGCTTTGTGTGAGGTCTTCGCTGGGATTTCCGCTATTGAATAATTGTGATTGCTGTTCGGAGATAAAAGTTAAATGAGCAGGAAAATAAGGAAAATTATAATGGAGCTTAATGCCACAAGAGGCCAGCAGCACATACTTCTCTTTATGCACGTACAACATATACACTCAGAGAAAAAGTCTAGCTTGTTTTGTTTAACGCAAACAATTTTCATATTCGTCCAAGTTAGACATTTCTTAATTGTTGAGAATACTTAACTTTAGAACGAAATAAATTATGCAAATTTTAGTAAAACAATATATAAATTCTTTGCTATTCATTTTAGGTCTTTGTAAGTTGTTTTTCTCTGAGTGTACGAATGCAGATTATTTACCAACGAAAATTGAAACTGCATTTATCAATAAATACCAGACTAACTGATTCAGCTTAAATACTCTCATATTTGCAAAAGATTTCCATTGTTCAGACAGACAATAAATTGAAAGCCTTGGAAACAAGACTTAATAGCAAATCCAAAGCAACAAACAGACTAGCTAATACACTTATCATCAACAGATGAGAAAATATGAGAAAAGGCAATTATAGTCATATTATTCTTTCAAGTCAGATCTGCGATACTGCGAATGTGCTTGAAGGTACACGTCTAGGATCGAGTGTATTCACACCAATTAACAAACATATATGTAAAGCTTATAACTCCAATAGGGCTGCCAAAATTGCATAAAAGGCATTTAAAATTAAATTCTAGACATAAGTAGCTAAGCGAACTAATTAAACCTCTAGTGAGAGAGAAAGTACTACGAATAAATCAATAAACTGGGATAAAGAAAAGAAGCGTATTTCGACCTACTCAATCAATATGCCAAATTTAATTTGTACAATAAAAGGTTAACTGGAAAAACTAAGAACGATATAAATTATGTAAAAGGACAAATGCAGGTATATATAGAAAAGAGACAGTCATACAAGAAATAAAATAAATTTAAAATAAACTTAATTGGAAACAAGCATAAATAGCTATTAAAAGTAGAATAAATTTCGCATCTCGTACGTGTAGAAATGTGTTTTACACTTAAGTGACACTCCCTATCTAAACTATTTAAGCTGTCAGAAACCCGTGAGTGTATGAGTTAGCTTTGAACCTTAGAGGCCCCTCTTTGACGGTTACTCAACAAGAGTGAATAATTTGTGAATGATTCAATCGCTCGGAACACTAGAGTCTATCAGTGCGTCTCCCGCATATACTACATATACACTATCTTGCTGTTTTTTTAAATATAACTACCGCACTTTACAAATATTTCGATTATAACTGAATACAAGTATGAATGTGAAATATATGAGAATATGGATAACATACATTTTTATAAAAAAAAAAAACAAAAAAAAAATGTCTTCCCCGCATAATAGAGAATACTTTTTGTTGGGTACAAACAAAGCGTGTTTTTTAATTATGATAAGTGCACATAAAAATTAAATTTAATTAGTTATAATTTTCATACACAGATATGATACGAGTATGTATTTATTTAGTTTGTAATGCTAACATATGAAATGGGGGAAACTAAATAAGACTAAAGTTTAATTATGTTAAATTTTAATATAAAATAATATAAGTTATAACATTATTATTATAATTATTATTATTATTATTATTATTATGCTAATGTGTAGTTAAAGCATGGCCAAAGAGATTTGTTAACAAAGAATATAATTATTTACAGCATTCAAATGTTTGTTCTCAATTGCCTTTTATGATTTCATCTCGAATCACAAAACAATTCTTAAGAAATTCTCTTGTTAATACGCATATGTAATATGTTAATAATAGGCAAAGGAGCGATGAGACCGGCAGACAAGACTTGAATACTGAACTTAGTTTAAATGTAATTCAATCTCAAGCAACGTAAATAGAATACCAACAGGTATTCTCATAGACCTTATATACCCTGTAAAAAATGAATGCATCTAAGCAGATTCGATTATTGTGAATGTTTTTATGATGAGTTGGGTTTACTTCTATGTAGCATCTATTAGAACTCTTAATGCAGCATAAAAGCAGCAAGGCGGTGTACAGAAGCCAGAGATTAAAGTGAAACAATAATGAGAGAAGAGGCAGAAAACAAAATAATGAACAACAAATTATATATAAGTTAATTTGCTAAATGAAAACGCAGTCAAAAATTGTATAAATTAATTTGAAGGAATGAAAATAATGCATATGAAACTTATTGCATTTTTAAGAAATCTGTTAATATATGAATAAAAAGAATATTCAATACAATAATATTTTTCATTTAAGTCACTTAAATCTGTAGAGTGGACGGGGCGGTGCGGGCTGAGTTACAGAAATCTCGATGTGAGTGACGTAAAATGGTAGATTACGGCAAAGGACAATTTAATGGTAAAACTTTCCAATCAATTTTCAGCGAAAGCCAAGCGAGCTAAATAAAACTACAAGAGCTGTGAAACAAAGAAGGGAAAGAACGTTGGGAGATTGCCAAACGTGTGTGTGAACGGCAGCTGGAGCGGAAGCTGGAGCTGGAGCTGGAGCTAGAGCTGGGAACTAGGTGTGGGCCAGCGACGCCCAAGAAAGTATCCACTATTCGTCTTACTTGGTGTGGCGCAAAAAATTGAATTCCTTGTAAAACTTACGAGCAGGCATTAATTTAACAGCTTCGCAGCCTAGCCAGCGAGGGCGATGGCTTCGAATTGCGTATACGGCCCATTGGACATGTGATGTGCGCACTTCTCCGGCTGCTCGCACCATTATTTTTACTCTCACTGACTTTATGATGCCCATTCTCGATGTGGCCAAATCGCAGCTCGTATTTCATTTAAATTGAAGTTAATTAGTTCCGCCAAACTGCCAAATAAAGCCCTCCTTCTCACACTCACATAAAAGCGTGTAAATACTTTTACAGCCCCGCCTCAACCGCCGGCTGCGTTCTCAGCCTCAACATCGATAAAGGGGACTGAGGTAAGGAAATTCGCTTTTGTTGCGCTTTCAATAAATAGCTGGATGAATAAAATGCAAAGATTCGCTGCTCTTTTGTGAGTCCGCAGCTCGAATCCTTTCACAAGCCAAAAACATTGCTATTTGTAAATCGCGACTCTCGCAGTTCTAAAAGGATTAACACACCCAAAAGAACAGTCTCAACCTCCGAGCGCAGCCAGTTCATCTGTTTGAGTAAATGGAAAAGTTTTGTTAGTACGCCACCTTGGCCAAAACTTTATCCAGCAAGTAAAAACAAAAAAAAAAGCAACAGCAGACAGAAAAGAAAACGCCGGAAGATTCGTTGCAGCTGGTCAAAATGATGGTAGGCCACGAAACAAAAGTATTTGCCATGGCGGTCGAAAAGTTTCTGTGCGGGGGATAATCATTGTCACGGCCATTGACGCGCAAATTTGCGAATTATCAGTCGCATTGCCCACGCCCAGGCATTGAGGCATAAGCCTCGGACAAGTAAGGTCAGATCCTTTAGGGGCAACCGCTCCCAGCTGATTGAAAATAATCTGGAATAGGAGCATGTTCAGTTGATGATAATGAAAGTAAGTATTACGGCCTTGCCATGGCACGTTTAAAGTAAATTTAACCAAAAAGCTTTATAAATGATTTGGACACAGATCAGACGGTAAACAAACCACTTTCATACAAACGTTTTCCGCCAATAAACCACTGTTGCGGGTGGAATTCCCCAAATCGCTGAAACAGTTATTCACTAAGTTCTTAAGTAGAGCTTTGGAAATAGGTTTGAAGCAAATCGGACAAAACTTAAAAATTCATTAAAAAATCTATGAATTGCACTTTCCACCGAGAAAGCATACATTTTGCGAAAAATGTGAAACACGTCTCAAATGATTTTTCATATAGATCCTTGAAAATGAATAAACACTAGGAGAACTGAAGAATTCACCAGGCGGCCAAATGGAAAAAGCCTTAATTTTGTGGATTGATCGACACAGGAATCGCACCCAAGGATTCGGCAGTACTGTGACAATTACAATACACTCAGCCTGCTGAAATACTCTTTTATAATTTCAGTTTGAAGAGCTGTTGCCCCTCTTACATACAGATCTAGAAACAAGCAATGCTTAAACGATTTTTTTTAACGAACACAACGATGATTATATCTAATAGCTAAAGAGCCTTTGAGATAGTTTTAAGACTATAGGATCAGCAGGCTCACCCACATCTCCAGTCATATGGAATGAAATCACGTTTCGCTTGCATAAACAATTTGTTATACTTATGAGATGTATCTGTGGCATTAGCCAACTGGAAACTGGAGTTACGCATTCATTCCGGCAGCCATGGAAAACTAAAACAAACACGCATGGCAAAATCCTTCATAGTGGGTAAGCCTTCTATACTACACAGAGAGAGTATCCTTTTCCCACTCTGCAAGTGAGGCTTTTGTTTGGTTATTTCGCAAAATTCATTTCGAGGCATAGAAGATTTTAATATGCAGCACTTTATCGCTGCACTGCAGTGGTGAGCACCACGCCCCACGCCCGCCCTCCCGCCCCTCACCACCAAACACCCACCCAAAGACTCACATACATGGCTAATTTATGCTCGAAGTTGGCTCACTGTTTATCCTCGCAGAGGAGGTGTGGGGGGGTGTAAGGATTTGCAATGAAATGCACAATGATTCACATTACGCATCCTGCGCATCAGAATGAAACTTACAAGTTGAAAGAAACTTATATCAAGCTGTTCCAACTGAATAGTTCTTTAAAAAATTATATCCCAAGTCGGTTGCTGACTAAGTCATTTACTTATGGGACGACCCTAGGATTTGTGATTTCATTCATTAAAAGATGATTTTTGGCAAGTTCAAGTTGAATGAAATACCTGGGTATATGTATATACATATATATATGTTATTTTTACCAAATCTATTACAAATTCGTATAATATATGCGTACATATATGTATTTTGGGTACTCAGTCTTGGCAGCGAGAGACTACTTATAAATAAGTTTATGCAAGAAAACAAATTAACGCAATGTTTATTTTATTTTTGTTTAATCTAGACGAAGTCAGCTCGAACAGCTGTTCCAAATACTTGGTCAAGCAGAGGCCTCTGCGCGCCTAGAACCTACACGCTGAGATAAAGAGACACACAGAGAGAGAGAGAGCGCGAAACTAACAAGCAACAAGCTGCCAGCCGCCCATTGTCGCGCCACGCCCACTTTCCTTAGTCAGAGCGCAGACCTTATTGCCTTCGTGCAACAGTGTGCTGAACCGTTGCCACTGCAATGTTGCCGGATTTGGATTCAATCATTTCTCAAAATATTAAGGACAGAAAATTTTGGTTTTACCCGAAAAAAAAAGAATACCCAAATTCGATTTATATCGATTGCTTGGAAACGGGACAAGTTATCGATTATTGGTTCTGAGATCCACGTGTTCATACATAGAGACAGACGGACGGACAGCCAGGCGGCATGGCTAGATCAACTCGGTTATTGACCAAGAATATATATACTTTACGGATTCGGAGATGCTTCCTTCTGCATGTTACATACATTTTTTCAATGGGTTCAGGGTAAAAAAACAACTTGGAATTGCGAATTCACAACGATTCGGTTTGCAAGACTTGATGTATGCATATGCTTTTAAAAGTTGTCGTGCGCTACACATTGCGTATACTTGAACCACTGTGCATTGAGATACTTTTTGGTCGCCGCTGCTGCCGCATGCTGCGTGCCGCAGTATTTGGCGCTCGGCGCTCGCAGCTCGGCATTCGGCAATCGGCATTTTCCCAGTCGCCGTTCGACCGTGCTCGTCAGTCTAGAGAGTAATATCGACACGAAAAGTAAGTTGGCCTGTGGGTCCCTGTCCGTTGGCCCACAGCAGCTAAATCGAGTATAGAATTTATAAGTGTGTGCGCATATAACCATATACATAGTTCTACATGTGATGGAACTGCGTGGAAAACGTGGAAAATCCATGCGTATGAATCAGTTGCCGCGCGTGTGCTTTTCCAATAAGCAATTGCATAAGAAATGCAATTAAAAGTTCAAAATATGAACAATTTTGAAAGAAATTTTCAATTTCTGTGCTAGTTTTTTGTGCTGCCCAGGGCTTTGCGTGTGATATTTTTGGACTAGTTGGACAGTTGTGAAGCGCTCGTCTACTCTTCGGGCGCGTTCGTGCGGCGAAAAACCCAAAAATAAACACACGACAGTGCTGCAAACTGCCAAATTGTCTTCTGGCTAGATTAAAAGAAGAAATATATATACATATATATAAAAGATATATTGAAATCTGAATGTGGGTGCTAGTGCCGGATATAATCGAATATATTATATTAGACGCTGCGTTCATTGCGTGCCATCGGACCCTGGATTACTGATGGCCGCAGTGGAAGCGTCCTAGTGAAATCCTGATGCCAAGTTAAATGTCTCTAACAGATACTTTGCACAGATATGAGTGGAAAATAACATGAATATAATTACTTGCATACATAAATATTCTTATTGTCATGCTAGCGACCCCTTGCGAATCCCTAATTTATTTATATTGGGCATGCTCAGATGCATATGCTCGTCTATGTAACATTAAAATATTTGCGGCTAAAAGTCCACAGTAAATTTGGCATTGCCCCAAAAAATAATATATTAAATAGAATCCACCTATTAATACAATTAACCATATTATATACACAACATCTGAATGAGGCGCACATAACATAACATGCTGAAAAGCACGCGAAGGCGCCGCAAAACAAAATGACAAATGACACAGAAATGCGACAAGGAAAACTGGGGAAAACAAATTGGAAAAACCGGCAGAACAGCTGTGCGAACTTGGCAAGCAAAACCATATGACAAACTTGTAAAAGCCGACGAGCCCACCACGCTAACTTGTGGCAGAGAGCGAGAGGGGGATAGCGAGAGAGAGAGGGGGACAGCGAGAGAGATAGAAAGTTCTCTCTCGCGAGAGTAAATCTCTTTATACAAGGTCAAACATGACTAAATAGTGTAATAGAAAATGGTTGTTTTGGCATGACCAAAGAATATGTTTGTAATTATATTTGTAATTAAAATTAGTTCGAACCATTTATTGCTCCTAGAGACCTGTTTGAGAGTTACCTGGGCAAATAGACAAATAAACGAAATACTACACACAATTGCATAAAACTTGGTTTGGACGCTGCAGTCGTTGCGTAAACCGGCAAAATGGCTGAAGCGGAAGGTGGCTCCGAGCAGGATGATGTCTCATTCCTGAGAACGGTGAGTAGCAAAAAAAAAAATAAATAAATAAATAAATAAAACACAAGAAAACACATTGAAAGCACATCTAAAATCAATTACGTTCAGTCAATAAAACATCAGGAGGATTTCACACAATTGATGTCATAAAGAAAACACACACACACACACGTGCTAGACAGGGGCGCTGATGGGAGTCCATAAAGGATATACGAATTCTATTTATTTATGGCTTCAGACACACAGCCCCAACTTTCTTTATGGCTGTCAATAAATACAAAAGTCAGGTCCACACTTTCAATCACAGCAGTTTAAAGCTTTCGCCAGATTTGTTGGCTCAATTTACATAAACAGCAGCGAGGTGGGGTCAGCTGACAAATGCACCTGTATATATATATATATATATATATATATATATAGTGCAAACTTTAAGGGTGCGCCTTTCTAGTTACATTTCATTTAGAATTTATACCCCTTTCTTAGGCTTTGCACATCTATAAATGATAATTACAACTTTATTGGCCGTATCTGTATAAATATTTAAATATATATTTGAAATTTCTTACTCACCTGTACATTCACAGGCCCGATTATTTTATCGTCAAACTTGTACAAACAAACCACTGAAAGAACAGAAAGAGTAAAGATATTGTTTACTATAGTATAATAAAAATCGCGTAATAGAGCAATATTTATAAATTCGTTTTTGGTTCATCTTTAGCTCAGCTTTATATACACACATATTTAAATAAATGTATTCAGGCTTGCTGTGAAAAATGTGAAACAAGTCCTAAATGAATATTCATAAAATCTTTGGAACTGTTTTTGAACCAAAACCTTATCACCACCAAATCTTTGACCCCATTCCCACCAATGAAAGTGTGAAACACCCCTCAAAACAATTTCAACAAAGATATTACAAAATATATATTATTTAATTCAAAATAAAATTAAAGTAACTACAGTAAAAAAAAAATCCAGCTTCCTACCTCTTACGGTTCGGGCTGTGCGTTGATCACCAATCAGTCAGTCAGTAAATCAGGACAAATAGTTTTTTATATATAAAGTTGTATATGTATACGTATATTGCCTACACCTGGCGCCGAAAATGGCAGTCATTATGTGTAAATATGTATAGTTAAATCTGTCTGTAAATAAATAGCCCTTGGCCAGTGTGTTGCCCGTAATCCTTGGCGGTTCCCCCTGGGGCCAAGGAGGTCAGCCTGGGCACCTGCCTGCAATAAATAAACATTCTCCTATGTTTTGTAAGCGTATCTATTACTTTGCTGCCCGCCGGCTTCCCCGATGCTCAAATTCAATAAATATGCTCCAAATATAGGCTGAAAACACAGTAAGTGTTTTTCTACGTTGACCATTTTTTATATTCTGTGTCCTGTGGCCAGGAAATGCTGGGGGGCGTTGTTGTTTTCCCAAGACAACTACGCCAGGGGAGAAATTTTCTTGGTTTTTCTTTTTAGTTGTTTGCCGTCAAATTAGACTTAACGATAATTCTTTCAAATTTATAGCAATAGCTGCTCAAAGGATGTCTGACCAGGTAGAATGGAACGCTAATGTATGCGTTAGAATGGAATAGAACGCACCACTCTAGTTGCTCTAATTCTGAAAGGATCTGAATTTATACAATTTAAACTATTTACACTTTTAAGAATCTTCCGCCTATACCATCCTTAGATTCTGGCATTGAATATAGCTTTAACTCGTTGTGAATTATAACGAACAACGCCAAAGCGAGCAGAACCGAAATGCTCCTTCTAAATGCTTGCACCTAGATTTTAGTTGAAGGCTCACTATCCCAACCAAATGACAATAGCTTAAACTCGTTGTGAATTATAACGAACAACGCCAAAGCGATCAGAATCGAAATCCTCCTTCCAAATGTTTGCACCTAGATTGTAGTTGTAAGCTCAAATGACTAGGCTGTTGCGTTTGGCAATTCATTCCCATTTAAAATATGTAAATTGCTCGATTCGAAATCCATTACCGTTCATTTAACTTCGACTACACACAATAATTCTGGCCACACACCCATCTGACTTGGCCAAGTGCTAGGGTTGGGGCTGTGGTCGTAGATGATGATGCCTCAACTTCGGTAACACGCTCGCAAGCATAGCCCTTGCATCGATTCATGTCCTCAGTCGGCCTCATTTTGCGGGTGCATAGCATTTGGTTGACTGGTCATTCAGGGCGCTTGGGTAAACCAATTGGCAATTGGTATTTGGATGACATGCATGCTGTGTCGTTGCCCAAAAGAGGGGCAAATATAACGCACTTTCGGTGCAATTGAAATAAAGTGTCGCCTGTGAGTTACCATAAACACTGTGATTAATATTATGATCTCTCAATTTACAGGAAGATATGGTCACGCTTTCCTGCACAGCAACTGGAGAACGTGTCTGCTTGGCCGCTGAGGGATTCGGTAACCGGCATTGTTTTCTCGAAAATATTGCCGATAAAAATGTACCGCCCGACTTGTCCCAATGCGTTTTTGTCATTGAGCAAGCCCTATCCGTGCGTGCGCTTCAAGAACTGGTGACAGCAGCTGGATCAGAGACCGTAAGTCCTTAACCAATTGATTATCTTATTATATTGATTATAAGACCGTTATTTATCAGCATGAGATTAGTGTGACCACTTCTACCTTCTCCCTAATTATGTCGTACGCTACTTCCGTTGTTTCCTCTTTCCACTTCCTACGAACATGTTGTCCATGTATTAAATTCCTTCTAAAATAAAAACTTACATACATTCATCTATAAAATAAAATGTATCTACAAATTCTCTCCTTCTGCATGACCTCACTATAATTTCCATTTCTGTTTTTACACAAATTGTAACCTATAAATTTCTCGTTATTTTTCAAAATTTTTCTATATACACAACAGGATAGTCAAGTTGTAAGTATACAGAACGTTTTTTACTCGTATTTTGACTTTCAAATCGCGCTTCTTTCTCTTTTTTTTCTTAATCTATAACTATTACTGTATCTATTCTTTCTCTATTTCACTCTGCCAGTCTAATGTAGTCGTTGTTCTTATTATTATTATTACTATTATTGTTATAATTATTATATTGCTATTGCCACTACATGTGCTTCTCTGTCTCGTCCAGCGGGCTTCAGCTAGCATTTTAATATGTGTAACTCTCTCTCTCTCTCTCTCTCTCTCTCTCTCTCTCTGTCTCTCTCTGTCTCTTTCTGTATATGTTTTCCTACGATTTGTGAAAAACCAGACCGAGGATTCAGTTATCAAGCACAAATCGACTGCTCTTTCAATTGCATTTAACAACCTCATTGACATACTCATCAAGAATGAATTGTGCCTCGGTTCTACCCACAAAAGCATCATTCAACTTAACCTGGCATTCTCAATTAACTTCAAGTGCAAAACTCTCAACTACACAATGCTAATTATCTACACTTTGGGATGACACACTCAGAGAAAAACTCAAGAATGTTGTTTAATTTTCAATATTCGAATATAGAGTATGTTAGTTAAGAGAAAGTTTTCGTACCGAAATTTCTCAATACAAGACATAAATAATGTTTTCAATCTAGGAAATTTTGTACCCTCTTTAACACTTATTTCATTCCTTTTCTACTATAAATTTTACTAGAATAAAAAACGTCATATTTCTCTGAGTGCGCATTTACATACACAAGTGGTTCATTCTATTTTTTTTTTCCTTACACTGATTGTAGTAGTTCTAGAAACCCAAGCAAATCTCCTTAAACTCTCTAAACATCATTTTATGGCTGCTTACTAATTAATTTTTAAATCTTCAGGGTAAAGGCACTGGATCAGGCCATAGAACATTACTCTATGGCAATGCCATACTTCTCAGGCATCACAACAGCGATATGGTGAGCTGGACTTTCGAGAGCTTTGATAATAATAATATTTGCAATTGTTTATGTTTATATGCTTATAGTACCTCGCCTGCTTGTCAACCTCATCGTCGAATGATAAGCTCTCCTTCGATGTGGGTCTGCAGGAGCATAGCCAGGGTGAGGCCTGTTGGTGGACCGTCCATCCGGCCAGCAAACAGCGTTCAGAAGGTGAAAAGGTTCGTGTCGGCGATGATTTAATTCTGGTGTCTGTTGCCACCGAACGGTATCTGCACACAACGAAGGAGAACGAGCAGTCCATTGTGAATGCCAGCTTCCATGTGACCCACTGGTCCGTGCAGCCCTACGGCACTGGCATATCACGCATGAAATATGTCGGCTATGTGTTTGGTGGAGATGTCTTGCGTTTCTTCCACGGCGGCGACGAGTGCCTGACCATACCCAGCACATGGGGCCGTGAAGCAGGTCAAAAGTAAGTCCCATCTTAATCCAATCTAAATCTAAGTTGAGCTAAAACTAACATGAATCATTAACTACCAGCATTGTCATATACGAAGGAGGCGTGGTCATGGCACAAGCTCGTTCTCTGTGGCGTCTGGAGTTGGCGCGCACCAAGTGGACGGGCGGCTTCATAAACTGGTACCATCCCATGCGTATACGTCATATAACAACGGGACGCTATTTGGGCGTCAACGAGAGCAACGAGCTTATCCTGGTCAAAAAGGAGGAGGCATCGATTGCAACGACGACTTTCTGCCTGAGGCAAGAAAAAGACGACGAAAAGAAAGTACTCGAGGACAAAGACTTAGAAATAATCGGCTCGCCGATCATCAAATATGGTGACACCACGGTCATTGTACAGCATTGTGAATCCAGCCTGTGGCTCAGTTACAAGAGTTACGAGACTAAAAAGAAGGGTGTCGGCAAGGTGGAGGAGAAACAGGCCATTTTACACGAGGAAGGAAAAATGGACGATTGCCTGGACTTTTCGCGCTCGCAGGAGGAGGAATCGAAGACGGCACGCGTCATCCGTAAATGTAGCAGCCTCTTCACTCAATTCATAACGTAAGCTCTAACTTATCCCAAATTCTCGTAGAGAGAAAAGAATTTCGTGCTAATAACTTGAGCAATTTCTGACTTACAGCGCTCTGGAAACTTTGCAGTCCAATCGCCGGCATTCAGTTTTTTTCCAAAAAGTTAACCTGAATGAGATGGTCATGTGCCTGGAAGATTTAATCAACTACTTCTCGCAGCCAGAAGATGATATGGGTATGCTTTAAAAATAAAGCTTAAAAAAATAATTTAAAAGCTGTCGTCCTTTTTTTGTAAAACAAACATAGAACACGAGGAGAAACAAAATCGTTTTCGTGCCTTGCGCAATCGCCAGGATCTGTTCCAAGAAGAGGGCGTGCTCAATCTCATACTGGAGGCCATTGACAAGATAAACATTATTACCTCGCAAGGCTTCTTAGCCAGTTTTCTGGCCGGCGATGAGACCGGCCAGAGTTGGGATCTAATCTCCACGTACCTGTACCAACTGCTGGCCGCCATCATCAAGGGTAACCACACCAACTGCGCCCAGTTTGCAAACAGCAATCGCCTAAACTGGCTCTTCTCCCGCCTGGGCTCACAGGCGTCCAGTGAAGGATCTGGCATGTTAGATGTGCTACACTGTGTGCTCATCGATTCTCCGGAGGCGCTGAACATGATGCGCGACGAGCACATCAAAGTGATTATTTCGCTGCTGGAAAAGCACGGACGTGACCCCAAAGTTCTCGATGTCCTCTGCTCTCTGTGTGTGGGTAATGGAGTTGCAGTGCGCTCTTCGCAAAATAATATATGCGATTTTCTGCTGCCCGGCAAGAATCTTCTGCTGCAAACATTGCTGGTAGATCATGTTGCGAGTATACGGCCCAATATCTTTGTTGGCCGCGTCGATGGCTCGTCCATGTACCAGAAGTGGTACTTTGAGGTGACCATGGATCACATTGAGCAAACGACGCACATAATGCCCCATCTACGCATCGGATGGGCCAATACGTCCGGCTATGTGCCCTATCCCGGCGGCGGTAAAAAATGGGGCGGCAATGGCGTCGGCGACGACCTCTACTCGTTTGGCTTCGATGGTGCCCACCTGTGGACTGGCGGACGCAAATCGCTTGTCGTGGATGCACTGCCCGAAGAACCGTTCATCAGGAAGGGCGATGTCATTGGCGTGGCCATAGATCTGTCAGTGCCAGTCATAACGTTCACCTTTAATGGCGCGAAGGTACGCGGCTGCTTCAGGGATTTCAATCTGGATGGCATGTTCTTCCCGGTGATGAGTTGCTCGTCCAAACTGAGTTGCCGCTTTCTGTTTGGTGGTGATCATGGTCGCCTAAAGTATGCACCACCTATGGGCTTTTCGGCGCTCGTGCAGTGCCTGATGCCGCATCAGATTTTAAGCCTGGATCCTTGCTTCTACTTTGGCAATCTAAGCAAAAATGTATTGGCCGGACCCTGGCTGATCGAGGATGATACACCCTTTGTGCCTAAGCCCGTGGATACGACAGGCGTTTCCCTGCCAAGCTCTGTGGACCAAATTAAGGAGAAGCTTGCAGAGAATATACACGAAATGTGGGCCTTAAATAAAATCGATGCTGGCTGGACCTGGGGCGAACATCGAGACGACTATCATCGCATACATCCCTGCCTCACCCAGTTCGAGAAACTGCCAGCTGCTGAGAAGCGCTATGACAATCAACTAGCGGTCCAAACATTAAAGTAAGCACAATTAAATACTCTCTAAAACACTTGAAATTTGAAAGTTCTGCTCCCGCTCTACAGAACCATTATTTCGTTGGGTTACTATATAACCATGGATAAGCCGCCGGCACGCATACGACCCGTCCGCCTGCCCAACGAGATATTCATGCAAGCCAATGGCTACAAGCCGGCACCGCTTGACTTGAGTGCTGTCACGCTGACGCCAAAGCTGGAGGAGCTTGTGGATCAGTTAGCTGAGAACACGCACAATTTGTGGGCACGAGAACGCATCCAACAGGGTTGGACCTACGGTCTGAACGAAGACTCCGAAAATCATCGCAGTCCCCATCTGGTGCCCTATGCCAAGGTCGATGAGGCCATCAAGAAGGCGAATCGCGATACTGCCTCCGAGACGGTTCGTACCCTGTTGGTCTATGGCTATGTCCTGGATCCACCCACTGGCGAGGGCACTGAAGCGCTGCTGGCCGAGGCACAACGCCTGAAATTCGCCGCATTCCGGACGTATCGAGTGGAGCGCAATTATGCTGTTACCTCTGGAAAATGGTATTTTGAATTTGAGGTCCTGACGGCGGGTCCAATGCGCGTTGGCTGGGCTCGCGCCGATTGCTATCCGGGAGCGATGCTGGGCAGTGAGGACACCAGCTGGGCGTTTGATGGTCACAATGTGAGTATGCAAGGTTCTAGGTTTGTTCTGTAGGATCTGTCTACGTTATACCCACCGATTAATAATCTGAATGAAGGTTCCATTGTGCCTGCCCTCCGGGGGGTAACGTGATGTCTAGTTCACATCGATAGGTTAGACTTTAATGATCAAGATCAACTCAAAACCCAAACATGATTATAGGTGACAAAAATGCATGCCGGAACGATTGAGCACTTTGGTGTTCGCTACGAGGCTGGTGACGTCATTGGTTGTTTCATCGATGTTAAGGAGCAAACCATCAGTAAGGATTCTAGCTGCACTGGCAACGTTGCAACGTTGTTTTACTTAATTACTGAAATTTCGTTATGATCGAACGCATTTTGTTTAACTCTCTCTACTTTTTATCATTCAATAATTTGTTTTCTAATCAATACTTTTTTGTTAATTTAGCGATACTCTTTCACATCTGATCATTAACCAAAACCAACATAGATATGTTACATGTGTATAATTTGGGGCTTTGAAAGATCACAAGATCAATCTGTACATTAAACATACTATTACAACTTTTTAGGAAGAGAAAGTCTACGGTGGCAACAGTGAATCCTTTGGTAAACAGTGTGGACCCGGGGATATAGTTGGAGTCTTTTTAGATCTAGCCGATCATACAATTAGTAAGAATTTCTTCTACATGCTCGTTTGTTGTAATGTAAAAAAAAAAAATACCCCCCAAACAAGATATGTACATCCGTGCTTTTGATATCTACTAAATGTCAAGGTCCCTGCTATACAAAAGCTAAGTACAATACATATGCATATTCAATGAATCACATAAACAGTGTCAACAAAGAACCAACGACCGACAGATCAACTATGTACTGTGAAATGGACAAAATAAATATACATATAGTCGACATTTGAAGCAGGGCATCATATTTCGACATACCACATACAAATCTGATAATGTTAATTATACAAAAAAAATGCATTTATAGAAACATTTTGTAGTCCATTATAAGTATTGCCTACTTTTTTTTTTTTTAATAAGTCCAACAAATGTCCCATGCCCTAACACCTGATTTTTGTTACTTTGAACACAAAGCCTAACTATTGCATAATATCGAAGGACTACCTGAGCAAAAGGTGACACATCAGCTCATCTAAAATGCTTATTACCTAATTATTGCCTGTAACTACATCCATATTATTAAGTTTCAATATTGACTAATTAAAGAATGAAATCGAAACTGAAGATTCCTAATGGCTAAGTCCAAATTCGGTTACGATTTCAATCAGCCCACCAACATATTATACAACAATTTGGCATGATAGCTAACAGTTGAAACTGTTTAATCCGCTTTTCTTTTGTGGCAACTAAACCAAGAACTGCAAAGTGAACTGCAAGCAATCTAATCGCACGCATTTTGTATAGGAATTTATTGTTTTTCTAGTGCGATGTGACTTTTTGGTGAATTTTGATTTCTATTTAGAAAGTCAAGGCATTACGGATCGATTAGTACGCACATTTTGTGATCCTGTGCAGATTACGGCCTGATTAGAATTCTTAATTTATTTCAAAGCGGCTTCGCTTAGATACGTTTATGCATAACATATGTTCAAATTCTGGTGATCAAGAATTAAATAAAATTCTAAACCTTATACAGGCTTCTCACTGAACGGAGAACTGCTCATGGATGCCTTGGGTGGCGAGACAACATTTGCCGATGTGACTGCAGAGGGCGTGGGCTTTGTGCCCGCCTGCACCTTGGGCGTGGGTCAGAAGGCGCGTTTAATTTATGGTCAAGATGTGGACTCCCTAAAGTTCTTTACCACGTGTGGTCTACAAGAAGGTTACGAGCCATTCTGTGTGTAAGTATTTGAAATGAGAAACATGATCGAACTTGAAATATGATCCGTTTAATTTGCAGGAATATGCAACGCCCGGTTACGCATTGGTACACCAAAGATCAGCCTATATTTGAGAACACCGAGGAAATGCCCGATTGCCGCATCGATGTGACGCGTATTCCTGGTGGTGCCGATACTCCGCCTCATTTGAAAATCTCGCATAATACATTTGAGACAATGGAAAAGGCGAACTGGGAATTCCTGCGTCTCTCCCTGCCTGTTACCTGCATGAGTGACTTCATCAGCGAACAGGAGAAGGCGAGACGCTGGGAGGAAATCAAAATTCGCCAATACCGCTTAATGCGAGAAGCACAAGAGGCGGCGGCACAAATGCAAACCCAACAAACCGTGGCACATATGGATCACATGCTAAAGGGCGGCTTCAACATGAACGACATTAAGGGTTTGACACGCAATTTCGATGACCACACCGAGGCAGAAGCTGAGCATATGATGCGTGTGCCCTCGCGACCATCTCGCAAAGGCTCCTTGACGCGTAATATAACCTTTGAGTCCGATATGACGGCTGCATTAGATGAGATGCAGCGCTCGTCTTCGGTGTTGGATATAAATGGCTTGGGTGACGATTTAGATGACAAAAAGAAACGTGGTCGAAGTCCATTCAAGTTCTTTTCGAAGAAATCCCGCGATCAGAGCCGCGAGAAAAATGGAGCAAGAACTGCAGATGCGTCACTAGAACGCAGAAATACAGTGGCCCATGGCAGGAACGTGGTTAACCAGCAGATGACAACACGAACACCAACACTACGTATAAATAATGTGAGTAGAAAAGACTTCCCTTCCATAAAAACCGTTAATGTATACAGCCCTATTTCAGGCCGAAATACCACCCAGCCCAGTGCCTCAGGGTCCAAAGCAGTTGAGCTCAACGAACCTGGGCCAGCCCCCCGTCGAATCATCTGGAAATGAAATGTTCGATGCCGAGTGCCTTAAGCTGATCAACGAATACTTTTATGGTGTGCGCATTTTCCCTGGTCAGGATCCCACACATGTGTATGTGGGCTGGGTGACCACCCAGTATCATCTGCACAGTCGCGAGTTCAACAAGAGCAAGGTGCGACGGGGCTCGGTATATATTGAAGATTACTATGAAGTGCCCATCGAGCGCATAGATCGTCAGAGCTGTTACGTAGTACGCGCGGATGAGCTCTTCAATGAGGTGACGCAAGATGCTTCGGGCAAAGGTGCATCGCAGGGCATGTTTGTGGGCTGTTTTGTGGACACAGCAACAGGCATTATACGTTTCACTTGCGAGGGCAAGGATACCTCTCATCGCTGGATGATGGAACCGGATACGAAACTATTTCCAGCTATTTTTGTTGAAGCCACCAGCAAGGAGATCCTCCAAATTGAGCTCGGTCGAACACCAACCACACTACCCCTGTCGGCAGCCGTGTTGCCCACCAGCGACAAGCACATTAATCCACAATCACCACCTCGATTGAAGGTGCAGTGCCTGCGGCCACATCAGTGGGCACGTGTTCCCAACACATCGCTACAGGTGCATGCGCTCAAGCTCTCGGACATACGTGGCTGGTCGATGCTCTGCGAAGATCCAATCTCAATGCTGGCGCTACACATACCCGAGGAGGATCGTTGCATTGACATATTGGAGCTCATCGAAATGGATAAGCTACTCTCGTTTCATGCTCACACGCTCACGCTCTATGCCGCGCTCTGCTATCAGTCAAACTATCGGGCGGCACATGCACTTTGCCAGCATGTCGATCAGAAGCAGCTGCTTTATGCCATACGCTCGGAGTATATGAGTGGGCCACTGCGTCAAGGTTTCTATGATCTACTCATAGCCCTGCATCTGGAGTCCCATGCCACCACAATGGAGGTATGCAAAAATGAATATATTACACCCTTGGGTGTTGAACTGAAGGAACTGTACGCTGAAGATGAAATGCGTCACTCGCTCCGTTCGCTTGTCACGGAGTCTGTGCGCCCACAGTTGCGCATGACGGAAATCACGTAAGTGCAGTCGTGTTAGTTTAGCTACGGCTCCTAAGATTATTTCCTTGCATATAATCAAACAGTAGTAGACCACATTTACATACTTGTACATTTTAACGACAAGCATAAGTATGAAAGGTTCTCTTTTCTGTAATGGTCCATTATCCATATTGCATCTGTGGTTTGCTCATAACCCATTTTATTTCCAATACTTTCAATCAAAACACCTGCACTGATCCAACACTCTATGCACCACCAATCGAAACCGATACCGATACCGATACCGATCACAACAACAACAACAACAACAACTCCACCCGTTCAGACCCCCTGTGATTGCAACATCTAGTATGCCAAGTGTTTCTAGCGAACCGATACCCAACATCGATCAGTTGTACTCCCCGAAGTTCCCGTTAGAAGTAGTCAGAGAATTTGTAATGGAAGCTTTAAAGGATGCTGTGGAGATAAATCAAGTGCACAACCGTGATCCCATCGGTTGGACCAATGAGAACCTATTTTTGTAAGTATGCGCAATATAAATACATAATCGTGTACTTATAATTCATAAACGATTTACTAATTTAATTATAGACCACTTATTAAGCTCACGGATCGCCTACTTTTAGTGGGCGTCCTTACTGATGAGGACGTTCAGAAACTATTGGTAATGGTGGACCCAGAGACTTGGGATGCCACTTTCGAGAAAGGTGGGAAATGACTAAAGGAGATTTATACAAGAAGCATTAAAAAAATCCAGATAATTTTTGAAAGTCGTATCTAATCCGTTAAATTACATTTTTACAGAGGGGAAAGACGAGCACCGCAAAGGCCTGCTTACCATGAAAATGGCTGAGGGAGCCAAACTACAAATGTGCTACCTGTTGCACCATCTTTATGATACTCAACTTCGGCATCGGGTGGAGAGCATAATTGCGTTCTCCCATGATTTTGTGGGCGATCTACAAACCGATCAGTTGCGCCGTTATATCGAGATTAAACAATCCGATTTGCCAAGTGCTGTTGCGGCCAAAAAGACTAAGGAATTCCGTTGTCCACCCAGAGAACAAATGAACCAGATTCTATGCTTTAAGAATCTTGAGGTTGACGATCAGGACAACTGCACCTGTGGTCTTGAGTTGCGCAGTCGCCTAAGCGAATTCCACGACTTACTAATGCAAAAGGTGTCGCTGAATGCGCTGCAGGAGCCTGATGGTACCGAGAGCAATGCAATCGAAGAAATCAAAACTGGCCCCATAACCAAAATCTATAATTTTATCAATACCGTCAAGGAATTAGAAGAGGGACCCAAAGAAGTGGAGGAGCCTGAGAAAAAGACACCTGAAGAGATTTTCCGCAAAGTCCTAATCAAAACCATTGTCAGCTGGGCTGAAGAATCGCAAATAGAGAATCCAAAATTAGTGCGCGAGATGTTCAGTTTACTAGTACGGCAATACGATACGGTCGGTGAGCTAGTAAGAGCTCTGGAGAAGACCTATGTGATCAACAACCGAGCACGAGATGATGTCGCTGAGATGTGGGTTGGCTTGAGCCAGATTCGTGCATTGCTCCCCGTCCAAATGAGCCAGGAAGAGGAGGAGCTTATGCGTAAGCGTCTCTGGAAACTAGTCAACAATGCCACATTCTTCCAGCATCCAGATTTGATACGCATTCTGCGCGTTCATGAAAACGTAATGGCCGTCATGATGAATACTCTAGGCCGCCGTGCTCAAGCACAAAGTGATGCCCCCACCCAGACCGAGGGGGCCGAGGGCGTACCTTCCAAGGAGAAAGACACATCACACGAAATGGTCGTGGCCTGCTGCCGCTTCCTATGTTACTTTTGCCGTACCGGCCGTCAAAACCAAAAGGCCATGTTCGATCATTTTGATTTTCTGCTGGACAATGCGAATATATTGTTAGCCAGACCCAGTCTGCGTGGTTCCACACCATTGGATGTGGCATATTCGAGTTTGATGGAGAACACAGAATTAGCTCTGGCACTTAGGGAGCACTATTTGGAGAAAATTGCCGTTTATCTGTCCAGATGTGGCCTGCAAAGCAATTCGGAGCTTGTTGAAAAGGGCTACCCCGATTTGGGCTGGGATCCAGTCGAGGGTGAACGATATCTGGACTTTTTGCGTTATTGCGTTTGGGTCAACGGCGAGAGTGTCGAGGAGAATGCTAACCTTGTCATTCGTCTTCTTATCCGTCGTCCAGAATGTTTAGGACCGGCTCTAAGAGGAGAAGGAGAAGGTCTCTTCCGGGCAATCGTCGAGGCCAATCGTATGTCGGAGCGCATATCAGATCGTTGTAAAATGCAAGACGAAGCCGAAGGCACCATAGCCGGACTTAATTTTACACATCCGTTGCCGGAAGGCGATGGAGACGATGACTACATTGACACCGGTGCCGCCATATTGAACTTCTATTGTACGCTTGTTGACCTGCTGGGAAGATGCGCTCCAGACGTGTCTGTCATCGAGCAAGGCAAGAACGAATCACTGAGAGCTAGAGCTATTTTGAGATCTCTTGTGCCACTGGAAGACCTTCAGGGTGTGCTCAGCTTAAAGTTTACGCTCACACAAACTGCTCCCGGGGAGGAGCGTCCGAAATCGGATATGCCCTCAGGCCTCTTACCCAATAACAAGCAGAGCATAGTGTTATTTTTGGAACGTGTATACGGCATCGAAACGCAAGATCTTTTTTATCGGCTGCTGGAAGATGCATTTTTGCCAGATCTGCGTACTGCCACTATCTTGGATAAGAGTGATGGTTCCGAAAGCGACATGGCTTTGGCCATGAATCGCTACATCGGCAACTCCATTTTGCCATTGCTTATTAAGCACTCAAAGTTCTATAACGAGGCTGAAAACTATGCCAGCCTCTTGGATGCCACACTGCACACGGTCTATAGGTTATCCAAGAACCGTATGCTAACCAAGGGGCAGCGTGAGGCAGTATCCGATTTCCTAGTGGCGTTGACATCGCAAATGCAACCTGCCATGCTTCTAAAGCTATTGCGCAAGTTGACTGTTGATGTGTCCAAGCTATCGGAATACACGACGGTCGCACTCAGGGTAAGTTGGTATTGTATTATACAAACAATACTTCTCCCGAGGAATACCTACTCACTAGTCGACTAATAAACTATTCCACTTCCACAGCTGCTCACAATGCACTTCGATCGCTGCGCTAAGTACTATGGCTCGACTCAAGGCCAGGGCTCATATGGGGCATCGTCAGATGAGGAGAAGCGTTTAACAATGCTTCTGTTCTCGAACATTTTTGACTCGCTGAGCAACATGGACTATGACCCGGAACTGTTCGGTAAAGCCCTGCCCTGTCTAATAGCCATCGGCTGTGCCCTGCCACCAGATTACAGTCTATCGAAAAATACCGACGAGGATTACTATGGCAGACAAATGGGCGCACCCGATCAACCGCAATATGTTCCAAATCCAATTGATACCAACAATGTACATTTGGACAATGACTTGAATTCGTTGGTTCAAAAGTTCAGCGAACATTATCACGATGCTTGGGCCAGTCGCCGATTGGAAGGTGGCTGGACATATGGCGAAGTTCGGTCCGATAACGATCGCAAGCATCCACGGCTAAAGCCCTACAATATGCTTAGCGAATATGTACGTAGTATCTATACATTGAGAATCTCGTTCTAATGGCCATACTCATCGTTAATTGCAATCATATGCATATTTTACATGTGTTTCTGAGATAATTGAGAACCACTTATCTAATATTTTTAACACATCTTTTCAGGAACGTGAGCGCTACCGTGATCCAGTGCGTGAATGCCTTAAGGGTCTCTTGGCCATTGGCTGGACTGTTGAGCATTCTGAAATGGATTTACCACTCAATCATCGTGGCTCTACGCGTCGTCAATCGAAGCCTACAATTGTATGTATCCCCACACTATTGACTTATATTTATTTCCCAATATTTCTTTAACGCCTCTTGAAAAATTTCTTCCGCCTGCAATGGAATACCCCTAACACAATTGGCCAAACAACTTGTAATTGAAAACCTGATCCTTGCTTGCTTTCACACTGCTGGCGCTTAAACAAATAGCATGATTTTCAGAATGAGGGCAGCCCCTTCAACTATAATCCACATCCTGTGGACATGAGCAACTTGACTCTAAGCAGAGAAATGCAAAACATGGCCGAACGTCTGGCGGAGAACTCACATGATATATGGGCGAAGAAGAAGAACGAAGAGTTGAACGGTTGCGGCGGTGTCATACATCCACAGTTGGTTCCCTATGATTTGCTCACTGACAAGGAAAAGAAGAAGGATCGCGAGCGCTCGCAAGAGTTCCTCAAATATATGCAGTATCAGGGATACAAATTGCACAAGTAAATAGTAACGAGAAAGACCGGTTATCCGAAGGTGGCCGTAAGTTAAGCATCCTTACTAAAACCCTATCTTCTTAATACTTGTAGGCCCTCAAAGGGTGGCGCTGTTGAGGAAGGAGGTGCCACCCAGGCTGCCGTTGAACTACGCTTCTCCTACTCGCTGCTGGAGAAACTTATCCAATATCTGGACCGTGCGACCATCAACATGAAGCTGCTGAAGCCATCGACCACGTTTAGTCGACGAACCTCATTTAAAACGGCATCGCGAGACATTAAGTTTTTCTCAAAGGTGGTGCTGCCTCTGATGGAAAAGTACTTCTCAACCCATCGCAATTACTTTATTGCCATTGCCACGGCCACAAATAATATAGGCGCCGCTTCGCTCAAGGAGAAGGAAATGGTTGCATCCATTTTCTGTAAGCTAGCCGCATTGCTGCGCAATCGTTTGAGTGCTTTTGGACCGGATGTACGCATCACTGTGCGCTGCCTGCAGGTGCTTGTCAAGGGCATTGACGCCAAGACATTGACCAAAAATTGTCCCGAATTTATTCGCACATCTATGCTAACATTTTTCAATCAAACGTCCGATGATCTGGGCAACACCATTATGAATCTACAGGACGGAAAGTATAGCCACTTGCGTGGCACACACCTGAAGACCTCCACATCGTTGGGCTACGTCAACCAGGTAGTGCTGCCAGTGCTTACAGCCATGTTTGACCACTTGGCCGCCTGTGATTATGGCAGTGATCTGCTGCTGGATGAAATTCAGGTGGCCTCTTACAAGATCTTGGCTGCTCTATACCATTTGGGCACCGATGGCACCTTAACGCATGATCGAAAGTATCTAAAAACCGAAATCGAGCGACATCGACCTGCTTTGGGCTCGTGTCTGGGCGCGTACAGCTCGTGCTTTCCGGTTGCCTATCTGGAGCCGCATCTCAATAAGCACAATCAGTACTCCTTGCTAAATCGCATTGCTGATCATTCGCTGGAGGCACAGGACATTATGGTTAAAATGGAAAGCTGTATGCCCAACTTAGAGGCAATACTGAGTGAAGTGGATCAGTTCGTCGAGTCGGATAAGACTTACATTGATGCGCCGCATATCATTGATGTCATACTTCCGCTGTTATGCGCCTATCTGCCCTTCTGGTGGTCCCAGGGCCCCGACAATGTGAGTCCAACTAGTGGCAACCATGTGACCATGGTCACAGCGGATCACATGAATTCGCTGTTGCGCAATGTGCTCAAAATGATCAAGAAAAATATTGGCAACGATAATGCACCCTGGATGACGCGCATTGCGGCCTACACGCAGCAGATAATCATCAATACATCTGAGGAACTACTGAAGGATCCATTCCTGCCGCTGGCCGAGCGCGTCAAGAAGCGTACCGAAAATATGCTTCACAAGGAAGAAAGCATGCGGGGCTTTATCAAGTCAGCTACCGATGATACTTCGCAAGTTGAGACACAGCTTCAAGAGGATTGGAATCTGCTGGTCCGCGATATATACTCGTTCTATCCGCTACTCATCAAGTACGTGGACTTGCAGCGCAATCATTGGCTAAAGGATAACATTCCAGAAGCCGAAGAGCTTTACAATCACGTTGCAGAAATATTCAATATCTGGTCGAAAAGTCAATACTTTTTGAAGGAGGAACAGAACTTTATATCAGCCAATGAAATTGACAACATGGCCTTAATAATGCCCACGGCCACACGACGTTCGGCCATATCGGAGGGCGTGCCGGCAGTGGGCGGCAAGGTGAAAAAGAAGAAAAAGAACAGGGATAAGAAACGTGACAAGGACAAGGAGGTGCAGGCAAGTCTTATGGTCGCCTGTCTGAAGCGATTACTGCCCGTTGGACTTAATCTATTCGCGGGTCGAGAGCAAGAGCTGGTCCAGCACTGCAAGGACAGATATTTGAAAAAGATGACCGAATATGATGTTATAGAATTTGCTCGCAATCAACTAACACTACCCGACAAACTGGATCCCTCGGATGAGATGTCCTGGCAGCACTACCTATACTCGAAACTGGGCAAATCCGAAGAGACCGTCGATGAGCAGGCACTGGAGAAGGTTAACACCAATTCAAATGAGAAGGGTAAAGACAAGACAACAGAGACCGTCGATCGCATTGTGGCCATGGCAAAGGTGTTATTTGGCCTGCATATGGTAAGTACAGACGGAGTTATTACAAAGTTTGTAATACAAACCTACATATGGTATTGCAAATACATGTACATGTACTCGTATACAAGTATCTCTCTTTTTTCACTTATATGATTTTTCAATGCCAATTGATATTACTTACTTATACTTTTTGAACTTTGCACATTTCTAATTTTCTTTTCGATACGATACCCAAACAAACAACTATATAACGTACCGCTAAACAACAAATAATTTTCAACGGTTTAATATGCTGACCAAATCGTGAACCAAACAATTACAGATCGACCATCCACAACAGCAGAGCAAAAATGTCTACAGGAGCGTTGTATCGATCCAAAGGAAGCGTGCCGTCATTGCATGTTTCCGTCAGACATCGCTACATTCTCTACCCAGGTTATTACCAACTTATTAACTACTACAAGCAAACATACATACATAGATTCGCTAGGTCTGTGATGAGAGTAATATGTATGTATGCAATGTAACGGTACTCTCCAAAAACGATGATAACAAATAAGATCTTTAGTTATTAGAACAAGACATTTAACTTACACTCAGCTAATACTTGGGACCAAGCGATAAGCCTTTATACCTATTTGATCTGATATTATTTATAATTTCTATCACGTTCCGCACTTTGATTTTTTTTTGTTTTCATTTTCCACTTATTTCAACTAACAAAATTGTACTAAAACGCAATACCACTTAGTGTGACCGTAGTGCTCTAAACCCATTTGTTGTATTATTATATGTATATTTTTATGCTCTTGCTCTTGCTATTGTACGCTCCATATAGGCAACCGGCGCCAAGAACAAAACAAAACATTGGACTTCAAAAATTTCGGTCGCTCGACGCCAGGCAGTTATTTCAAGCTTACGCGCCAAGCATCTATATCGTTTCAGCAGGTGGTAGCCACATAAAATACTAATATCTTATACACACACAAGTAGTATTCAAATGTATAAAAAAAAAACACTCTTATACACATGTATATAAGTATATGCAAATGATCGCTTAACTGATTTCAGTTCTTTTTTAGTATTTAACTCCTTGCAGAATCGTGTATTTATCATGTTTTATATGTATGGTCTCTCTTATTACTTATTGTGAAGAACTTATCGATATTATCGAAATTATTCCGTTTTTTTCCATATTTTATGTTATCTATGACAATAATAAGAAAACTCTGCAAGGGTAATATTTAACGTTCGGCGAACCGATTAGCTTTCTTTTCGTAGTATGTTTAGCTTTTAAATTTAAATACTAAACGCATGCCCATTAACATTGACGGTTGATAAACTTAAATATTTCTAATCGTGATCTACTTATTATTGCCTACAGACATCGTGCCTGCAATATCTTTGCACGCACCTACTACGAGCAATGGCTGCAGGAGGAGAACGTCGGCCAGGAGGTGATGATTGAGGATCTGACTCAGACATTCGAGGAGTCTGAAAAGTCCAAAAAAGATGAAGAAGAAGCTGACGGTAAGCCGGATCCGTTGACCCAGCTGGTGACCACCTTCTGCCGCGGTGCCATGACGGAGCGCAGTGGTGCACTTCAAGAGGACTTGCTGTATATGTCGTATGCGCAAATAGCGGCAAAATCCTGTGGCGAAGAAGAAGAGGAGGGCGGCGAGGATGGCGAAGCCGGCGAAGGCGGCGAGGAGGGCGAAGGCACAAGTATTCATGTAAGCTAAGAGTTAATTAAGTATCAAATGCAGAACTAATCAATCCTAACCCAATTATGCTTTCAAAACAATCAAATTTGATTGCAAGTGTCGCATGTCCCATTTAATGGTAACTATTTCAGCAAAAATCAAAGTAAGCAATATAACATCATGGCCTTGTTGGCTGCCAACATAACTACATGCATAGTGCATTAAAAGATGATTGCTAACTTTAATAACTGAGCCCACTAACGTTGCACTTTGCTATATATGAACCTATATTCTAACCAACAAATACTCTAAACTATCGGTAGGAACAAGAAATGGAGAAACAGAAGTTGCTCTTCCATCAAGCGCGTCTTTCGAATCGTGGCGTTGCCGAAATGGTGCTGTTGCACATATCCGCCTCCAAAGGTATACCTTCGGAGATGGTCATGACGACACTCAATTTGGGCATCGCCATATTGCGTGGTGGAAACATTGACATACAGATGGGCATGCTGAATCATTTGAAGGAGAAGAAGGATGTGGGCTTCTTCACATCCATCGCCGGACTGATGAACTCGTGCAGCGTGCTGGACTTGGACGCGTTTGAGCGCAACACGAAGGCCGAGGGTAAGTTATTTTGCCTCCCAATTTTGGAAGGGACAACCTGAAACGTGAATATCCTGCTTTTAATTTGCTGCCCTCTTAACTTATTATTATTGTTATTATGGCATCATCGTGCACCACCGTCTCCTGCATTTATTCTGAGTTCAATTATTAATTTGGTCTCTCCTTCCGACTACTGTCCCAATCACCCAACATACTCGCATGCCATCACCACCACCAATCCCGTATATATGAACTTGATCCCCGCTATCGTTGTAAATCCCAATGCAACATTTTTGCAACACAACAAAGAGTATATTCCAAGTGCGGGTGCAGGTCTTGGTGTCGGCTCGGAGGGCGCTGCGGGTGAGAAGAATATGCACGATGCCGAGTTCACGTGTGCTCTCTTCCGGTTCATCCAACTCACCTGTGAAGGTCACAATTTGGGTAGGTGGCAATAAATCAAGCAAGTTGACATATACATCTACTTATTATTTTCTCATAGAATGGCAGAACTATTTGCGCACACAAGCGGGAAACACCACCACGGTCAATGTGGTTATTTGTACTGTGGATTATTTGCTGCGTCTACAGGAATCGATCATGGACTTCTACTGGCACTATTCCAGTAAGGAAATCATTGATCCTGCTGGCAAAGCGAACTTTTTCAAGGCCATCGGAGTGGCCAGTCAAGTGTTTAACACCCTCACTGAAGTCATACAGGGTCCATGTACTTTGAATCAGCAAGCCTTGGCCCATTCAAGATTATGGGATGCTGTTGGTGGATTCCTATTTCTGTTTTCTCACATGCAGGACAAACTCTCAAAGCATTCGAGTCAGGTGGACTTGTTGAAGGAGCTGCTTAATCTACAAAAGGATATGATCACCATGATGTTGTCCATGCTGGAAGGCAATGTAGTAAATGGTATGTCTTTCAATTTCCTTTACCCAATATAATAAATAATCTTTAGTTACTTCTTTTTTTCAGGCACTATTGGCAAGCAGATGGTGGATACCCTTGTTGAGTCTGCGGGCAATGTTGAACTGATTCTTAAGTATTTCGACATGTTCCTGAAATTGGCCGACTTGATTGAGTCGCCTAGTTTCCATGAGATAGATATAAAGAACGAAGGCTGGGTTATACCCAAAGATTTCAGAGAAAAAATGGAGCAATCCAAGAACTACACACCGTAAGTGAAAGACAGATTGTTTACAGCCAGTTTCTTACGGTGTTTTATTTAACCGCATTTAGGGAAGAAATGGATTTCCTTTTGGCCTGCTGTGAACGCAATCACGAAGGTAAAATCGATTATAGAGCCTTTGTCGAACGTTTCCACGAGCCATCAAAGGAGATTGGTTTCAACCTGGCTGTGCTGCTGACCAACCTAAGCGAACACATGCCCAATGAGCCGCGTCTGGCGCGATTCCTAGAGACAGCCGGTTCTGTGCTGAACTATTTTGAGCCGTTCCTGGGCCGCATCGAGATATTGGGCAGCTCAAAACGTATTGAACGTGTCTACTTTGAGATCAAAGACTCCAATATCGAGCAATGGGAGAAGCCGCAGATTCGCGAATCAAAACGAGCCTTCTTCTATTCCATTGTCACAGAGGGAGGCGATAAGGAGAAACTAGAAGCGTTTGTTAACTTCTGTGAGGACGCGATCTTTGAAATGACCCATGCCTCCGGACTGATGGCTACGGACGATGGTGGCAGCAATGTGAAGCGTGATACCGCCTATAGTTCCTATATGAGTGAAGAGGAGGAGGAGCGTGCCGCTCGCGATCCCATCAGACGCACAATTACAGCAGTAAAGGAGGGTCTTAAGTTCGGAGTGCACATGCTGAGTCCGTCGAATATCAAGCATCAAATCGGAGTTATGCAAACCAAATCTATACCTGAGCTGATTGTTGGATTCTTCAAGATCATATTCTATATGTTCTACTACACAGGCTATGCACATTACTGTGTAGTCCGCTACATCTTTGGTATTCTATTGAATTTGATGCGCGGTCCCGCGCCAGAGCAGGAGGAGGAAGTAGCTATTGTTGAAGAGGAAACATTTGGACGTGCGCTGCCACCGTTGCCGTTGGAAGAGCCGCCGGGCACTGTACAGGCCTTTGGCCTGGACATAAACAAGGAGGAAAACGGCATGTATAAGGTGGTGGTGCACGAGTCACCAGCGGGCTCTTCTGTTGAAGAGGGCGGCGAATCCAGTCCAGAAGATGGCGCAGTTGTTACTGCCGAACTTATTGAGGGCGAACCATATCAAGAGCCCATTTCGATAGTTGATCTGCTGGGCGGCGAGGCCGCTAAGAAAGCGGCTCAGGAGCGTCAGGAGGCACAGAAGGCCCAAGAGGCAGCCATGGCCTCTATCGAGGCGGAGGCTAAGAAGTCTTCGGCGGCACCACAGGAGACACCAGCTGTGCACCAGATCGACTTCTCCCAGTATACGCACCGCGCGGTCAGCTTTTTGGCCCGGAACTTTTACAATTTGAAATATGTTGCCCTGGTTTTGGCCTTTAGCATCAATTTCATGTTGCTCTTCTATAAGGTTACCTCGTACCCTGAGGAATCCGATGGATCTGGTGAGGATGAACTTATTCTAGGATCGGGTTCGGGCGGTGGAGCAGACATAGCTGGTTCTGGCCTAGGTGGTTCGGGTGATGGTGGCTCTGGCGATGGCGATTTTGAAGCGGACGATATACCGGAACTTGTGCATGTGGATGAGGACTTCTTCTACATGGAGCACGTTTTACGAATAGCCGCATGTCTCCACTCCCTTGTCTCATTGGCCATGCTGATCGCCTATTACCATTTGAAGGTACCGCTGGCCATATTCAAGAGGGAGAAGGAAATCGCACGACGTTTGGAATTTGATGGTCTATTCATTGCCGAACAGCCGGAAGATGATGACTTCAAGTCGCATTGGGACAAGCTGGTCATCTCGGCCAAAAGCTTTCCGGTCAACTATTGGGACAAGTTTGTGAAAAAGAAGGTGCGCCAAAAGTACAGTGAAACCTATGATTTTGATTCAATTTCCAACTTGCTGGGCATGGAAAAGAGCGCATTTACCGCACAGGAGAGCGAGGAGACGGGCATCTTAAGGTACATCATGAACATCGACTGGCGCTACCAGGTGTGGAAAGCCGGCGTTACCTTCACCGACAACGCTTTCCTCTACTCCTTGTGGTATTTTAGCTTCTCGGTGATGGGCAACTTTAACAACTTCTTTTTTGCGGCCCATTTGTTGGATGTGGCTGTCGGCTTTAAGACCCTGCGTACCATTCTACAATCTGTCACCCACAATGGCAAACAGCTGGTACTGACAGTCATGCTCCTCACGATTATAGTGTATATATATACGGTGATTGCGTTCAACTTCTTCCGCAAGTTCTACATACAGGAGGAGGACGATGAAGTGGACAAAAAGTGTCATGACATGTTGACCTGCTTCGTATTTCATTTGTACAAGGGCGTGCGTGCAGGCGGTGGCATTGGTGATGAGATTGGTGATCCGGTTGGGGATGATTATGAGGTTTATCGCATTATCTTCGACATCACATTCTTCTTTTTCGTTATTGTTATCCTGTTGGCCATCATCCAGGGTTTGATTATCGACGCATTTGGCGAGCTGCGTGATCAATTGGAGTCAGTCAAAGATAATATGGAGTCCAATTGCTTTATATGCGGCATGGGCAAGGACTTCTTTGATATAGTGCCGCACGGCTTTGATACCCATGTTCAGAAAGAGCACAATCTGGCCAACTATATGTTCTTCCTGATGCATTTGATTAATAAACCGGACACGGAGTATACCGGCCAGGAGACATACGTCTGGAATATGTACCAGCAACGCAGCTGGGACTTCTTCCCGGTTGGCGACTGTTTCCGCAAGCAATACGAGGATGAGCTCTCTGGCGGCGGTGGTGGTGGAGGCTAGCTCCCCATAGTCTAGATTCTCTCATTTTTCATAAAAAAAAACAGTTTATAATGGTTGATATCGATATGATAATGATACTTGTTTGAATTCTTTTTGCTAGGTCTATAATTTTAGTATAATCTAAGTACTTGATATGTATGAATATTTTGCATATATATATGGACGGATGGATGTTGATGATTCTAGCATGTACTGTTAGAATGCTCCTAACTCAAATAAATAAATCGATTCATTTATACCGCAGGGATTGTTATTTTTTATTAAGGGCACATTGATAACATCTATAAATATATACTTATAGAGTAAAACAAATCACATAACACGCAATACACATTCATTATTTTTTCTTTTTTTTTTTGTTAATTTTCCATAAATCACAGCTACTAATTTATTCTAATTTCTACAATTTGGCTAACTTAAAAATTATGTTAATTTCTTGGTGGACATTTATCGAGCAAATTTTTCACATTGTTCATACTTGTGCGCTATATACAAGTGTTCACACAGATAGCCATATATATCATGGCTGCAAATTCGGTTCGGTGCGCATCCGGAATTCCAACATATCCTGGGCGAACCTTGGTTCGAAACTGTTTCAAATTTTATTGGAATTTGCAGTCATGATATGAATAAATTTAACAATTGGTTACAAAATTGTTCTTAGTTGCCTCATAGGCTGTCACATAAATATATTCTAGGTATTTTTTTGTTTCTTTGACTAGTGAAAATTGTACAATTGAAAATAATATAGGATAAATACAACGAAAATTGCCGCAAAATATCAGCAATCGAGTCGCTTCTTTAAGCGAAAGAACTCTGCATTGTCAATGCTATTGATGTTATCCATATATAAATTGCGTAAAGTGCGCACATCCGACATCCGATCCTCTATATCCGTGTACATTCGTCGACAGCGATAAATCGAGAGGGTCTCCAGGCATGCACAATTCACAATAATTGCATCGATTGTGTGATCCGTCAGCTGACTGCAGCCGCTGATGTCCAGGGAACGCAATCGTTGTAGCTTCTCGGTGATAATCTTGATGCCCTGATCGCTGATGTTATAGCAATCGGACAGATCTAGCATCTCTATGGCTGGGCAGTTGTTAACTAGCGCTTCCATGCCCAATAGCGATATCTGTTGGCAATTAGAGAGCAACAGCCTATTCAGCTCCATATGTTTTAGGCCGTATTTTAAGGAAACATCGCTTATTTTATTGCAGCCGCGCAAGTTTAAGGAGCGCAATCCTCGAAGCTCTTGTATATTATGGCCTTCGAAGTCCTCGTCATTGATTAGATTCATTTCGTAGGCCGCAAACATTGCCTGCTTCCGTTTGGCATCCCGTACAATCTCCTCTTCTGCTTTGCTGCGTAACGATATCTTAATTGACTGCAAGGAGCCGGTAAAACTATCGAACGGTGGGCACGCATTTCCAACGGAGGAGGCTCGGTTCAGTTCCAGCTTGGCTATATTAATGCCAGTAAGCGCAGCATCAGTTAGCTAAACAACAAACGAATATAAGATTAATTTCTCTAGGTAAAAGTTTCTTTTATCACGTTTCTGCAGTCACTTTTCTATCCCTTTTCCGGCAGTGGAAAACTTAATCTTTTCTACCCATTTTCAACCAGAGAGGTGGACTTCCTGCTCTGGCTCACACCTCGCAAACAAAATTACAAAATATAAGTATTAAGTCAATCGGGTGAAAACAGAATAAAAATGCATACTCCATAATAAGATTAGATAAAATGAGTTTAAAAGCAATCTTTGACCCCAATTTTCCACACGGGAATCGATTTTCCATAGTGTGAAACACGTCCCAAATTATTTTTCAGATCTTAGTAAATAACATATCCCGTCTAAGTATGCACTTACAGCATTATATTACCAACCAGTCAGTCAGTTTATGATACAGAAGCTATATGTTGACAGTTCTGACTTACCCTGCAACAACTTTCCAGTGAAAGCTCACGAAGCCAACACAGCTGGCTTATGATAAGCTGCATAACCTCATCCGTGACACCGTTGACGCAGTGGTTCAAGTGAAGGGAGCGCAGAGCGCGTAGATTTCTGGCAATGGACTTAATGGACTCCTCACAGATAGTCAAATATGAGACGTTCAGCTCCATTAGCACGGTGTTCTCTTCGCGTGCTACGCCCTCCATAATGCCATTACTGCTGACGCCGTCACAATTGGAAATATCCAAGAGACGTAAACGCGGTAAATGCCGCAACTTTGCGGCACCCAAGTTTGTAATGCCCGAGCAAGCGTTTATCTTGAGGTCCTGCAATTGCGGATTTGACTGCACAATCGCCGCCAGGCAGTCATCGTTTAGACACATCGTGGCGGACAAATCCAAAACACTTAATTGCCTTTGCGTGCTGAGGAAGCTTTTGATGGTAGCTGCATTCAACTGCCTACAGCCGGCTAAATATAAACGGCGCAATTGCAAGCCAGGCTGAGCATTCTCATCCGCCTGGCTGAGCTCGCACAGTGCCAGCAGCGAGTGTCCGATTAACGTGTGACTAAAGTCGAGGGTGTGGAGCATCCGACGCTGCTGAGTGAGCACCTTCAAGATGTATTTGAATGTCAGCACCGATTCACTTGGCATGCTTGGCTCCTGGGGATAGAAGCGTCGATGTATGGCATTGTGAAACGAGATCTGGCAACCGGACATATTAAGCAGCTCCAGCTTGGGCATCAGCGCAGTCAGGCGCAACAGTATGGCATCGGTGAGATACTGATTTTTGCATATAGTTAGCTCCCGTATGCTGGCGAGATGTGCCGAGATCTCATTCAAATCGCACGCATTTGAGTCCAAGAAGGTGGCCGACATGAACAGGGGCAAACAACGTGTTACGGCCAGGACCTGTAAATGTGGCAGCAGGCGTAGAATGCCATAGAACTGCTTATCATTCAGATCCACATTGTCCAGGCTTAACGAACGCGCCGATTGTCCTATGAATGCTATCAGCTCAGGAACCTGGCCCAGGGTCACATCCTCGAACAGAAAGTGACGAAAGCGTCTTTCGCATCTCATCAAATCAACAGCGGGACTATGCTGATCCGAGAGCACAACTTTTGAGAAACGTACGCGTGTTCGGGCAATAAATTCAGTTTGATATAGGGCGCTTCTCCAACGGTGACAACTGGTGCCAGCTGCCAATAGATCGGAATAGCCCAGATACTTGTATATATGCAGCACTATCTGTGTGAAAGAATCGTATATTCAATTATTGTCAGCTGACTTGAGGTCACGAGTGGAAAACTTGGTGTTAACCCCAACGTACATACCTCTAACGGCAGCTCACTATAGCTATATAGGCAATAGTCCGAGGACGACATTCTCAATTTATTAAAGCGATCCCAACGCCGAATAGCTCACCTAATTATAGTCCAACTACCTCAATACTAAGCTAACTATAACTATTAAGCAGTGCGACCGTATTGTGTATTCTGCAAAATACCATTGTCTCGTAATAATAATGGTATTCCTAATTGTATTTTAAAGCATTCTTAACTGACGATTTGCTGTTAACCCGGACTGTGTTAAGCAGATACAAAAGTATTAGCAACATAGAAAATCGTTTCTTGAAAAAATCCAAGATGCAAGTTAAATTAAATAAATTTACAATAATTTGTAAATTAATTGTACAAAACGTCAAATTAGTATTTTTTAGTCACAGCTGATTTTATGCTGTAGTAGTACAATTTACTTTTTCCCGACGGTCACACTTTGTCTATGACATCAGTTTTAGCTTTGCTGTCCATTTTTGTTTTGCAAATTTTATTGCAAGTTTCTGCAATTAGAAAATTATCTACAACATCAAAACGCTGTCAAAATACATAATTCGCAGTGCCCAACATAATGGCCGATCCAAAATTTCAAAACTTGCCCGGCATTGTAAGCATACAAACATTCATATTTTCTATATGTACACTCATTTCTTGCCTAGGCTTATGACCAGCCGGATGTTTTTGAGACTCCCGACGATCCGGAGCCTGATACATCCGACTATTACGAAGAGGAGCCGGAAAACGAAGCCATTGAGCGTATGCACATTTCACCAAGCGCAGCACACAAACGCTTTAGTAATTCAACTCTCGAGGGCAACGTTGATTTCACGGATCGCATTGGACGACGCGTGTGCCGCGGCTACGATGTGCGCGGCGGAGAATACGAGCTGGTTTGCCAGGGTGAAAAGGAAACTCCGGTGCAAAAGTGTCAGCGCCTGCAAATTGAGATGAATGAGCTGCTCGATGAAGTTGCAGCGCTGCAAGTCGATCGAAAAATCGCCGAAGAGGAGAAACAGTCTTATGACGCGGTTGCCACTGTGATTAGCACGGCCAAGAGAGTGTTGGATACCTTGAAACTAGAGCAAGTACTTGGCAAGGAGCAAACACCCAATGATAAGCAGGTCAAAGCACTTGTCGCCCAAGTGGAGGAATTTAAGCAGTCTGGTGTGCTGACAGCTCTGCCGACGCCAGGCACGGATTTGGCGTCCACAGCACGTGTCGCGAATCTCGAACAACGTTTACATCAACTGGAAAAGGCTGTGGGTGCGCACCCAGAGAAACTAAGTCGCTTGACCGCGGTCACCAACACGTCCAACGTGCTTGAGGCTGTGCGCCATCTGAGCACCAAGGCGGCACTACTCCAGCCGGATAAACTGGACGCCATTGAGCAGCGTTTGACTTCTTTGGCTGGCAAAATGGATGCTATTGCCGAGAAGTCCAGCGGCAGCACACAGGATGCGAAACGTGACCAAAAGGTGACTGAGCTCTACGACATTGCAAAACGTACCGAACCAGTTGTCGAAATGCTGCCACATGTGATTGAACGCATGCAGGCACTGGAAGCTTTGCATAAATATGGTAGGAGTCAATTTCTTCCGTTTTTAGTGATTAGATAAAGCCAGTTTTTAATTTTTCAGCAAACAATTTTGCCAAGATCATTGCGGAAATCGAACAAAAACAGGGCACTATTACGACCAGCCTGGTTAACAACAAGGAACTTCTTCACTCGGTACAGGAGACTTTTGCCCAAAATCTGGAAACAATCAACACCAAAATGGCTAAGGTGGAACAGCGTGTTGCGGCCATAACCAGCGCTAAATAAAGAGGCCAGAATATTTCAAATGTCTAGCACACATAACTAGAATTATAACAACTATGAATATAAATATTTATTTGTATCAATAAAGCAAACGCTTGGAATTTCCATATGTACGGTATATGAAAATGTATTAACACTGGTGTCCGTTCCAGAGAGCATACCCTATATAAAATTTGAAATGTGGCGCGAGTTCTTGATTTTAATACATACAGTATGTATGTGGATCCAACATAAAAACACCGATGTCTTGTACAAAATAATTATCGATTCATCGATATTTTAATGTTTGGCAATCGCAAAGTGTCGCTGCCGTCGATAGAAACATCGATTCTGCGACAGCTTTTAGTTCTTAAAAAAATATTAAAAGAAATATTTATACATATTTTTAATTAATTTAAACATACTGTGCAAGCAATAAACACAAATTAAGTGCGTGTAAGTACAGTTTAAGAGTTATGACAACATGACAAAACATAAGATGCAGCATTTTGCGGCCACGCCAATGCTGCAGCGACTGAGAAAAAAAAGTGATGACGGGGCGCGCTCCAATTGGACGTGCCACAATTTCGTTTAAATTCCATTTGGCCAGAGCTATAACCTAATAATCTAATTTAATTTGCAGAGCGAAAAGATGAAAATTAAAGAGCTACAGAAGACTGTAAACATTGCCTGGTCGCCAGCGCAGCAGCAGCAAATACTGCTGGCCGCCGGCACCGCGGCCCAGCAGTTCGATTCGAATGCAAGTGCCACATTGGAGATATATTCACCAAGCATTGGCGATGCCAGCTACGATTTGGAGCTGAAGGCGAGCGTGCCTAGCGACTTTAAGTGAGTTAGAGCTTTATTTGAGTAACAACTGATAGATAAACGCAATTTGATAGATTTCAGAAGCTCATTTGGAGCCCGCACGGTGCGAATGGCACGCATCCAAATGGGTTGATTGTCGGCGGCTGTGAGGCTGGCCATATCAATGTCTATTCGGCTGCCAAGCTTCTAGCTAACGAGGAGTCGCTGCTGGCGCGTCAGGATAAGCATACCGGCGCAGTTAGCGGCTTGGACTTTAATCCATTTCTAAACAATCTGCTTGCGTCATGTGCTTCTGAATCGGAGATTTATATCTGGGATCTAAACAACCCGGTCAGTCCTCTAAATCCAGGCGCAAAGACTCAGCCGCTGGAGGATGTCAAGAATGTCGCTTGGAACCGGCAAGTTCAGCACATATTGGCATCTGTGTTCAGCACACGCTGTGTTATTTGGGACTTGCGCAAGAGTCAGCAGATTATCAAGTTGTCGGACACGCAGTCGCGCGTTAGATGGCATGCCATTGAATGGCATCCTGAGGTGGCCACCCAGGTATGGCTGGCATCGGAGGATGACCAGGCGCCGGTTGTGCAGCTCTGGGATTTGCGTTACGCCACCGCACCGGCAAAAACTTATCAGATACACGATCGTGGAGTGCTTGGCATGTCGTGGTGCTTGCAGGATACGGATCTGATGGTCTCATGTGGCAAGGATAATCGCATCTACTGCTGGAATCCGAATACCAAAATACCCGAAGGCGAAATTCTTTCAGAGGTAGCCACCACAGCTTCTTGGTATTCGGATGTACAATTCTGTCCGCGCAATCCCGCGTTGATTGCCAGCGCCAGCTTAGATGGAGCTGTTTCAATATACTCGCTGAATGGCGGCACACACCATTTGGTGCAAACATCCGAGAAAATAGCCGACTCCTTTCCAGGAATGGATCAATTTGCCCAGGCGCCACTGCCTCAGCAAGCCACTCAAGTTGTCTATCACGATCTGACGCACGCTCCCAAATGGATGAAGCGTCCCTGTGGCGTGGCGTTTGGTGTTAGTATTTACAAGTAATTCCAAGTAAAACTGTGCCCAATTAATTACAATTTCATCAACAGTTCGGGGGCAAGCTGGTTAGTTTCAACGCAACATCGAAAACTGTGAAGGTATCCCAGCTAACAACCGAACCAGGTCTCGTGGAGCGTGCGAATGCATTGGAGTTGTCTCTAGCCGAGGCCAACTATGCAGATTATTGTCGACAGCGTGCAGATAAATCAACGGATCAGCACGGTCGCTACATTTGGTACTTCATCAAGGCAAACTTTGAACTGAATCCCAAAGAAGAAATGCTCAACCTTTTGGGTAAGCACCCAGAGCTCATTATCGAAGCGATCATATTAAAAGGTTTTTGATTTTAGGTTACAACAAGGATGACATCGATGGAAAATTTACAAAGTTCATCAAAGAGGCCGAGAGCAACTCGCAGTCTGACGTAGATACGCTCACGACCCGCATATCAACTCTTACACATGTGAGTTTCCGCCATGGGTTTTCTATTTGTTCAGCTCGGTTCAGCTCTTATCTCTTAAGAACAGAAATAACATATGTATATGCTACAACACGCTATCAATATTGAGCATTGCTTCAGTTTGTTCATCTCTCCTTGTATATTTTTCTGATAACAATTTTTCATGCTTGCCTAACATTTGCTCCAAGTAGAGCGACTCATCTGAGGTTGAATGCGACCAAAGCACCAACTCAAGCACCGATAATTCGGTAAGAAATTGGATGCCCAACGAAAAGTTTAATCAATTAATCACTCGCGACAAAAATACATCGAACCAACATATATATTATTTTGTAAGAGTTAATTAAAATAAATCCATTTCCAGCAAACGAATGACAACAAAACACCATTTGATGGTGCCTCAATCGACCCGCAAAACCTGAACGACTATGTTAGACCTCAGTTCAAAATACCAAACGGTGATCGTAAGTAGAAAAGAAAAAGGTTATCTTCGAAAGGCCGAATATATCCTTGCAGAATTTGATGGCATTTCCTAATTCAATTCATTTTCTTGCAGACACCGATAGCTTAATTACGGAAGCCATACTCACGGGCAATGTTGAGGCTGCCGTGGAACTGTGTCTGGAGGCGCAGCGCATACCAGAGGCACTGATCATAGCTTCTACAGCGGGCATAGAGACGCTAACACGCACTCAGACCCGCTATTTGCTGCAGCAAAAGAACGAGCTATCCAATGTCATATCGGCATTGGTAACGCGCGATTGGCTGGACTTCGTGAATCGCTGCACCGTGGACTCCTGGAAAGAGGCTCTCGTAGCTGCGCTCAAGCACAGCGAGCGCAAATTGGACGACATTTGTGAGAGGCTCGGCGATCGCCTGTTGAATGAGACCGGCAGCAGTATTGAGCTGACGCGCAATGCCATGCTATGCTATATCTGTGCCGGCAGCATTGATAAGCTGGTAACTGCCTGGTATCAGTTAAAGCAAATGGAGCAGCAGAATCACAACTACAAGCTTAACACCACGGAGCTGCAGGAGCTGGCCGAGGTAGTAATGCTGCTAACCAAATCATTGGAACAGCAAGGCATTGCTGTCGACTTGGCCGGACGCTTTGCCAGGTTTATATCTGAATATAGTGGACTACTGGCCTCCCAAGGTGCCCTGACCGCTGCTCTACAATATATAACAACGCTAAGCAAAGTCAATGTCGAAAGCGAAGATTTGAATGAGTTGCGTGAACGCATTAGCAATGCTGTCAATGTAGATCCCATACAACCAGCAGCAGCCGCTGCCGCTCCCATGGGTTACATGCGTCAAATGGAGCCTCGTGGTTCGTTCTCAAAGCCAGCAAATCCATTGCCGTACAGCCCCTATAATGCCACAACAAATGGAAGCTGGCAGCAGGCAGCAGCACCGCCAGCTGTGCCTTTGCCGAGCGCACCTTTCCAGGCAGCTCAGCAACCTACACAAATCTACAATCCGCCACAAATGAAAGCCGAACCCTTAACGCATCCGCCACGACCCCACAGCAATGCTAGCTCCACGGGCGGGCCCCCGGTGGCTACAGCAACTGGATCTGGATCTGGCCTCCACTCGCGCTCTAAATACGTTTTAGATCCTTCTGTGGCAGCGCCTACCAGCCCATATGGTATGCCATATAACCCAGTTCCAGCTCCAGCGGCAGTTCCGTTCGCTGGAGCCCCTGTCTCACAGCCTGCCAGTGTACCACAGACTTATAATAGCAACGTCTTCAACACCAACCCCATATCCACGGCTCAGCAATATAACCCAACTGCATTCATTGGGGCCCCACAAAGCAACTACTTGTCGGGTGCTGCACCCATTGAGACAATGCCAGTGGCTAATGCACCGCCACCTCTTCTCCAGAATATACAGCGTAATCCTACGCCACCACCTGGCTGGAATGATCCACCAGCTTTGAAATCTTCGCGTGTGGTAAGTCTTGACTTCATTTTTCCGTCTAATTTTTAATGCTTTACTGCAATTTTTAGCCAAAGCCACGACCAACAGCGGAATCAACTGCAGCACCAATACTACATCCACTATACGGCGTTGATCCCAATCAGAATCAGAACAGCCTTATGGATCCCAACCAATATCAGGTACTATCAGCTTGAGAAGCCTATACTTATTAGAAATGTTTGATTGTTATTCAATGCATTATCTGCTCTTTTCTACAGGGCGCTCCACCGCCAGGTCCCACATCTTTCTACAATCAAACTGCCAATAATAATCCGCAGGCCTTTCCACCTCAACAACAACAACAGCAAATAAATTTCCAACCAACGGCAGTGCCTAATCAACAACAGCAACAACACTGGCCGGGTCAGCCACAACAGCAATCGTTCGGCTACACCGAACAGCCAGCACCAATACAAGAACAGCGTCAACCAGAACCGCCCAAGGAGAAGCCTCCACTCCCGGAGGAATATATTTATTTGCAAACCGTTTTGGAGGAGCTGAAAAACCAATGCCTAAGCGCAACTAATGATCCGGTAGGCAGACAGTGAGAACAAATGATTCATAATAACAATAATGCAATTGATAAAATTCTTACAAAAAAGAGTGGGGTGGCCGAAAATGTTCTTCCTAATACAACTGAACTGTTTCTTGATATTAAATCAACCTTTTAATTTTTTGCAGCGCACCAAACGAAAATTTGTGGATGTGGTGAAACGCTTGGAAAATCTCTACGATTGCTTGCGCGACGGACGGGTAAGCTTACAGTCAACTTTTCAAATAATATAAAAAGGCTAAATTAAACTTCCCCATTGTCACATTAGCTAACGGCCACAACTGTGCAACATCTTAATCAAATTGTGCAGTATATACAAATTGCCGACTATGCAAATGCCCTGGAGGTGCACACACGCATTGCATTTGGCACGGACTTTTCGCAGTGTGCGGGCTTCATGCAGGGCCTAAAAGTTTTACTTCAATCGGCAGCGGAGCTGCACCTGGTTTTGCGCTAGTTTACGATTATTTATGGTTTGTGTGTCTAAATCAAAAGCGCGATTATGTTTGTTCCATTTGATTTTGTGTACTCCTGCTTTTTGTTAGATGCAGTTATTATAAAGGATTTCAAAAATTATACATACATAAATATACAGCTTTGGCTATAATAATAGCTATAATAGCTTTGGCTGATTTCGTATATTATCCAAGTCCAGCATAGGCTCCTGGTGCTGCGCGGCTGCAGGTGATCCGGAATGTGGAATTTTATGCATTGCCTGCGGGGATAATATATGATGATCATAACCCAAGTGTTCTTCGGGCAGCAATCGATATTTTTTGAGATATTTATATGAAGCGTTTGACATATTACTGGGACTCGGGCTGAAATTGTCAATTTGACGCAATGGCGTTGAATTGGAGCCCGTATTGACCACCACATCGTTGCCTGCTTTTGGAGATACATGCAGGTCTTCCATCAGTTCGTTGATTTGCCGCTGCGGCAAATATTTCAGAGCCAGCTCATTCATTACCAAAGTTTTATCTGTGTTCGACTTGGGCCGCGCGGATGCAGTCAGTTGCGGCACCGGCGACTGCCTGCCCTGCGGTGTGTTGGCTCGATATCCAGTGGATTGTGCCACGGGTGGCGCAGCGTGCGGCGATTGGAATTGTGGCAGTTGTCTCGCTGGTAGTTCAAGCTCATCTTCTTCAACTATATAATCGTGAACAATAGGCGTTATCCGCTTAACTGCAGCATTGCCTACAGGCCGTATTATATAAAGGTTTTCTAAATAACTAAACTTATAATTTGACTTAAGACTTACCCTTAGTTGGGACTACAATCGCACACTGAGAAGCCGTTTCTTTAAAAGTCTTGGTGCTGGCTTGCTGCTGTTGCTGAGCTAGGGACTCACATAGGCGTTTTAATTGCTTTTGCTCCTGGCGCATTGTTTCCAATAGAGTTAACAGCTCTCTAATATCCTTTTTATCTGCCAAATTGCTCAGCTCAGGCCTGGCATCCTTTACGTCAGATATTGTTTCTGGTTCGGTCTGGGTGCTAGCACAAATTGTAAGCACATCGGCAGCAATTGCATTCGACTGGGGCAAACGCGTTGTTGGCATTAAATCGTCTGTGGCAAATGCTTCGCGTGTGTAGTGGTTAGGTCCAGACATCGCAAATCCTACATTCACATTGCTACCCACCGGATGCGCGGGGGTTATGCGCTCATCAAAAGCGCGAGTGCGCGGTAGAAAATTGTATTCATTGCCACCGGAACCTGTGCTGATTGCTCCGGGCGTAGCAGACGTCGGGTTGCCTGGGCCCAATTCTGTTGTAAGTACTGGAGAAAAGTTAACCCGAGGAAGTATTTGTTTCTTCCAGGAGGCAAAACTGTTTGCTGGACGTTGAACTGACGCTTGTTGTTGTTGTAGTTGAGCTTGTTGCTGGGGGGGTTGCCCAAACAATATAGAAACTTCAGGGACAGTTGGCTTAACTATGTGGTCGGTATGTCCCAGCGGTATTGGCGCACTGGGCCTCGGAGCCGCTCGCGGCAGCATATCTTCTGTTTCAAACATTTTCTATTTGTTTATTGAAATTGAATTCGGGCGCGACATAAATTGCACTGCGCAAGCGAGCAGGGCTGCTATTAACCAGGGCCGTATACAAGTGAAACTCGTTGAATAATAATAAATGTATAAATTTACTGTAGCCCTAGCAGCTGTGTCATAGAAAAAAAAGAAAAACAAACGCGGTACCTACAAGCCGACAATTTGAACAATTAAATATTAAAGCCAACATGCCACATCTAGAGAACATTGAAGCCATGACAGTAAACACGCCACCAGCGCCAACGGCAGAAGCGGATGACCCACACCAGGAGCAGCCCGTACGTGAGCTAACACAAACGGATCACCTAAATAAACGCTTGTTGAAATCGTTGCTGGATTCGATGCAATACGCAATCGAGCCGCAGGATGAGTCAACTGAAACCGAGTCAGGCGGCAGCGACTTCGAAGATTGAAACTTTTATATATACACTTAATTTTTAAGTCAAAGTTTTGGTCACGATTTAACTAAAACTAATAAAAAATAACTATTTGTTCTTAAAGCATTGATGTGTTTGCAACAATGCAGTTTAAATACGACGGCGTTTGCTGCTCTGCAAGGGTGGTGGTGTGGTGGATGGGCTAATCGATTCGTTTGACATGGAACCACGAGTACGTTTAGCTGGTCTTTTTGGCATATCCAAGATTTTTGTCATCTTCTTTTCGTTATCTTTCGCTTGCACCACTGCCAACTTTGTGCCTATAGATTGGGCATTAATATTGTGTATAATATAAATTGACTCTTAATAGTGTACCTTTACTATTGCTCTCTGTAGCTTGAGCGGCGACCACTGGTACAAGGGAACCATGTGTATCTGTTGTTTCTTCGCTAGCGTTGGCTCCAACAGTCTTTTTGCTCACGAACGTAGCGTAATCCTGCTCTGGCAAACAAAACTCTCGCTCCTCATTGGGAAATGGCAGCCCCTCAAGATCATCCAGCTCTTTTAGTTTGTACATTGTGCTCAAGTGCCTCCAGATTAGATCGCTAGGCATTTCGCGGTTTAACGATTTTGAGAGACGTTCCGCGATGCAGGACATGTAGAAATGTTTGTTTATGCCCACAGGTCGTAAGCCTTCCATTGCATGAAAGAGCTGCAATTCCTCTTCCGCGGACCAATCGTCCTTCGCCGTCATCATCATTGCACTAGAGTCGGGCACTCAGGGATGGAAACACACACACCCACCCGCATGTAAAATGCCGATAACCGATAGCGATTACTTTAGTCTATTCGCAGCCAACTTCACGTTCCATTGGTTTGGGTGTGTATCTTTTTGTTCAAGTCAGGCGAACTTGAACTTATTTGTCGGAAATATTGACAAAATATTAAACATAAAACTGGTAAATTTTATACACATTACGTTATTAATATGTAGTTGTGCTTGTGTGTGTCCTACTAACTGAAATAATTAGTGTAGTCAAACATAATCGTGTACGTGTTGACATTTGAATGCATGTATGTGTGCACTCATGCCCACAAATTTTTAGCCAGGGAGAATAAAATCAATTGGCTAGAATTGAAAAACCCTTAATTTACTATTTTTAAATGTGAAACCTTATAGTTGCAGTCAACCGCAAGAAAACATTCGATTTGATGAGCTAAAAAGTGAATCATTTATGAGCAATAAATTTACATTATAATTAGGCAATAATACGTACAATATATTTCGCGTCATTAGTATTTACTTACACACATACATGCATCGGTGGACACGAGTGTACCGTTGCTATAAGGGTATAAAGTATTTAGAATTTCCTGAAAGCTACCTAACACAATCTTCTCTAGAACTCATATACTTCCTTTCAAGCTGTATCAATTTTCTGTGTATGTACTCGATGTCGTATCCACTGTCCGTGTCAGTATTCGAAATTTTAAAGAATATTTTAAACAACTATTTTGTGGCATTTGCTCTGTTTTCTTTTCCTTCATTTACAGCGCGTGCTATTCAGATTCATCCAAAAACGACAATCCTTACCAAAAGAAAAATCAAAATAATTTAAACTATTTTAAAATCATTTTAAACACACAACCAGCACTACTACTTACTATTGTATTTGCCTATCGTATCTGAGAAAATTTTCAACAATAGGCCTATCCGAGACAGCCGTAATGGACGTAATGTCATCATCACTGCAACAGCAGCGCATTGTCGTTGACCAGCTGCGTCGGGAGGCGGCCATAGATCGGCAGTCGGTGTCTGTATCTTGCGACAAAATGAAGAAATATATATCGGAGCACGAGCAGGAGGATTACCTATTGACTGGTTTCACCAGCCAGAAGGTAAATCCCTTCCGTGAGAAATCCTCGTGCACTGCTCTTTAAGCCGTTTCGAATCGGATAATATATATTTGTTTTTCGTTATTAAGTTCTTTATAAACAAGCACCCAATTAAAGATGATGAATAAAAACCTGATTAATAACACCACCAGCTAAAAACATTATATTGTGCAAAATATATATAAACACAAATTACAAAAAGCAATATTATACAAAACCAAAAAAAAACTTAAAAACAAATAGAAATCTGTAAAAGGACCTAATGTGTACCAAATCGTAAATACTTAGAACGAAAAGACATAACAGTATAGAAACAGCAATGAAAATGTTAAATTCTCCAAAAAAAACCTTAACTTTTGGCATTTATTCGGGAAATATCAGCATATAGTAAAGCAAGCAGTGTACACGAATATCCCAACTTAAAGGACAATTATTGTGCGGACTATAGCAACAACTACCTAAACTATGAAATCTATATCTACATATACTATATCAATCCAATATATATTTATTAAAACATAGTTAACACACACAAATAAAAACAAAACAAACAACACTTATTTTGCCTACTTATTTCAAGAATAATCTGTTCACGTTGTTAAACATACTCAATTATGAAGTATGTATATTCAAGAATATATTATTATAAACATTTATAAATCCCAACTATGCGGATTCAAACTATATGATTACTTTAAAAGCTTTAAATGCAGGCAGAAATATGGCCATAACAAACTAGTTCAACTTTAGTGTGTTTAATATCAAGTTTTTCTTAGCAAAATATTAAAGCTGGTTGCAGTAACGCGACAAAAAAATATAAATGCAAATATTTAGTATATCTAAAGTAGTTTTCGCCTTTTTGATTATTAACTGGCAATTCATGCCAATATTCTATATTCTATATAAAATGAACGATAATTTATTTTATGGATCTCTAGATCTATATGAAACTCTACACGAATCTGAAAATTGTTTCTTCCTATTTCTGGTTCAAACAAATTGTAACAATGTGTGATTCTGTGCTAAGCAAACGAAATAATAAGAAAAGAAAAAAGTCACTCATAATACTTGCATATTATTAAAGCTAATGTCGACATTGTAAATCGGATGTTATCAAGAGAGCACATGATATCATATCTATCAAATGATTTGTCCGCGGTTGAGCCTATATTTTTGTAAAGGATAAACGAACCAAATTGTATTTGGCATGAGTGGCAAAGTATATATTAAAGCTGAGTTATTTTTCTACACTCTAACATGGTATTGGGCATATTTGTATGGTATTGGAATGAAACAAAACGGTTCTCCCATAGAGAGAAACATTAAAATATCCATATTCTCATCGAAAACAAACCCACATTCATAAATAAAAGATTCGGATAATACAAATTTGCCTTGTCGACAGAGCTATTTAAAATTTATATTTAATCGGTTCTTCCATTCTTGCATTTAAGTAAATTATATGATTTTTTGAATAAGGAACCACACATTTTTACTAAAAGCATTTGTTTTCCAAAACCATTCAGATAGATTTTGAACTCTGTTCTGCTGTCGTGAGCATTCAGCAGAAAATTGTTCAAAATTGAAAATTCCCTACTTTAAGAGTAGAATTTCTAGATGCTTCCAAAAAATAAAACCAAAACTGCAGTTGGTTACGAAGCAACTATTTTCAGTAGATTAACAATATTTGGCACAATTTTCAACTTCCTGCAAGTTTCATATAGATATTCCGTTTTAATTTATAGTTTGTTCTTCAATTGATTGGATCTATATAGATTGAAGTTTGCTGAAAACAATTGAACTATCCACTGGAGCACGGATGGTTTCTTTTGCTTTCAGTGACAAACATAAAATCTGATATACGTATTTACAACTATACTTACTAAAGCATACAAGAAATAATGGATATATAAAGCACCGAATACCAAAAATGAGAAAACACTTTAAAAACTTTATTAAACTTCAATTTGAAAACGACAACGATATCGTATTTTATTCGAACCAAATATTGAATTGTATCTGCGAATACGCATTTGAAATAATGTAATGTACTCCAAAATGAACAAATAATTGTTTGCTTGAATTCCAAAAATAAAAAGCTTAGATGAGTTATCTAGCGGACAAAAAAAACCTCTCCTTCGGCGTTTAATTTACTGGCATGGATACAAACACGAAGCTTGAATTCACTGCTATTCAAAATGAAACACAGCGAATAATGCATTTAGTTTTTTAAGGTTTTAGTTTATTAATACAAAGAAGCTGTGTATGTGAGTTTTTTTTTTGGGTGTGTGTGTGTGTGTGTTAATGAAATTTATAATTTCCATGTGTGACAAAGAATATGTGAAAATACATGTAAAGGGTTCTTCGAAACTAAAATAATTAAGCTTTACATTTTATCGAATCGTTTAATATTACATAAGCTTAACTCTCATCATCGCTGCCAGCCGCCTGTCGCGGTTTTGGCCCTCCAGCACGCTTGGCCATGATAATCTGGTCCACTTTTAATATGGTTGCAGCCGCACTGACGGCATACTTGAGACCCCAGAATTTGGCTTGATACAGATCAAACAGTTTCGCCTCAACAGCGTCGAGAGTCGTAGCTTTCTCCGCTTCAATGTCAAAACCAACATTCTTGCCCTTCTCCGAATTGTGTGCCAGGTACAGCTGATTGACAATGTCTGTGCCATTGGAGCCAGAGTTTTCGGCCAGAGCCTTGGGGAAGACTTCGAGTGCATTGGCAAATTTGCGCACAGCGTATTGGTCTAAACCGGGCAAAGTGTCTGCAAAGGCAGACAGCTGTGTAGCCAGCTCTATTTCAGTAGCACCTGCGCCGGGCAGATAACGACCATCGCGAGTTAGGCATTTGAAATTGTTGACACCGTCGTCCATGGCGCGCTCGATGTCATCCATGAAATTATCTGTGGCACCACGAATTACAATGGTGGCAATGCGTGAGTCCTTGCCCTCATTTCTGTAAGTCAAATTGCATACATTTATGTTTGATTAAATTAACAGTTAAGCTTTGGTACGCACCTGAACGCCACAATTGTGGTGTCACCCAACTCTTCAATGCAGACCTTGTCGCAATAGCCTAACTCTTCCTGGCTGGGTGTTGTGATGCGCGGCAGCACTGTGCCATTTACGGCACGGCTCAAGCGACGCAAATCGAATTTGGAATTCAAGCGAACAGCCATCAGGCCGTATTTGTTCAGAAAATGCAAGGCCATGTCCCCGACTTTGCCACCAGCTACCACAACCTTAACGCCCGTATCGGCAATGGCTTTGATTTGGTTCTCTAACAAGCCCTCCTCACCCGAGGAGAAGTTCATTAGCTCATCCGCCGACTTGATCAGCACCGTGCCTTTCGTCTCCGTCTGTATGATATCGACCGGGCACGAGAATATAACAATCTTTGCCTTTTCAGCGTATGAAACATCGCCCTCGACAAAACGTTTGAAGACCATGCCGCGCACCACTTCCGACTTGTAAATGCCACTGCCCAGAATCTTGCAGATGCGGATGTTGTCCACATTGAAGGTGCCATCATCGGGCAATATGGACACGCAGGCCTTGCTCACCAGTTCCGTGAGAAAATCCTCCTGGCCGTACTGCTTCGACATAATGGCCGAGCGTAGGACTTCCTTGACTTTGTTGACATCGCGATAATCTTCCACCTTATGGCACACCAGAGTTGGCAGAATCTCTAGCGCTTTGTTCAATGCCTTCTCATATCCATCAGCTATTTCGGCTGTGGTGATGCCCAAGCGCAGCAGCTCCTCTGCTGATTCAAGCAGCGCTCCAGCCAGCACGACCACAAAATTGGTGCCGTCACCAACCTCGGCATCTTGCATTTGACTTGCCATTACAATCAGCTTGGCCGCTGGATGCTCTACATCCAATTCGCGGATTATGGTGCCCGCATCGCTTGTTACAAACTGCTTCTCAATGTGATTGATTATCATTTTGTTCATGCCGTTGGGGCCGTAGGCAGAACGCATTGTCTGTGAGAACTCCTTACAGGCACTGATGTTGCGATAGACCGCCTCCTCCAGACCACTATACATCTAGAAAATTAAAATGTGATGGAACCAATCATTATAAATGAACATATGCGATGACTAATCACGCGCTTCGACAGAGGACCGCCGGTTTTTTTGCAATTTCAATTAAAGCTCTACCGAAAAGTAGTAATTTATTGATTTTCATATTTATTTCACTTACCCTGGCGCCATCCTTAAGCATTTGCGCCATTCCCGGGGCTTTTGGAACAGATAAAGCCATTTTAATGCACAGATATTTAACAAACGAAGAGCAGCTAAAGCAAGGCAATCAGTCGGTAGTGCACTTAACCTCAAAGTGAGGCGAACGAAAATTCTGGATTGCACACTGGTAGCTATAAAAAAATACTGCTTCTGTTTTGTACAAAATACTGCAAATGTAGTTTCGTTCAGTTAATCGAACATAGTAAATATATAAAAAATAGCTACAATTATGTTTTCTCTTGACATTAAATTGACAGAGTCTTTTAACTGTGCAACTACCCAGAAATCGTTAAAAATGTAGGTCATACAATACTTAAGTTATGGTTAATCATTTAATATGTTAAAAAAATGTTTTTGGTATTTTCATGTGTCTTTATGAAAAATGCATACCAAGAAAACTACCAAAACATTTGGTCATTATATTTGCTTTGATAACCAACACTACACAAAGTGTTTCTTGTTCCAACCGATTTGAAGAGATGTCGCTGGTCAAGAAGCACGTGTTGGGATTCTCATCAAATGGTGGGAAACTATTTGCATTGATTGATGAGCAGGGCACATTACGAATATGGGACACCGAGACAAATGCATTAAAACAGGAATTTACACCGAACCTTCAATTATCTGCACACTGCACAGCGCTCACGTGGGTAACAATTGGAGCTCCGCGTCCAAAGAAGTCGCGCAAGTCCCAGCCACAGCAGACTTCTACAGACGACGACAAGCTTTATTTAGCACTCGGTACGGTTAAGGGAACAGTCGCTCTCTATTCAGTGGCAGAGGGAAAGGTATTTGTTTATGTCTATGCCATGTGTTGTAAAAGAAATAAACAATTTCTTGTTTTGCAGATCGAGCGCATACTGGATAATGAAAGCCACGACGGGCCTGTCACATCGATTGCATATGACAACGATGGGCATTTGTACACTGTGGGGGCAGACTGCCGCGCCTTGGTGTGGTCATTGACCGAGGAACGCTGCACTGGCGAGTGGCCAGTTGGCCCCGAGAAGCCGCTAAATATTGCATATTCGCCAAATAGCCGCACACTGGCGGTCGCTTCGCGCCAAATAAAAATATTTGATGTGGACAAAAAGGAGTTAGTGGAAACATGCACAGGCCACTCGGGAGAAATTAATGCAATTAACCGCTTTCAATGCAACAATAATGAGTACGTTATCACGACGGCCAAAATGGAGCGGGTAATCTCGTTCTGGAAAATCGACAGAAAAGGCAGAAATAAGGCATCGGTGTGCACGCTATTAATGGAGGATGTGGCCCATAGTTTGGCGTGCGAGGTGCGTGATGATGGACAGTTGCGTGTGGCAAGTGTGACGCGTAATGGCAACATACACATATACTTGCTCAATGCGGATAGGTAACTAGAAAATAATTAAAATGATATTTGTACACATTATTTATGCTGTCACACTTTACAGCCTGTCTGCGGAGAAATACATTAAGCCTAAGGTTTCACTGCAAATTGCATCAGATGGTGCTGACACCGTGGAACCCATTTATGCTGTGGCCGCACACTTTGTGCATGACGCCCAACGCTCTCACGAGATACTCTTTGGCTATGGCAATCGCCGCCAGCTGCAGTTCGAACGATACACTCCCAATTACGCTGAGAAGTTGAACGTCATTGTGCGCACCGATCCCAAAAAATTGTACACTAAGAAGCAGCGCAGCGAGCAGAGCACAGAAGCTGCCCTTAAGGCGCAAACACCTGTCGTGCGCCCCAATGAGGTGGAATACAATAGCGCCTTGCCCAAGTCCAAAAAGAAGATAAAAAACGAGGTGCCCATGGAGGCACGACTGCAGAATTTGACTATCCAGGCGACCAAGCTGCCAGATGGCAAGCTGCAAAGCCAGAGTAAGACGCAACTATTGATGCAAGCCCTACACAGCCAGAACCAAACGTAAGATATTCAACTTAAGCCTATCGAATCACACTCAATGCATGTTTTCTTTAAAGCATGTTACATGCCGTGCTGGGCACAAACGATGAGAATACGATACAATTAACATTGGATCGTTTGCCACTTGAGTATATAAGCCCGCTGGTCAATGAGCTATCGGTGCTGCTACAAGGAAAGGCGGCCAAGTGAGTAGCAATTACTATATTTTATATATGTTTATGTAAATTAAATCTATCTTCTCTTTAAGGGTAATTTGTGCCTTACGCTGGCTGCAGATCTTAGCTACAACACATACGAGTGTCATGATGTCAGAGGATAAGGAGGAGTTGCGCGACAAACTAGGCGTCTGCCTAGGCATTGCGGAGCAACGTCTGCATTGTATTACAGAAGCACTGCAGTAAGTGTACATACAGCTTAATATAACCCATTGAAGGAGACATCTCCATTTCCGCTTGTCCCCTCTATTGCTAAGGAACTCTTGGCATAGAGCATTCTGTTTGCTGTAAAAAGTACATATGCCGTAGTTGGAAAGATGGCATTGAAAACCCAACCCAATTAACTCTTCCCCGTATGAGTTTTTGTGAGAGCCCCCAAGTCGTTTATTGATTCGATCTATGAAAACATTTTAACCCGTTTTCTTGACAATCTTGGGCTTAACGTTATCCTTGGGCTTGTCGATGGTACCATGGCGACACTCACAGATCTCAGCATAGAAACTCAGTTTTGTATGTAGTATGGTATCAATATAAAATCTTTGAAATGTATTCAAAGTAAGCGCACGATCACCCACAGCGTAATATAGTGTGCGATATCCTTCGAAACGGTACGTTATCATGACAGGATAATATTTTTGCATGACACTGGATACCGTGATTATAAAACGAACCTTAGCAACGGCCAAGGGATTGGGACAACGTTGTGTTGGTCGTGAAAAGTGCGCATCGACAAAGTAAATGGTGCCCTTTAAGGCCACATCGTGTCGTCGAGTATTTGTAAGCACCACGCATTTCGTTTTTGGGGATAGCTGCCATTTGCCAATAAAGTCCCGAATCACAGCCAGCACATTGTTGTACTCAAATTCGCCAATTTTTAGCCATTGTTGGACAAAATCACTTGAAATGTCACTCATTCCCATTGAGGGTGTCACTGGGTATTGAAATTCGTCCGAGTTATTATATAGGGTCTTCGGATACTTGTAGCAGAACAGTCCGCGCGGATCAGACTCAATTATTTTGATCGCTTCACAGATGGTTGCATCGATCATATCACAGATGCATTCCAGATCAGCGTCATCGCACAAAGGCTTATGACACTGAGCTACGGATTCAATCAGATAATCGAGTTCAGGCACATGCATACCCTGGACTTTCTCTTTAGATGGCAGCCCAAAGTTTTCAACTACGATTGGTTCGTTCCTATTAGCTTCAATTGAAGAGCTCTTATTGGATGCTGCCGCCATTTGCAGAATATTTATTACAGATTTGGGAATGGAAAATTTTGTATAAATTATTACGAACAGAGCATTGAGTTTTGTTTGCTTTTGTTTTAAACGCTTGTTTATGTATATTTCAGAGTTTCTGGACGGGTTAACTTGATTATAAATCAAATGAAGCGTAACACGGACAATCATTTAAATGAAAACAATGTTTTAGTTGTGGACGAGGATCCTGGTAATGCATATATTATCTATTGTTATCATTTATGAAAACCAAAAATACTTAAAGCAGATGAAAATTCTACGCAATTGGCCGAAAACAATTGGAGCGATTTGGAGGAGCCAGATAACACAAACTACGCTTTGGATGATGATGATAAAATGGAGGCCGACGACGATATAGCAGCCGATGAAGAGGATTTGATAATGACACAGAATTCTTCAGATGAAGACGAAGATGCAGAGACTACAGACACGGATGCATCTGCTGGTTAACCCATCTGTTCCATATTAATTTATTGTTGAACAAAAGAATTTTCTTTCTCTCCTGCCCAAAAATAGATGCAACTTTAATAAATTTTGTTCCAAATACATTTTATGCTTTAAATTTCATGCGTTAGTTTTTTTGTTTTTTACATGTAATTAACTACTGCCAAATAACAACATATATTTGTGTAATAGTGTAACTACCGATAGTGAGATTTTTGCCAATTTGCAAACAAATGCTTTACGTATAATTTCAATATGCATGCAAATATAGTGTAAGTATATATGGTTACATATATATTAATTTTGCGCGAGTATATAAATAAGTAAAAGACCTAATTGTCAATGTTGGGCTGCACGGTTTACTTCCAATTGGCTTTAATGAAATTAATTAAGCCATTCGTGGAACTATCATGTCCGGAGACTTCTTCGCAATGATCAAGCTCTGGTTCGATGGCCTTGGCCAGCTGTTTACCCAATTCGACGCCCCATTGATCGAATGAGTTGATGTCCCAAATGATGCCCTGAACAAAGATCTTATGTTCGTAGAGTGCTGAAAATGAGGTATTTCAGAAATAATCGGGTTCGGTCCGTTTCAGTCCACTTACCAATCAATGCTCCCAATGTGAATGGTGATACCTTCTTGACTACAATCGAGTTGGTCGGCCTGTTGCCGGCAAACACCTTATGTGGCAACAAGTTATCCAGTTCGTTGCCGCACAAGCCCGCCTTAGACAGCTCTTCTTTGGCCTGGTCGGAGGTCTTGCCCGTCATTAATGCCTCGGTTTGAGCTAGGAAATTCGACAGCAAAATCTTATGGTGCTTGCCACCAGCAATGGGATTGTGCGTCTGTGCAGGCGCGATAAAATCGCAAGGAATAAGACGCGTGCCCTGATGTATCAGCTGATAGAAAGCATGTTGACCGTTTGTGCCCGGCTCGCCCCAAACAATTGGACCCGTGTTGTAGCCAACCTTTTTGCCAGATTTGCTGACAAACTTGCCGTTACTCTCCATATCACCCTGCTGGAAATATGCCGCAAATCGATGCATATACTGATCGTATGGCAGTAGAGCGTGTGTCTCGGCGTTATAAAAATTCGAATACCAAATGCCAAGTAGTGCCAGAATAACTGGTGCCTACGGAATTAAAAAAAAAATATTATATAATGTTTAAATATTAAAAAAATGTACTCACATTTTTCGTCAGTGGTGCAGTTTTAAAATGGTTATCCATAAAATGGGCGCCTTCAAGCAACTGTTCAAAGTTCTCGAATCCAATGGACAAGCAAATGGAGAGTCCAATTGCCGACCACAGGGAGTAACGTCCGCCCACCCAATCCCAGAAGCCAAACATGTTGGCACTGTCAATGCCAAATGCGGTCACCTTTTCCTTGTTTGTGGATAGAGCTACAAAATGTTTAGCTACCGAATCCTCCTAGAAACGAATCACATTTAATCCAAAATGTACCCTCTCTCTGGCGGATTGTTACACTTACATCCTTGGCGTGCTCCAGCAACCAAGCCTTGGCCGATGTGGCGTTCGTGATGGTCTCCTGAGTAGTAAATGTTTTCGACGCGATGATGAATAGCGTTGTCTCATAAGAGACCTTTTTGAGGACCTCGGCCATGTGGGTACCATCGATGTTGGACACGAAATGCGAATGCAGGCCTTTGCCGTAAGGCTTCAACGCTTCGGTGACCATGAGTGGACCCAAATCGGAGCCTCCAATGCCAATGTTTACCACATCGGTGATTTGTTTGCCAGTGCTGCCACGCCAAACGCCAGAAATTACCTTGTTGGTGAACTCTTTCATGTGCGCCAGTTCGGCACGCACATCGGGCATCACATCCTTACCATCCAGCAGCACCGGGTCCAGGCTACGATTACGCAATGCCGTATGCAGGACGGCACGATTCTCGGTAATGTTGATATGCTGTCCGGAGAACATGCCATCACGTGCCGCCTCCACGCGTCGCACTTTCGCCAGTTCCAACAATAGAGGCCACACATCTTCATTCACGCGATTCTTTGAGTAATCCAACAGTATTTCACCATCGCTAGGCGTTGGCAGGCGCAAGCTGAAAAGAAAGTTAATTGATTATTGATAAAAAATCAATTTATTTGACCTTAATCAAGTATAAATTGGCATGAGAAATGGAAAGAACGCTCAGCCGACGATTAAATACGCTTGTCAAAAATAGAAAGAAAATAAACCTTATATTGACCTTACTTGATTCTGATCAATAAGATACATACATATGTATGTATCTATTGGGATCGGAGATGTCTTCTTCTATGCGTTACACATTTCATGACAATATCAAAATACCCCCAGCAAAAGTATAAATGTCGTTGCTTTGACCTTATGCAAGGACACAGATAATCAGATAACTTAACTAATTTAAATATTATTTTCTGATTACTGTTTAATTCATTTACTCAATCTCTTTTGCTAAACCTTAACCAACACTTTTTTACTCCTCAATTTAATACTCTTTGATTTGGGCGCTCAATCAATACATTAAAATAAATATGTATATCTATGATTACACATACACACACATATGTAAAAATGTAATTGAATCGGCTGTATTCATATGCGTATAGATGTGAGTGTCCATAGGTGACCGTGAAAACTCACCTATATTTGTTAAACCGTTTTGGATCATTGACAAACAGGTCCTTAATAACCAGATCCTTGTGGTGAGTGTCATAGTACTCCTGGAGCTTCTTAAAGATGGGCTCTTGATTCAACGGAGGCAGATTACCAGCCATTTTCCTTTTGAAGGTTTCGTTAACACAAGTTCACACAAACAAAGACAAAATTGAACTGCACTCGCAACAGAATTTACACTTTACTTAAACGTTATTATTACTGTTTTTGGCTCACTAGAGCATAAGTTCTTTGATAATCGGTACTGGGCAGCGCGGCCCACAGCGTAGCTCCACAAAAGCGCCGTTGTTATACTAATTGCCTGTATGGTACCGCAATGGTAGTCCTTTTCCACCCACCAGCTGGAAATGTGTTCACCTTCAATGTCAAATGAAAAACAAGTGGCGGTGTTGCCACGTCGTGAATTTGTGTTTGTACCAAAATAAAAAAAAAAGATTTTGTCTTTATAAATTTGAAATGTAAAATGTGTTATCAATTGTCAAAAGTGTTTATAAGCATATTGTTTTCTTTAAAACATAAAATAGTTTTGTTTATTTTTATTTTAAAATGTGGCAGCTTTATCTAACAGAGGTGCCAGACAAAGCGAATTAGTATTACTATAATGAGGGCAACAATTTTAGGATAATTATAAATTTAAATATTCGTTTGATTTTTCATTCCTTTTTAATACGTCATGGTATTTGATGTTATTAGTTTTTGTAAAAAAATTCAATATGAACAGTTGTATGTATGGTCGTAACGTGTGCGGCGCACGCCTACATAGCTGGCCGTTTAAGTCGTAACGTGTGTGTGCCCACTGGCCAGCATATGAACAACCCAACACTATAAAGATGGCGACGCGCTCGCTACTTGTTAATTAACAGTGGCAGTTGTTTTTTTTTCACAAACCTTAAATAGAATGAAATAAATAATGTAAACAAAATAATGCAAGTCTTGCATGCAAAAAATGTGCACCACAATACCATAATGCAAGCTTCTTGGGAAAGCAAGAGTGAAGTGAAACTTATACAAACATTGCAAAGGTAAATGAGCAACAAGTAGCCAAATATTAAAAATATTGAGAACCAACAATATAATAAATTGTGCTATAAAAACTAACATAAACATTTTGTAAACGGTGTTAATATTTAAAAAATATCTGTATTGCATTAAAATATAAAATTAAATGCAGCCACACTGCACACGTAACCTTGTGAATACGCGTAATTCGGTAGCACTCGCAGTAGCTGTGGCATGGCTTGGTTGGGCTTTCGTTCGAGTATTTTTGGTGTGCAATTAAAATTGTTGGATTACATTTACTTGCAGCGCACAAAATAAACAGCGAGCAAACAATTAACAAAAAGGCGTCGGGTACGTCAGGTATAACTCAACATGGACCCAACAACGGGCAGCAGTTGCAGCAGCGGCAGTTCAAGCAGCAGCGCCAGCGGAAGCAACGGAAATGCTGGCTGCCCCTGTACCGCGTCCAGCCCGGGATGTCCTGGTGTCTCCACAAATCATCACAACGAACAGCCGCAGACAAAGCGGCAGAAAATAGATAAACAAATACGTTTAGTGGGCAGCAAATCGCCGCCGGATATACTGGCTGATGCAGATGTTATGGACGCCAACGGCAACAATCAGAGCCATCATTTATGCTCATCATTGTCCTCCTCATGTTCCACACATTCCTTGTCCAGCAGCACAAACAATTCACCCACAAATACGCCATGCAATTCGCGTGCCGCCTCCTATGCGCAGCTGCTGGTCAACAATATCATGCCACAAAATAGTGAAAGCGTCGCCAAGGATGAAGTGGACCGTGCGGCCCAGCTGACCGAACTGTTAATTGCAACAAAAGATGCGTCACAGACTAATTGCAGCGAGCGCAGCACCACTACCAGCACAACGACGAACACTGGCTGTTCCAGCTCTAGCATCGATGATATGCTGGAATTCGAGCAGTCACTGACGCGGCAATGCCTGTGCGGGGTTTCGGAGCGTACATTGAGGAAGCCCTTTCAGTCGCACTACTCACACGACTCGAATGGCCAGAAGCGCATTGCGTATTTGCGCGAATGGCCCACCAATAAGCTATTGCAGTTCCTGTCCAATCTGCAGCTCCTCTTCGATATTTACCTAAAGCAAAACGCCAAGGGCTACATCTGCACAAGGATAATGGACGTTTGCGATGCGTTGATACGCAACGATCACAAGTTGATCGATGAGATTATTGTATTGGCCGGCTATAATAATTCGTATGTGCAATTTCTGGCGGCACGTGTGCTGGCCGCATTTTTGGTAATTGCCAAGCAGGAGCTGAACGATGAGTGGCTGCAAAAGATTGTCGATCAGCTCTTTAACTATGTGCAGCTGGATGTGGCGGCCGTGCAGAAAATACACTTTAGCTTAGATATAATCAAACGCATTGTTGAGTGGAAGGATGTGGAGCTACATCCGCTGGACGATGACTACTCGGTGGCAGCAAGCACGGTGACGAGCACTGTGACAGCGGATGCGTCCGTTAGCTTCATGCATTTCCCGGTGCAGGATCAGCCGCTGGCGAATAACTATTTTGCGCTGCAGTTTCGTGATGCAACGGCGGATCCGACAGATGCGGACCTTTATGATAACAGCAATATAACAACTAGCAGTAATACTCCCGCTAATTATATGCCGCCTAATGGTTGTCATGTCGTCGCCCTTACCGACTCTGAAAGCTTCGATACAACGCATCTGAAATGCGTGACCATACAGAAATTGGAGCACAAATGGCCAACGCTCGTGAAGAATATGTCGGAGCTGATGACGCCAGCACAACAGGACAGTGCGGAGCATTGCGTGCTCAATTTTCTGCAGCTTTGGGAGAACATTATATCGGTCAAGGCGAATCTCTCGATAGACGAAACGCGACCATTCTATGCGCAACTGGATAAATTTGAGCTATTGCTCAATCACAATTTGTCCTGCACGGTTTATAAGCAGATGCTGTGCCTATTTAATGAGGCTCTTTGCTATGGCTCCACGCTGGCGCTGCAGGACATGCTGCCGGAGGAGACGTGCAAGCTGGCGCATCAGATTGTATGCCATGTGCGTAGCCTGCGCATTTTAGAATCCCTGCCACGTCGCCAGCCCGAGAACATTGTCGGATTAATTGGTTATAATGGTGCGCCCGTTAATTATGTTTCAGGCACGCTTCACAATTCGATACAGGCAGCGGCTGTAGCTGCTGGCGGCGGCGACCTCATTGAAATGGACAAGACTTTGCTGCAAAAGATGGTGCTTTTGGTGCTAAAATCGATTGCGGTGACCGTTAAGGAGATACGCAGCGATTCATCAGATTCGTCAATTGATTCAACCGATTATGACGCGTTTCAGGATATACAGCTTATCGAGCGATCCATACGGGATGTGCTCAGTAAACTGGAAACGTTCATTAAGCAAACACTGGAGTTTCATCCGGAATGCCATTTTAGTAAAATATTGATACATCTCTTCGATGATCAGGATGATCATCTAATTGAGGCGATGGTCTGCACACTGGATGTCACCTCCGGCATATCGTTTCGTAATAATGCATTTCCGGAGCTGGTCGCTATGTTGAATCCTGTATATACATTTCTTGAGTTTCTCAAAATGACATCGAATAGCTCGGACCTGCTGCTGGATCTGCTCGTCAGCAATGAGACCTGTTTCCTCTTGTATTTGCTCCGGCTGCTCAAATATATACGCATGAACTGGACCATGTTTGTGCACAGCTGCCATAGCTTTGGCATGGGCAATGCCATGCTCGACGAAGCTATGGGAGTACTAATACGCCTCCGACTGCAAATATCCAGGCTGGTGTCGCGCCAGCTTTACCCATATGATATATCGCCGGTTCTGCGTTTATTGGAGAGCTGCGAGAGTCTGTACGAGGGCAATGAGCTTAGTTAAAGATAATATTTAATCACACACACACACACACACAAACATACATACAAGCAAGCCTTATGCAATTAAAATACGTAATTTATTTTTGTATTTAAAAGAATAGAAGAAAACTAGCACAAAATTCAAGTTTTGTAGATTTGTCACATACTTAATGTACTGATACTCTTTGTACTCTGAGAACATGCATAGACTCTTTTTAATTCATCTCAACCTAAAATCTAAGCAATACATATAAAGAGAAAACTTGACAACCTATTCAAATCATATGCATATTGAACTGTAAATCAACTCTTTTTCCATGGATACTCGATATTCCATTCTAAAACAAAACACAATACAATAATTTAGCTTAAGATTGTTTTAAATCTTGCCGTTAAGTAGATTATTAGCATATAGACGTTTTGGTAATACGGCTCATCTGTGCAATTTATTAAATGTGTGTATATTGTATATCTTAATAATTGCATGGGCGTAGTTATAATATATATTTTGTGTTTAAAAATGCCTTAATAATACTACACTTATTAATTAAAAGCAAAAAACAAAAACATGAAGATCATATTTTATGATTTGTGTTAGATTTCAAATTCCAGTCGTTGGGGAAGCTTAAAATTTGGATTGGTTAGCAAAGCTACTCCTTAGCCATGGTTCAAACCTAGTTTGAACCTGCAATTTTAGGTTTTATATATATTTATCAAATAGGTACATCTGTAATAGTCGTTTGGATGAGTCTGAGTACTCCTAGATATTGCATATAAATTCGTTGAAAGTTATTTCTGATTCGTTTTTTAAAAATGACTGCTTAGTGGCGATTTATCATGCGGACCCTACGCTTTGTGTCGGGTGTTTGCATTGTTGGCAGGACACTTGGGACCGTCGGTGGAAGGCCTGTGATCGCCATGTCTGCTACTGAGCCGCGTCTTGCCATTTCGGGGTGTACAAGCTTAGAGACGTGCACAGTCTGATAGTTTATGCTGATCGGAACCGATAAGCGGCGGCACATACGTGGCTCTAGAATAGGAAAATAACATAATCTTAACTCAAATGAATCTCTTTTTTATGGAGTTGAAGTTTGATTTATTACCCAAATGCGCATCGCCTGTAAAATGCTTGGCTACAGCTGGATGGATGGGCTTGAATGGGTAAGTCCTGGGATGGTCACCAACTGAAGTCTGCTGGCGCACGCTTCTCGACAGCTCTTTGGGTGCCTTTCCTTCCCGGTAACGATCCAGCGATACGGAACGGCCCTCTACAAAAATGTTGTGTCTAGTGTGCAATGGAAAATCTGCATTGCGAATGTAAAAATATAAAAAGGTTATCAGTACTTGAAGGTCGAGTATTTGAAAATGAAAGGGAAATAAAACGCAAACTTTTGCTTTGTGGCAAGATAATACTTTGTAAAATCATCACAAGAGTGCAGAGAAGAGTTTTATTTATAACATACATTATACAGATTCATATAGGGTATATATATAGGCACATAAACATACAAAGTCATTAACACTTAAAATTATATATATTTATAGGAATCGAAGTACATTCACATACAGAAATAGCTTCTAAGTGGAGTTTGAGAGTAAATGTAGATAGGATATGTCTTACATCGATATAGTAGAAAATCAAATATTAGTTCACAACACATATATGACAATAAAAACTATTTTGTATCTTAAAGTTTTGATTTGTTCCCTATTTGAAAAGCATACAGTTACATTTATGTGGATCCTCTTTAAAATTTTGGCAAACTTTTTGTTGAAATACCTTTTGAAGCACGTCGATCTTGATGATTGTGCCTTTGCTCCTTCTGGGCATAGGATTGGAGGGAACAGCGACGCAGTCGTTTATCTCCTTTGTTCTGCTGTTGACAATAAAAATGTATTAATATATATATATATACCATTTTATAATGATAGTTAAACAATTGTTACCGTTTTATAATGTTGATTAATATCGGATGCTGCTTTTAGCAATAGATATATAAAAACCAATGCAAAGAGATAAATAATGGGCTCAGCTGTATTTGATTTCTTGGAGTTCTCCCTTTTCCTTGTAGACTGAGACTTGGACTTAATGGACTTCAGCTGTTTGCGTCTTTTTATAAGGAGATTGCTAGACATTATGGATTGACCAGTGGACTCATTGGCTTTCTTTAATGTAAACAATTCATTGGAAAAAACATCAATTTTTCTGCACAATGGCTGTTCTTCAAAACCCAACTCCTTTCGATAAGCGTGTACATTTTTATCTTTGAAGTTCACATTTGGTTTGCTTAGCTTTAAAGCAACAACCCCTGGTTTTACATAGCAGTTGTAATTGTTCTGCACTCCTGCGATCATTAGATAGACTGTGACAAGCACTATAAGGATGCCTATAGGAACCACATGATGATTGTTGTTTCGACAGTCGCTCAATTCAGTTGGGTTTTCATCGCTTGACCTAACTCTATCAACTGTGGAGTTTTCATCTTTCGTTTCCGTTTGCATTGCCACCAGAGTTCAGTAAAACTTTAAATAACGAAACTATATTTCATATGCGCGCAAATATGTATCTACAAGTCGCTTGGGAAAATCGATAGTCGAACTTTTGGCATAGTACAATTATGTTCTTAATCTCGCTGTTTTAACAAAACAATTTTTATTGTTGCAATTTGTAGCGGAAATATTTCTTAATAAAATAATTTATTTGTTATTTTTGAATCTTTTAAAGATTCGCAAAATAAAAACACCGCGTACTACCACTACGAATACGAGTATGAATATGAATACGAGTTAGAGCGCGTGCGAATGTGTTCTGAGCATTCACAATAGATTTTAAAAATTCGCCAACTTGCCCTGCAGGCTCTTGCTGAAGCTGGACGTTAGGCATGTTAGCTGGTTGAGTATTTCTATAAAAAATAGAAGTTTAATTAATAAATGATAAAGTTGTTGAATTTACAAAGGTTGTTTTTAGTCATACCACTGATTTCTAAACTGGCGGATTGACTATTACTTGTAGTATGAATTTGGAGACTCTCAAAAACAGTTTGCCGCTTGAACATCGTAGTGCGAAGACTGTCCTCTGGAAAATTTTAAATGTAACAATTAGCAACTTTAATAGAAAATCGAATATTCACTACCTCTGCAGAAAATAAAATCTTAACAGATTAAGGTCTCAAGAACAGATTAAAATGTTAAATAGAATTTGCTGATATTTACAAAGCACAATGAAGCTCGTAATTGTGGTTAAGATATCTTAAAAAACAATGATTTTCTCAGATTTTACTCCTATGTTCGGAATATAGTGAAGCTTATAATTGCAGAAATTGGCAGGAACTACGAAATCCATCAGTTATTCTTATAAGAACTCTACTTTCGATGGATAGTTCCCTATATCGGCTATATCCGACATATGTACTGCGTGAAGCAAAAAGACAAAATCAATCAATCAATAGTTAGCTTCAGAAGTGACATGGATATGTTGACTAGGCTCTTGATTGCACTTCATAAGGTGATGGGCTTCATACATTATTGACAAAATTTACTGACTCTCCGAAAGAGTATTACACTTGGATAAAGCTATACAATAACTTACTCCGACGTAAACAGTTGTGGGCCTTCGGCTTAAGGCAATCCGAATGAATTTTTTCAGCACTTATATCTGTTGGCGTACAACTGTTTCCTCTACTGTGATCCTTACGAGTTGCGTAAAGTATACTGCGTGATGGAGAACACAGTATGCCTTTCGGATTACCCTCATCCATGCAGTTACTTGAATGCTCAATTATTGTATGCTTTATATTTTCTGTAAATGCAGCAGGTTTATTCTGATCTCCAGTAATCTGGCTGTGCAGTTTGCGCAGAATAGTGCGTAATATCTTAAATCTCTTAATAATACGGTCTTGCTGAACCTGGGATGCACACATGAGTATAGCTTTGCATTCTCGCAAGACTCGCACAAAATTTTGCAAGTGCTCATGACCCGGTTGTAAGACAACCTTTTGATTAGTATCCAGCTGAAAATGTTCGAGTATTGAAAAGCCCGTTTGGACCAAGTCTTCCAGTTGAGTTTTATCAAACTTTTTCTCAGCCGCATTTAGGCCAGTTGTAAGAATTTGCAAATAACAGCCGACAAAAGCACGGCTGTCCATAATCTCTTGCAGTGCCTGCTTAAACTTAGACATTTCCTCCTTAAAGTGCTGTTCCAATAGTTCAGAGTGCAAATCTGAGGCATTCGACTGCAGCGATGGTATTAAACTGGTATCCAAATATTCAAATGAGGCGAGACAGCTGCGTACAATGGTTTTTACTAAAAAAGAGTTTTATATAAGTAGATATATGTGTAAAAAACTTGAATTAAAGGCACACACTTTTTAAGTTTGGCGCAAAGGCTATTGCAAAAATGCCAATTTGTGTTGCGCGATCCAAATTTACATCGAAATCGGCTATGAATTCATCAGCAGTGGCATCGGTGTCCGCAGTGCTTGAATTACGCAATATATTGCGTATTTTATCTACTGAAATTCTTTGAAAGTCCAGAAAACAGGTGTATACCAAACGCAATAGGGACTCGTTTATGTGCTCCTCCAGTTGGCAAAGTGCCTGCTCTAAGGTCATGGCTTTAAGTTTTTGCATGGAATAGTTGGTGGCTGTCTCTTGGCATTCCTCTTGTAAAGCACTGCAATCGCGCATAACCTGAAAAGAGAGTTATATATAGCGCAATTGACATTTTTAGTATAAATAGTAATATATAATAGGTAACAAACAGAAATAGACAGGTAACAACAGACATAAAATGGACTCAGGTAATTGACGCTTGGAATTCTCAACAAGTTAAAGCATAGAAAGGACGGCAAGGTGTTTGCAATAGGAATACAGACAACTTTTTGGTGCTTACACCTTGTTGTTTTTTGGCTATCACATTTAAATACCAAATAGTCAACATTCATATAAGCTTAATATTAGGAAAGTTATATATATCAATTTAAATTCATTTCGTATATGGCATTTAAGAAATACCTTCTGACAAAGCGCACTTAACGCTTTCTTATCTTGTTGCAATGCCACATTAGCAAAGGACAATGTTTGGCCTAGAAGTAAATCTATGTGGCACTTTATTTGCATGCTTAGGGCTAGCACATTTGCCGGTGAATCTTTAACAAGACTTCTGTCTACATTCTCGGTGGTGAACTCTGAGAGGAAATCTAGCACAGAATCCAGTAGTTTCAGAAACGAGACGCCTTCTGTAGCGCTATTCTCTGAAGGTCCTGTCGAAGGCAGCAGACACACGCACAGTCTTTTAAGGCAAACCGTGATGCGGTCAGTAAAATGGTGATGGCTAGCCTAAAATTAAAGGATTTTGAAGATCAGCGACACAAAATACGGGTTTAGTAATAATCTACCTGAATCCTTGTGCCACTTGCTGCTTCGGTTTGGATTGTGGTCTCCAAGTGCCGAATACATATTAAAATTTGCGTTAAGCATAGGCAAATTATTTCCAGACAATCATGTTCTAGCTGGTTGCTTAAGCACTTTTGCAGCGTACTTACAAAAGCCAAAAATGTTGCACAGAAATCCTGTAATGAATAAAGTCATATACAAACAAAAAAACAGCTGCAAAGGACGCCGGTAATGCTTATGTTTACGTTAAGCCAATTTGTATCGCCCTTATTAGTGGATCCACCACGATCTAGCATGTGTAGGCATGCTTCTAGTTTCTCTCTCAATGGTTGCATATTAATATAAAATTAAAAGTTCACTTGTTGCACATAAAAAGAAAAGTACACACTACAAAGGTTTTAAAAAAGTGGCTTGCCTTTTGAACATCTGGCAGCACTGTTTGCCTTTTGCATTTTGACATTATTGTTGCCAGACTTTTAAAATGAGTCTGACGTACAGACGCAGACGTACACTATTTTCGATAGCAAAAATTGTAGTATTCTTAAACCAATAAAAAAAATTGACTAAGATCTATGCAAAAACAACTAAGCAGCGGCCAATCACTTAAACAATCAAGCCCACGTCTCACAATCTGCTTAACTCATTATTAGAAAACTCCAAACACAATTCCAGACATAGAATTTCGTGCAGTGCGTATACAACGACAAGTGCAAGAAAATGAGCACGTCAAATGCAAGCCGTAAGGAAACGGAGCGCACCAAACTGATGCAGGAAAAATGTCAAACCCTGTTAACCCAAATGCTACGTGATGATGACAATAAATATTGTGTGGATTGCGACGCCAAGGGTGAGTACACTGTCACAAAAAGTACACATCTCTCTACATTCATATACAACTCAACAACAAAACACATTATGTACGAGCATATGCACACATTCATACATACATTTATTAGTTATCCGATTTAATTATTAGTAATAATTTATTACTCAAAGCGCAACCACATAAAATAACTGTTTCTGAGTATTAGAACGGCTCCGTTAATTAATTTAATTTATGTCGGCGCACGCAACTAGCATGTTTAGAGAGTATTCCCCTTTTAATTAGGGTCAGGGTCAGCTTAAGACAAGCACGCAATGTCCTGTACATAATGTACTTTCACTACAGTGAAAGCTCTACGATCGGACAGCTCCCTTGGGTGAGCATTTCTATTTGGCAGTTTTGCAAACATTATTAGATTTTATTTTCAAACACAAAAGGGATCCAGTGCTACATATGGCAGGATTAGCTTTGTCAGATGCCACTAAGCTTCTCATTAAAACCCAAAAAAAAAGGCCAAATCTGTTTAAAATGCCCTGATTTCATTTGACGCCTTGGGTATAAAGATGTTCAGCCATAAAATAGCTAAATCCGCAGCACTTCTGTGGTTAACCGCCTCCTCTATAACGCATACATATATATAAGTAAGGCTTCAAGATAAGCACAAATGTTGGATAATTCGTTCTTGGTGCTTTGTTTATCTGACTGTGCATACAAATTACTCATTGGGTCTTGTACATTTTCAGGTCCCCGCTGGGCATCATGGAATCTGGGTGTGTTTTTGTGCATTCGATGCGCTGGCATCCATCGCAACTTGGGCGTACACATATCGCGCGTGAAGAGCGTCAATCTGGATGCATGGACACCAGAGCAGGTGATATCGCTGCAACAAATGGGCAATTCCCGGGCACGTGCCGTCTATGAGGCACAGCTGCCAGATGGTTTCAGACGCCCTCAAACAGATACGGCGCTGGAGAACTTTATACGGGCCAAGTACGAGCATAAAAAGTATTTGGCACGCGAATGGGTTCCGCCCTCGCCGCCTAAGGTCGATTGGGCCAAGGAGATAGATGAGGAACTGGAGCGGCAGAAACGTAAAAAGAAATCGGCGCAAACCGGTCTCGGCATTAGCAACATAAATAGCAGCAACAGCGGCTCCGTCGATAAACGCCCCTCGGCGACAGCAACAGCGAAAAGTACACCACTGCCGGCGCCACTGCCCAAGCCGAAGCCCAATCAGGTCGGTGGCTGTAGTCCAAAGACATCTCATCGTGTGCATAACAATAGCACCCAAAGTGCCGCTGAAAGTGATCTGTTGGGGCTCGCCTCGCCCACAAAGCCAATCGTCCACAGCGGCGTACAGGATTTGCAGAATGATAGCTTCACTAGCTTTCTGAGTGCCAGCAGTAATGTGAGCGGCATAACAACTCCGGAAAAAACAAATGGGAATAGTGGCGACCATACTACGCTGAACATGCCCAGCCAGCAGTCGAACTCTTTAGCCCAACAGGAGCAGGACTTCTTCAATCAGGGCACACTAGGGGGTGCCAGCGATAAGGATCAGTCGGGCAAAATGTCCAAGGACAGCATATTGGCGTTGTATGGCAATGCACCAACCACACACAATCCACAATTGAGCTTTGGTAATTTTACGGGCATGGCACCTGGCGGCTACATGCATCACCAGCAACAGCAGCAAGTGCCCCAACAGGCACATCATCATCATCAGTTCATGACACCTCCCAATTCAGTGAGCATGTACAATGCACCCGTTATGGCCGCACCGAATGCGTTCAGCAATGCGCCTACTGGCGGCGCAATGAACCTGGTGGGCAATGTCGCCTTTGGCGGTGGCCAGTTTCCAAATGTCAGCGCCAGTCCGTATTTGGTGGGCAACAGTCTGGCAGCCGGCCAGGGCACGGCAACAAATTTGATGCAGACAAATCAGAATCTGCTCAGTGGTATGCAGCTGTTTGGTGCCGCTGGAGCACCGCAGGCGACAACACAACAACAACAACAGCAACAACAAATGGGAATTGGGATGAACTTGATGCAGCCCATGTCGAGTGGGTTGCCGTCATCAGGTTATCCAGCTACAACTGGTACCACCGCCTCGTCCGTGACGTCAAACTTAAATCAGCAATTTGGCAATTTAAATATCGGTAATGTTTGGCAATAAATGAAGACTCCTATGCATTCCTTTATCGAAGGTCCATATGCTGAAATAAGTTATAATTGTTAATGTATAACTTTTTGTACCTACTTGCCGCCGAAGCCAGTGTTTGTGTTGAGTTGTATTAATAGATGAATTGTGTATTTTTTTTCTGCGCCCCGCCCAACCTTTTCTGTTTATTTGTTTATAAGATGTTGTACAAAATAGAATACTATTATTGTCAACAAAAAGAGCTACATACACATATGTATTTATGTAGGTGCATATGCATACATACGTACTTGTATGTAAGTAACAAATGTTCCCGGTTTGTACATACACATATAATGCATGTGTAGGTATGTGCATATGTATACATATGCACTCGCATATATGTACGTACGTACGTGTTTCCGAATTGAACATGCATACATAATACATAAAAAACATACATATAACAAATGATAACAAATTGATAAGTTCTGATCACAGCTGAATATGTTCATGTTTATGTACTTATATACTATGTTCATCCAGCCATACGTATGATACGTTCCATCAATACTGGGAAGACGTGAGATTTTTTGGCAAGTGTACTTGTAAGTTATATTATATCCTTAGCTGAACTATGTATGTATGTCATTCAATACCTAATTGAGAATCCGCAGTATGAAATACGTATGTACTTCTATTTATAAGTGGATACCATTTTAATAAATAAATATTCATTAACTATATAATAAAATAATTGAACTACCACTTTTACTTATTTCTCACCTATTCGGATGATCTTTTTAAGTTCTTGAGTAACTGCACTTCTTCAACTTTAAAGTCCCATAAATTTTGGATCATGGTTTGTCCTCTGGATTAATATTAAATTTAATATATATGCATCTACAATTTTGCCGTTACATTGCTTACACACAGACTTTTAAGCAGTGAAAAGCATGAGAAATAGCACTGCTGTGTCTTGCTTTTTATCCCACTGGGTATTTTAATGCAACCCTGAAACGAAATAAATACCTCCGATATTTCTGCACACCCCGCCGCCGCCTATTGTTTAACACGTCAACTTCAACAACAAAGTAAATCAAATAAAAGTAAAATTAGAAAAAATTAAATAAGATATAATTGATTTCAAAACAATAAGTGAGATGGAGAGCAGCGAAGGGCCAGCTGGAAGCTCAAATGAGCTCCGAGAGCGCAAGTGCACAGACATAAACAAGGATTTGTCAACAAAGGAGGCATATTTTGCTAGCCTCGCAGAATGGGCGAAACAGGCGGCGCTCATGCAAATGTTTCCCAATTATCTGCTCGCCAATTATAGCTATCCACAATTGTTGCAAACTCCATTGCCATATGCAGCGCCGCCAGGCATTGAGCAGCTGCAGACAAATCGCCAAACCCAGCAGCCGCAGCAGCAGTCAGCGCAGGCGAATGCATCGCCAGCTGTTAGGCCCAGCTTCAATCGTTTTCGGGTTCTTGACGAAGTGCAGCAACAAGAGATTATCCAAAGAGTTGGTGGCACTGAAATGGTTGTGGCGCCGTTTTGGAAACGCGCCTTTGCGGAGGCCATAGATATTTTCATATTATTCATATTGAAAATAATTGTGACCTTTTCACTGTTTCACGTTTTTGATCTGGATTTCGACAAGGATGTGATGCGTAAGACATTGGAAGATGACGATATCTTTGTGAATTTTCTGGATATCTCAATGGACTTTATAAGTCTTTCGTCGGATCTAATACTAATTGAGTTGCTGACCAAATTGTTAGTATGCTGCTATGAATGCCTCTGGACGGTGTTCTATAATGGCGCAACACCTGGCAAATCGCTGATGAAGATTCGTATACTCTATGTGGAGGCCGTAATGCCGCTGCAGGCACCTGTTATGCCTCAATTTGTTTTCCAAGCCCAGCGAGAACCGTTGCGAGCTGTGCTCTATCCCGCCGAGACACCTAGCTTCCTCAGGGCATTGATGCGTGCATTAGCCAAGAATCTGGTCATGACGCTACTCTTTCCCATCTGCGTCGTTATGGTTTTCTTTAAGAACAATCGCACAGCCTACGACATTATAACAAAGACTATAGTTGTCGAGACAAACCGAAATCCAGCTCCACCCGCCGTGCCGCCCGCCGTGCCACGCCCACATCAGCAGTAGTCAGACACAAGATGCGGGACACATCTATATATAATGCCAAATCTTGTGAAGAAATGTAGACGACCGTGGCATAACAGAAACAAATTAATTTATAATTTTTGTTAACCATAAAATGTCTGAGTTCATGTTTGTCAGATAGACAAAAATATTTTCTTCCTATTATGATGTAAATAGAAGAAATGTAAAATGTTTTCCAAGCATATGAAATTCATATCTTTTTAATCCTATGAACTTAGTCTTAAGTCCGTTTTCTCAATGTTTGAAAGATAATGTTTCCTGAAACCGTATGTTAAGAAACCGGGCTTTAACATCGTAATATTATTGATTCCTAGCGAAAATAAAACAACACGTCGAAATGAACCTAGAATGATAAATAACTGGGAAAACATAGCGCATTTATTGCCAATAACATTATGCCAAACAATTATTTAACCAAAACATTTTTCAAAGATTGTGCTACAACATTACCTTTGCCTGGCACATGGAGCGGTGCACCCCTATAGCAAGCCACCAGCTCAGAGTTGGTCATAAGATCTGGAGCACACGTTTCAAACACTTTTTTCTTCGGGTTGAGCTGTGCATCTGGTTGGCGTACGTAACCATCACAATGAACTAAATCACCGGGAACGGCGCCAGTTGGAGGACTTAGCACTTCAACCTTTTCAGGGGTTGAGGCGCACATAACCATTGCCTCAGAGGTGACGCCACGCATCTTGGCCGGCTTCAGATTGCACAGTACAACGACCATACGATTCTGCATTTCCTCCAGCGGTACAAATTTAACTAGTCCTGAGACAACAGTACGCGGCGCTGGTTCGCCACAATCGATCTTTTCAAGATATAAACTGTCCGCATCCGGATGGCGCCCGACTTCAACAATTTTACCCACGCGCATATCCAGGCGTCCGACATCCACTGGAGCCTCCGCCACAGCAATTGGTTTCGCAGCGGCGGGTTTTTTCTCCTTGACCTTTTTCTCTTTGGGAGTAGCGGCAGCGGCGGATGCTTTCGACTCATTCGCAACAGGCGCAGGTGCATCGGATGTTTCAGTTGTGGTGCAAATGCCCCGGTTTCCGGGCACCGGTATCTGCCTCTTGCCATTGCGTACTTCGAGCGCCACTAGCTGCGCCAGAGCTGCTTCTATTTCCTTAGCCAGCACAGCGTTCTCTTTAATCAGCTCCTGTTTTTTACGCTGGACAATCTCGTTTTGTAATGCCGCCATCTAAAGTTGTTAATCATATAAGTTTTGGCATTTGGGTGCATTCATCTACATTACCTCTCCCTTTAATGAGTCAATCAACATTTCGGCACGTTGATTATTTTCAACAATTTTCTGAAAAGCAGCCATGTTTACGCTTTTTCTGCACTGATCTCCAGTTAGGTTTAATGCGATTCTGCATGTGGCACGCAGCATTGTTGAGGCAACCAGGGCTGCAAAACATTGTTGCTAGCTACCGCTGCAAAAAAGTTTAAAATAGCTGAATCGGCTTTCTGAACGTAACTTGCCTAAAAATAAAGTTACTTGAACTTGGCATCGATATGCTAGAAAAAAGCTAAATTGGTTTTAAATTTCATTTTTTTCAAATACAACCTCTAAAATTGGCCAAATTCGGCTAGAAGACTGAATTGGCAACACTGCTGCATCGTCTAAATAATTTGACATTTAAGTAAATTATTTTGATAAGATATTGGGTTGTCCAAAATTTTGAATAAATATTTTAGCTCTGTTCTCTTTAAAATGTATATAATTTGCTCAAAATTAAATTAATGTTTTTCGAATTCCAAATATCGATGTTATTATTGCTACAACATATCGATAACTTTTTGATACTAAACAATGATGAGTCGTGAGCACAAATATAAATACGCAACAACAACTGATGCAAATAGAACTTGTTAAATATAATAATAATAAACAATAGATAAAGAGTGTTCATATTGCAAATGGATTACGTTTATTGTGGCGGCACCGATCAAATCGGAGCGTCCGAAGACATTTTAAGTACGTCAACCAATATACACATAAAATTGTATTTGTATTTGTCTATACAACGCATATGTATCATGTATTTTTCCAACTTTCTCCATTTTTATTGAAATATATACATGTATTATATTCTATATTTGCTTAAGGTGTTTACGATACAGGGCCCCCGCGTAACTCTGAGCATTATTCACCAAGTTTCAATGGCTTCAATATTGGTTCCAGCGATGCCGACTACGTCGCTAGCCCAATTCCAATTCTTGCTGACGGCGGGGAAAATTTTGGCGTCTCAACTGTAGCCTTCGATGACTATGAAGAATTACTTTGGATGGGAAATCAAGGTGTAAGCAGCATCTGTTTAAACATAAGTCTGCCCTCTGCTTTGATAAAAAACTTCTATTAATATACTTTCTACAGGGACATGTTACCTCGTACTACACGAGCTCCCTGCAGAAATACACATCCTTCCAAGTACACGCCAGCGATATAGTGCGACAAATAATTACCATCGATTCGGGAGTTCTAGTATTAACACAGACATCACTGCGACACCAGATACGTCGAGGATTGCCAAAGTTTACGCACAAGTGAGGATTTAACATAATTCGTTTTCATACCCTTAAAACGATATGTATACTAAATTTCTGCAAGGGTCTTTAATCTTCGGCAACCCGAAGAAAACTGTTCTGTTCTTTTGTAACTCTTATGTACAAATATTTTGCCAACCAGATCAAACAACATGGTGGAAATGGTGTGCATGCTGCAGTTATCCCCGCATCGCCTAGTTATGGCTGGCTTGCAAGAGGAGCTCATAGACTTCGACATGCGCAGTCTGAAGGAGACGCGGTTGGAGCATGTCGGATCCGCTGGATGTACGGTGTTGCGAAAGAACTCCCGGTATCTATTTGCAGGTGATCAATTTGGGACAGTCACACTAAGAGATTTAAACACCCTAAGCGTGGAGCATACAATCAAAACGCATACAAATAGTCTCTCAGATTTTGATGTGCAGGGCAATTATCTTATATCATGCGGCTATAGTGGCAGGCAAAATAATTTGGCAATCGATCGTTTTCTGATGGTCTACGATTTGCGTATGTTGCGTCTGATATCACCCATACAAGTTCTGATTGATCCACAAATGCTGAAGTTTTTGCCATCGCTTACATCCCGTCTTGCCGTCGTGTCTAGCTATGGACAATTTCAGCTGGTTGACACTGTGGAGCTGAGCGAGCCACGCGTATCCATGTACCAAATTAATACGAATGGCAGCCAATGCTTGAGTTTCGACATCAGCTCCTCATCGCAAGCTATGGCCTTTGGCGATCAATCGGGTCATATTAATACTATTGCCTCCATACAAACACCACAGCCGCAGTTTAATGCGTTCTCGAGGAATACTGAGTTTGCGGACGTTGTCCCACAGTTGCCAATGGTACCATTTACAGACACAAATTTTCCATTGTCATCGGTTATGCTGCCGCATTTGACGACAGGCACGCGCTGGTTTTCTGATTGGCCAGAGGACCTGTTGCGCTATGGTTATCATCGCCCAAAGACCATAGATCCAGATGTGCTTAATAGTATGAAAATGCAAGGACCCATTGGATACTCACCGAATCCACGAAGCGCACGACGAAATCAAATACCCTACTTCCTTATTGAGCAAGGACAGAGCGGTGGCGGCAATCCCAATGCAAATGGCAACACGACGGCTACAAAAACCGAGAGCGGCGTTAAAATCATACCAAGGCGATATCGTAAAGTGGAATTGAAATATAGCAAACTGGGTACGCAAGATTTTGATTTCGAACAGCATAATCAAACTTGCTTCGCCGGACTCGAAGCGACCTTGCCCAATTCCTATTGCAATGCCATGCTACAGGTAAGCTAGCCTTAATTGAATTTCTTGCCAGAAAATTGATTTAAAATTAATTTCCCATTAGATCTTGTACTTTACGGAACCTTTACGAATGAAGCTAATTGGACACACGTGCTCCAAGGAGTTTTGCTTATCCTGCGAACTGGGCTTCCTCTTTCATATGCTGGACAAAAGCACTGGTTGGTTTTAGTACGCATACAAATAAATGGCTATTAGATGATGTACGCAAAACTTATTTTAGCTTCAACTCCTTGCCAAGCCAGCAATTTTCTGCGCTCATTTCGCACTGTGCCTGAAGCATCTGCTTTAGGCTTGATTTTATCTGATCGATCCTCAAATGTTAATCTTATTACACTAATTCAGGCAAGTATTGAAATTTATATCGGCATTAGGATAGCAAATTAAGTATGCATTATGAACTTTTTTATTTACAGAACTGGAATCGGTTTATATTGCATCAAATGCATTATGAAATTCTGGATTCTGGCAAAAACTCTGGCATAAACGGTCCGCAAAGTGCATTATTTGTCGGTAAATGTTAATTACTTTTTATTTCAATTGTAATTGGGTTCTCACAAAGTTATATTTTAGCAGAAAGTATGTGCACAGAAAGTAACACGGCTACTGAGTTATATGAATCAATCTCTGGTCAGTAACTGCTCTTAAGAAGTCCCCTTACCAATGTATACTTTTTACAGTTTTAAGATTAAGTGTATCTCGTGCATGTTTTTTATGTTCAAACTTAATCATTTCCATCTTACAGACGAAAGCACAAAGGAGGAGGAACGGGAACGTTGTAAAATAAACGCGGAAACGGATATAAGCAAAATTTTTGGAACTAAACAGATATGCATAAACAGATGTATCAAGTGTCAGGCAGAGGTGAATATTTAAATTAAAAAATACAATTAATTCTAGCAATAACATTTTACCAGAAATCAAAAGAAAATATTTTGCTGGCTTGCAACTTATCGTACCCCACGCATATAAAGGACAATGAGCAGCACTTTGATTTTGGTAACATTTTAAAGCGATCTTTGAGCTCTGAGAAAAATATTCAAGCCTTTTGTGAGAGCTGTAAGAAGTTTTCGCCAACTAATCAGAGCGTTAAGGTAACATATCGAGTAATATAAATTTTATATTAAGCCATTAAATTGAATTTTTATTTCTCAACTAGGTTTCATCGCTGCCGCAAGTGCTGGCAATCAACTGTGGCCTAAACAATGAAAAGGATATCAGCTTCTTGAAACGCCAGCTTAATCGTTCGAACGATCGACCAACTGCTGAGGCAGCATCCTTAAGTACCAGCAAGCCGTGCCGTTATGGTATCAACTGCTCACGTAGTGATTGCCATTTTATGCATCCGGATAGGTAAGTGATTGATTCTTTATATATAAAGACGTATAAATATATGTTTTCTATTTATATAGAAAATCTCCTTCACACACAAATCAGCCAAGCAATGTCAATAGCTCACCAAGCGGCCGTCAAAAATCCTGGTTTCCACTGGCCTTCAACATGGGCATCAGTGACACAGGTGAGCTGAGCGTGCTATCACCCACACACGCATCCAAAACGGAACAGGAGTCGGAAGATGAGGAGCTGATGCAGCAGCAACAACAACAACAAACGCTGCCCAAGGATCACATCCATCGAATGTATGCCCTGCATGCAGTTGTCTGTCAAATTGACGATGGCACCCAGAAGAATTTGGTGTCCCTAATAAATGTGCGCCAAAAATATCATACTATGAAGGCGACTACCTCGGATGCAATCGATGAGACGCAGCCGCAGTGGTATATTTTTAATGATTTTAGCATTTCACCTGTTTCACCACAAGAATCTGTTTGGTTCACGTTGGATTGGAAGGTGCCGTGTGTGTTGTTTTATCGCAGTGTAGAGGATGAAACAGACACAGCACCAACCGTGGTGGAGCCCGTTACAGTAACAGCCACACAAACCAACGATTCAGCCAGCAATACTCCAACCAATCCATTCTTGCAAGTAAGAGTATTGACCAAGTCAATAAACTAGATTATAATATTTTCTTAATGATTAAAATGATTATAGGACATCTTAAACCCGATACCAAAAAAACCCGGAACTGATGCAACCTTGAGACCACTGCAATCAAATGAGATGCCACAAGCAGGCGACTTAATCGCCATGGATGCGGAATTTGTAACGTTAAATCCGGAGGAAAACGAAATACGGCCGGATGGCAAAACGGCGACCATAAAGCCCTGTCATATGAGTGTGGCGCGTATATCCTGTATTCGTGGGCAAGTTTGTGTTCGTAGTATCAATGAGGAACAATTACATAATACCTTATTCAATATTAGGCAAGGTCCTGATGAAGGTGTACCATTCATAGATGATTACATTTCGACACAAGAGAAAGTCGTCGATTACCTAACACAATTTTCTGGCATTAAACCCGGCGACCTCGATGCAAACTTTAGTAGTAAACGTTTGACTGCCTTGAAGTACTCGTATCAGAAATTAAAGTTTCTTGTCGATATAGGCGTCATTTTTGTGGGTCATGGCTTAAAGAATGATTTCAGGTAATTTTAATATATACATAACATGTAATTTGAATATATATATATATAAGATGTAAGATATAAGCTTTCACCGAATTTGTTATCTTTAAAGGGTCATTAATATATACGTACCATCCGAACAAATAATCGACACGGTGCACCTGTTTCATCTTCCCCATCATCGCATGGTTTCATTGCGCTTTTTGGCCTGGCATTTTTTGGGTAAGTTCCACAGTTCAACGGGCTTTTACCATTATTCACATTCAATTTTGATAGGCACGAAAATACAATCTGAAACGCATGACTCCATTGAGGATGCTCGCACAACACTTCAGCTATATAAACATTATTTGAAATTGCAAGCGGAGAAGAAATTTACGCCTGCATTAAAAAATCTATACGATCGTGGTAAACAGCTACAGTGGAAGGTGCCGGAGGATTAAGAATTATTGGTACCATCCACTGGTTAACGACAGATAGAAGCCCGTACAAATGCTAGACCGGCCACCTAGATTGCAAATTTTTAAAATGTTATTTTGTATTTGAAAAAGGAATTCCATTTAGTTTTAAGCTCAATATCGTCTGGAGAGACATGCCCACAATAAAATCAAATCTAATATATTTTCATTAACAGTCTGTGTTCTGTCTTAAATCAAGCAATATGTAATTTTGTGTACTCATTAGTTGGTAATAATGGGTATATTGGTTTAAAACATACATGAGGTGTGCCTAATGAGTATAAATTCTATAGAAATTATGTTGCCATATGCAAGTCTTGCAACTTCATCAATTCCAAATTAAAAATTTCGAATTCCTTTAAAATTGTATGAAGCTCAGCCGGTTTGTTGGTGTTACAGCAGCTCAATATACAGTATACAGGGTATTTTTAAGTCGAATACCCTTGATTAATTGCTTAAGGGATTTCTTGGGCAATTGGTTCGGTTCAGAGTTCGGTTCACTTGAAAGTTCCAAGAATTCCAGGTTCACATCGGTTCAGTTTAAACTCTGCATCCCTGATTTAAATAAAAAACGTATACAAGAAAAACATTGAAGCTTATTGTAAAACTCGTTTGTACTGCCTATTAAGTGGAGGTTACTTGTAGTTATTGCCTATTTTACGAGCATGATTTGTATTAAATTATAATACACACTCACACACACATATGCATACACATATGCGTATTTACTAATATGCATGCTGTGCATTGAATCGATTTGATCTGCCGTAGATTAATTCAACTTGTTCGTTCGTTGGGTATTGCCCGGGCCATTATTCTGTGTAATCAGAACTGAAGCTATTGAAAACAAACAATGTGATCTTATTATAAACATATACTATGTGCATATGTCTGACTTATATGAGAACGTAAGGTGAGCGCCAGTTAAATAGTCATATTTATCTGTTTTGTTGGGGTCAAATCTAGCTGATGTCTTGGAAGTGTCACAGATGCAAAGTGGCAATAGATGAGATTTGCTAGCTCAAAGGCAAGTAGATGTTATTAGCGGTTAGCTGCGACTGGCAACCTCTGAATTTCCCGAGCCCGATCTGTGCTTATCAAACCGAATGTCGTCGTCTGGGGAAATTTACTGCCGATTAGCACCTTCCGAGACTCTTGGTATAAATACTGGAGAGGCAGGGCGCTTATAGCATTCAGATCAGATCAGTTGTGGAATAGGCAACATGGGATCACAAGCGACATTTGGATTGAGCTGCGCGCTTTTGCTTTGTGCTGGTAATTAAATTGATATACGTGCTAGCCTTTTCCATTTAAATTGACATTAAATTCCGCCTACAGCGATTAGCGCACAAAAAACATACGACGGACGCGATGGTCCGCATGTATTTGGAACACCTGGCCAGCAGGTATATATACGCGGTCAAAATGAAGGCAGCTACCAGGTGCCTGGTGTGGCTGGCACGTTCCAGAACACGCCTGGAAGTGGATCGCACAGCTATACCGACGAGCAGGGCAACACCTATGTGCATAATAAGAATGGCGCCGGCAAACCAGGTAAATTCCATTATCAGCTTCAACCTCAATATTGGCTACAAAGTCATACCCTTAGCTACCCACAGCATAAGTGGACCGGACCTAGTTGCACAGCGTGGACCGGCAGCCAATGCATATCGTGGCCGCCGAAGCGTCGTAGTGAGCCGTCCGGATCGTGTTGTCGCCAGCAGCGGTGGTCAAGTCTACGTTGGTCGCAGTAGTCGTGACATTCACGTTGCTCGCCCGGATCGCACAGTCGACTATGGCGGCCCTGGCGGTGATTTTGTTATACAACGAGGCCGCCGTAGCCCACAGTCTGTGCTCGTGAGCCGTCCGGATCGTGTTGTCGCCAGCAGCGGTGGTCAAGTCTACGTTGGTCGCAGTAGTCGGGACATTCACGTTGGTCGCCCGGATCGCACGGTCGACTACGGCGGCCCTAACGGTGATTTTGTTATACAACGAGGCCGCCGTAGCCCACAGTCTGGGCACGTGAGCCGTGCGGATGGACGCTCTGTTAGCTATGGCGAAGGCGGCTTCATTGCCAATGGCCGCGATGGCCGCACTGTCGCCCACTCCCGTCAAAGACGCGCTCGCGTCCAAGGTGAAAACTTTGTGGCACGCGATGATCAAGCTGGAGTCTGGAACGATGGTGTCTCAGTTTGGAAGCGCCCGGACGGACGCACAGTTAGCGTTGACAGCAGTGGCAACATCATCACCTCAGGCAGCCCCAATGGACGTGGTCCACAACGCGTAAGTTATAAATAACATATATAACAAAAAGAAAACAATAGCTAGTTCGATTCTTTACAGTATTCCGGTTAATCCTAGATGGAGCGACAATCGTACCCAAAAGTTGAAAAGTGTAAAATAGGGAAGTAATTATTATTGTTGAGTTAACTGCTACGTCAAATAAATAAGTAAATATCGATATATATTCTGTTTTTATAATTGAATTAATTATTTAAAAAACGACCTTTTTTCGATCCTTTGGTTCAGGCTTAAACCGGGCCAATCGGGTCAAAACCAGTTTGCATTTTTGTTGTAAATAATCAAAACTTATTGTACAACTTTTGGATTTCCTGTTAAGTGAAGCCTGCTGGTACTTGTTATTAATTTTACAAGCAAGATTTGTATTTAATTAAAAACAATACATAGCACAAGCAGGGCTTTGTGTGAATCAATTAACATGACCTGTCATATATTGATTAGTTATTCTAATATTCTGTGTAATTCTGAGCCAAAGATCATTCGTGTATTATGTGCATATTTGTAGATTCTATAGTCGCGTTATATAGTGAGATTTTTCAGTTTTGTTGTTGCATGTCAACCGCAAGCAGATAGCTAGAAAAAGTCACAGATGTGAGGTGGTGAAAATTAATATACATGTGTAAATGCATATATAAAAGTTGTCAGCTTAAAGACAAGTTTGGATTGAATGGGGAATTTCCAAATTTCCCGGGACAGATCAAGCCGAATGTCATCGTCTGAGATCTGAGATTTCGCTCCCGATTGGCGCCCACTCAGATTCTTGGTATAAATGCTGAAAGAGCTTTCAGCTCAGATCATTCGTGGAATAGGCAACATGGAATCACTAGCAATACTTGGATTGAGCTTGCTTTGTATCGGTAATTAAACTGATTTGCATTCTTGCTTTTTCAATTCAGTTAAATCAACATTCGATTCCGCCCGCAGCAGTCGGTGCGCAAAGAACTTACGATGGAAGCAATGGAAGCCAGCAGGTTTTAATACGCGGTCAAAATGAAGGCAGCTACCAGGTGCCTGGTGTGGCTGGTACATTCCAGAACACGCCTGGGGGATCGCACAGCTATACCGACGAGCAGGGCAACACCTATGTGCATAAAAATAATGGAGCCGGCGAATCAGGTGAATCCCATAATTAGCCTGAACACCATTTGTGAATACAAATCCATACCCTTAGCTACCCAGCACGATCGTGATCCCACAGTCCGGGCTTATCGGGGCACTCGCAGCGACGTAGTGAGTCGTCCAAATCGCGATGTTGCCACCAACAAGCCTGATTTCCGCGATGGCTCCGCTCATAAGGAACGAGAGTGCTTCGATTTGGAAAAGCCCGGAACACAGGCAATAGGTAGATCCGAACAAATCACCGAAGATGGCAAAAGAATTAAGACAAGCGAATATTACGTCGAGATCGAACGAGTCTGTTTCGACTTCTATTATGCCGAAAAAAACGAGTACATAAATTCTAGGTAATTTGTAAAGTCACCAAAAAATTACCCGGCGTTGCAAGTGGCACCAAATTACATACGTTTCTTTGTCAATTTTACAAATCGTAACATTTTTATTTCGATTTACTTTATTAACAAAGTTGATTCTCTTTTAAAATAAAGTGAAAGTTAAAAATTTCATACAAAACCTGACCCTCATATTCCTCAATTGTTGACCCAAAAGAAAGCTTTTGTAAAAATTCTAGTTTCCCAATCATAATTATACTGAAAATTGTTGCGAAGGAAAATTTTGTAGCTGAGATAATTGTTAATTCAAATATAATCAAATTGAGTGTATGCTCAGATATGTATGTGTTTATACCTGAACTAATTTTTATAAAAAAAAAGAACCTATTTTCGACCCGATGCATAATACTTTTGGTTGTGTGCCCCTTTTTTGTTTGCCAGCAAATAATTTGAGAGATAATAACCCGGCACATTGAATCAGGGTGATAAATGATCTTTAAATTATAGCTGACATTGATTTCAAATCTAAATTCATGATGAAATATGAGCACAATAAAAAACTGTAGAGTCGAATTAGTCTCTCGGTTTCAAAGCTATCTTGAACTTGTTGGAAAGCCGGACCCTACAGCTATCCTAGCTAAACTGAGCAAAAGCGAACTTAAATATGTTTTCTTTTTGTTTTTTTTTTTTAGAGAATATGAATTGTTTGTTCACCTGCAAGGGTATATTACTTTCGGTGCCTTAAAATTTGCGTTGTTATTGTACATTTCTTTGGCGAGCAACTGAATTTTAAATTTAGAAACCCAGGACTGTGTTGTACATGCAAATGCCAGAGGGTTCTACACTATAGATTCTATATAGATATATATGTATGTGTAGATGACTAGACAAAATTATTTGTACTGGCATTTTAGTTTGTCGCCCAGCCTGTGCTTTGAAAATGTAAAGATTTGGAAAATATTCTGTCTAAATTTTAACTGTTAGAGATAATTCTCGAGTATTGAGGAGAAAAATCCGAAAGCCACAGATGGACGCAGTTTGCCATTTTTTTCGCACCAATTATATATTGGCCAACTGTGAGGATGTGATATGCAAGAAAGCGTTTTCCTTAAATCTATCCCATTACCAAATGGCCGAGCTACCAGATATTATCGAGCATTGTGAAACGCTGATGAAGCTATTTCTAAATCAGAATAAACTAACTAAGGTAGGCCAATCGGAAAGAGATATGTGTACAGATCTATATCTACTTATGAAATGTCCAGGTGCCGTCCAGTCTAGGCAACTTGATTCGCTTGCAAGTCTTGGCGCTGGACTACAACAAGCTCGATGAGTTTCCCGCGTGCATCTGTCAATTGGTCAGATTGAAATTCCTGAATGTCAGTTGCAACAATATAAGTCGCTTGCCGCCGGAACTGGGACACCTCACTGCTCTGGAGACATTCTGGTGCAATAATACGGGACTGCGTAGGCTGCCAACTGAAATATCCAATTGCGAGCGCCTGCAAACGCTGGGTGTACGTGGAAATCGTTTGCGCAAACTACCCGATGCACTGGGCAAGCTGGCAGAATTACGCTGGTTTACGGCGGAGAGCAATGAGCTTGGCGAGGTACCAGAAACATTTGGATTACTGCAAAATCTAATACATCTAAATCTGAAGGGCAATCGACTGAATCGTCTGCCATGCATGTTAATTACCATGCCCAATTTGAAATTCGTTTTCCTCAATGAAAATCGCATTGAACTCATTCCCGATCGAGCAGAGCTGGAGCAACTGAGTTTTCTCCGTATGCTAAATTTATCTAAGAATCCAATTAGCACACTACCTGGGCTGCAGGAACTGGCGCAGGTAAGTTTAATTGCTGGGCAAATCCCGCTCAGTATCTAATAACATTATGTTACGCAAAAGTTAGATTGCAGCGTTAGCGCAGAAACAGTCTTGATTTGTTACATACGAATAATTTGTGATTTGCAGAAACAGACAAACATCTATGTGGAGTCGGTGATTGAGCTGCTGCCTGAAGCTGGAGTCTCGGCGAGCGGGTTAAGTGCGAACATAGAAGCAGAACCAAATGCGCAACCGGAGCAGGAGTCCTCTTCGGATTGGGCTAATAGCGCACGCACCAGCCAATTGGATAGCTCGGATGAGAGCAACTTGGAGAATACCATTGAGGATTTAAGCGTTATGCTGCCTGAAATGTCTCGTTTTGTGACAACATTTTAAGATTATTCAAATAGAATTGTTGCGTACTATGTTTATTTGAATTTGTGTGTGTGTGCTTGTCGGGGTGTGTGTAAAACGTAACAATTGAAATGCGCTTTGGCTTGGGTCAATGTGACCAAATCCTAGTAACTTAAAATTTAACTAGACATTTTTTTGATCAGCTCCTCGTCCTGCATGGACATGGCAGTTAGCTTCTTGCCAATCTTTTCATGTATGTCCAAATATTTTGCAACACATCTGTCGATGCAAACCATTTCGCCTTTGCCTACAAACAGCAAAATTGTTGAAATTTATTATTATCAATGGATATGCTTTCTTATGAATTAAAGCTCACCCAATTCCGACTCGCCGTAGCGCGGCGGGATGCACTTCTTGTGACAGGCGTTTGTCATGCGGTTATATAAATCCGACATCATTTCAATTTCCATTTCTTGCATCAGCTGCAATTTTGCCTGGTCGGCCACGCTTATTTGTGGCATAGCCATTTTTGTTATGTATTATATGTTATCAATGTAATTTGGTTATTTATATATATATATATATATCAATTTATTTGAATGAATTTGCAGTTGTTTTCTAGTCGAAGCGCCTGTCCGAAATTGTTTGATCGTATTCACCGTGGTTTGCTTTTTTCATGCGCTCTCGCACACGTAATGTCTCGAATCTGCGGCCTTCTACTGATCTTTTTGACAATACAAAAGCATACACTCCACCAACGGTTAAAAATGCCCTAATGAACATAAAATTTTAATTTTAGGTAACAACGTGTTTTTTTTTTAATGCACGTATTGTACAAACCAACAAACAGCAATTCGCCCAGCGTTTCCAAGCGGCATTGTCAATAGACACAGTGTGACTGTGCCTATTGACACATATGGAAATACCTCAATTTCCTCACAAAAATACCAAGTTTAAAAAATACCTTTACTGTGAAGTTTTACGATAACAAGAGTTATCGATATTTAATTTGCGCGGCCAATTTCGCGCTAGTGTGTTGTTGCATTTTAACTTCGAATTAATTTTGAGCTAAATTTATTTAAATCAACTGGTTAGTGTTCTTAGTTCGTTGTTAGTATTCAAAATGTTTATGAAAATTGCATTAAGAATAGGCTTTTATTGACAGTGCATCACAAACCGTTCTAATTGTATGTAAGTACGAATATGTTCATGGTTATGTGTACAATGTACTGTGTAAATATGTTACTATATATTTATAACAAATAATAAGATTAATGAACAAAATAATAATTAAATCAACAATATAATTACCACAGTATAACTGACGCGTATAGAACGTCGTCATTTTTCGAAGCAATACATTTGTAATTTTTTTTGGTAAGATATTAGATGTATACAGAAATTTTTAAATCACAATGTAATTCAATGTAATATGTACATAGTACAAATGGCTCACAATGAAAAACTAAATTAAATATGAATGTAGGAATGTATGTGTATATGTACATATGAATGTACCTAATTATTGCACATGAAAATGCATGCATTTATCACTTGTCATCGATCGAATTTAACTGGGTTTCACGCCAAACCAGCTCATTTTCCAATTAAGCGTATCGTACAGCAGTTTTTCTTCCTCCGGGGAAAGCTGCAACAGCGTGGAAACGGCTCGCACCAGATGACGCGCCTCGACCTGAAAGAAGAGTTTACTTTCATGACTTTTCTAGATATTAAACTCAATCCATACCTCTCTGCTTGTTAAGAACTTGACGATGACATGTTTAAGATACTTAAAATTTACTTCATCCATAATAATGCAATTGGGCTTGTTGTCCGATTGAAAACTCTCAATTGGTGCATTGGAAATTCTAAAGGCGGGTATAACTTGATCCGTATCAACATCGATGGTTGCTGTTTGCGAACTTCGAAATTCTTTTTGCAAGGTCTTTTTAAGGTCTCCCAAGCGCTGATTTAAAGTTTTTATTGTCTACATAAGATCAGTAATAAGAGATATGGCAATGTTTTAGTGACCTAAGTAACAGGAAGATATAAACACCACAGAATGCACAGGCAACTTTTATAGCTAGGTTCTTATTTCGATGCTTTAACTAAGAATTATAATCAACATATTAATAAAATCCCTTGGATACACTCACCTTATTCTTTTCCACAATTTCTCGTTGTGTCAGCTCGTATTTTGCCTGATCCATTGTATTTTGCTGGGCCGCATCATTGAGTAACTGCAATGCCTGGCGTGCCTCTTGCACATCCTTCTCCAGTTGCTTGTTCTTGTCGTGCAAATCATTGGATTCGGTTTGCTCCATGCGCAGCTCCTTCTTCAGCAGCTCTTCGCTCTGCGAGATCTCCGCGTTGCGCAGCAAGGCAGTCAGTTTCTCCTCGCGCTCAACTTCCAATTTCATTTGTGTGTCGCCTAAAAGATCTTGTTTCTCGGTGATTTGTGTGCGCAGCTTTTGAGCGACTTGCTCAGCATTTTTCACATATTCACTGAATCTTTCGTCAGCGGTTGCGAGTCGCATTTTGAGATCTTTTGTTTCAGCTGCCAGAGTTTCCTAAGTTTAAGTTTAGTTGGAATAAGTTGTAACATTTGTTTTTTTTTTGGTTGTAAACCATAAAAGCAGTTTAATAGAAAAAGAATAGGTTCTTGGATTATAATACAAATTGTTAAATAAGAAGAAATGCAACAAAGTATATAATACATATTTTCATTGTGTTAAACAATTGCGAGGAAAGTGTTAATTTACTTGCTAATAGAATTTGTTAGTTATATCAATAATTATTCATGCCATTAATAAATGTATATATAATTATGTATGTGTATGTATGTTTGTGTGTGCCACTGCTAACCGCCAACCTCAGAAGGGATACTCACGGATTTGTTGCGCTCAAATAGAATTTGCTGCTCATTCTCTTCGCGACATTCTTTTAATGCAATGTTCAGCTCATTGAGTTCGTCTTCCAATAATTTAATCTATATGCAATAAGTTGAATTAAACAAGTCTAGTTAGTAAAATATGGTGTGTTTACCTTATCGTCTCGTTGTTTGATCTCACTGTTGGCTTTTTCCAGCTCGAATGCGACTTGCTTTCGATTTTCTATTGCATCGTCACGCGCTTTGAGCGCCTTTCGCTTTTCGGTGGTCTCCTCGGCCACCTGTTGGGACAGGCGACTCACTTGCTTCTCTAGCGCAAAGTTTTGGCCACTCCATGAGCTCTTGATGTCGGCTAACTGCAAATGTGCCTCCTCGAGATGCTGTTCCAACAATTTATGCTCCTGCACAAGTGCCTGCACTTGCTGTTCGGTATTCAATTGGGGCAAAGCTTCCAGACGCGCCTCTTCAATAATTCTCATACGCATTTTCATGTTGCGATTATCCTCCTGCACGGCAGCCAGAGTTGTAGTTAAATGGTTCTTCTCCTGCTGTGTGGCATGGCGCAACTGCTCCAGTTCATCGCGCAAATCCTCAGCAATAGGCTCTATGGAGCGCAACCGTTCCAGCTCCTGGTTAAAATTCTCAATCTGCTGTTGATACTGGCGTATGGCATTCATATGATCAACGGCTTCCTGCTCGCGAAAGCCGAGCAAACTTTTCAGTTTATCAATTTCAATTTGCTGCAGATTTTGTATCTTTTCCTGTTCCTCGCAATAGATGTCCTTTTGGGTCTGAGCGACTCGAACGCTTTCCAATAGAATCTCATTTGTCTTATCCACTCGTGTCTTCTCCTCCTGCAATTTTTGTAAACTCTGACTCAGGCTGCTAACTCTGGATGCAAGCTCATTGCATTGGCTTCGTAGCTGGCACAGTTGTTCTGACTAGAATATAAACAGATGTTTCTCAATATTATTATTAAATATATAAATATTGTGTTTGCATTGACCTCACCTCGCTGTAGACTCCGCCACCGCCCACATCATCAGCTACGTTGGAATTAATGCTCACACGTCGACTGCGTATGCGATAATTATTATTGTTGTTGTTGCTGCTGTGTCGTTGATGCGTCTGGGTTGCCGACGTGGACACATCTTCTCCAGTTTCCTCCTTAATTTTGTTTTTAAGCGTTGCAAACATTTTTTGTTGCCTGCGTGCCGTTGCCTATTGTAATGTTTAGACTCAACTAAGCGTATTCAGTTTATCGCGATGCGGCACACCAGCGTTACAGCAACTTGTTTTTATATCATTGCTCCAATTAGGGTATTGCTTGTGCATGTGCTTATCAATGAAATGTAAATGTAAATCTATTTAAATTTGCAGTCTATATATGTTGCTTCTTCTATTTTTTTTAGCACTACGTGCAAGTGGAGCTTGCCACTTTGTTAAGTTTTTAAGTCTGGCATCACAGTAGCTGAAAGTTGCCACATAAGTGGCGTACATCGCGATTTATCGATAACATTAAAAAACAGACGCCAAAAAACATCTGAGGCGAGCGCGCAAAATTCTTATAATTGTTTAATATAATATTTGAATAGTTAAGTTTAAAGCAGCTTTTTTCATTTATAGCCTGGGAATATTAAGCCGAGCTGACAAAAATGGAGCAGGATTATTCCAAACAAGCGCCGCGTGACTTTTGTGACAGTGATGGCGTTTGTACTTCCTCCTTAAAGGAAATTTCATTGATAGAAACTGTGACCAGTTTCCTAGAAGAAAACGGCGCTGCCGAAGTCGATCCAAGGGTTTTAAAAGACTTGGCCGAGGCGCTTTCGAAACGCATCAGCATAGACGAGTGAGTACTAATTTAATATGTTCTTATTGTGCGTGAATTTGTGATTGTTGTTTGTATGTGTGTGTTGTTGCTGCGTCTTTGAAGTTCTGTTTGGCAGTGCAATTTTGCAAGTGCAACGCACACTTTGGCTTCGATCCAAAACTATATTTGGATCATAAAAATGAAAGCAGCACATATCTATTTACTAATGACAATACTCAACCATCCGAATCTGAGCACAAAGTTGGCAAAACTGCATCAAAAGATCAGAAGCAGTGCGTATGCGCTCAGCGGCAGGTCCCAGATGAACTCCCCTCACGCGCTGGTGAGAATGTATGCACACATGATTATGTACATAACCCACCCTATTTTGTGGGAGAGCCAAACCCAACACAGCCACATTGGTCATATGGTGGGTGAGCAGCGAGCGCGCTCCGGAAAAAAGTAGCAACATCTGCCGTGCATTTGTGTAAGTTTTGCTGAGCGCATTTTCCTTGCGGAGCGAACGAACAGACGGTTGGATGAGATGAACGGATGATGCTTGCCGATTGGGGGTTTTCTCTCTGGTTATCTTGATGCGCATTTTCAGTACTATTCTGGCATTCGGTTCAATTAGACATATGTATATGAAGGCAACCATAATTCTAGTATTTTCAATTGTATTTTTGTTCGTTTGTTGTGATTGTGCTTCGCTTAACGCCTATCAGTCTTTCTTTTTGCGCAATACATACGAACAAACAAATAAACATATACACTGCGGTTCGCGTTAAAATAAATATATTCATCCAAGCGTACACATATATGCGTATATGTATGTGCAAATATGCAGCAACAAAAGTGAGATTTATATATTTGTTTTTTTAATCACTGTGTGCTATATATGTGTAGATAAAAATTGTCGAATATGCACGATGAATGCTCTCGAACAGTGTAAAAAGGCAATATTCTTATATAAATTACAGACGTGTCTATATGCATGTGTATGTGTGCATATGTATATATGAGCATGTGTGTGTGCATAAATTACGGGTACGCGCCTCATCTTGTTGTTGATTTCCTTTGTCGTTGTTGTTGCTGCTGCATCTAAATTTAGTAGTGGAAAAATATAGCACAGCATCTTATGGATATGTACATACATATAATATTTATAACTGCGTATTATCAGGCACGATAAGTCGAGTAAATATGTTTACAGGCAACGCTCTATAAAGCGTACTTCTAGGTTTTCAGTTTATTGTCCTGCATTAAAGATACATCACAAAAAAACCAAAAAAATAAATTATCAAGTTTAAAAAAAAAAAACAAACTAAAGTTTTCTTGCTAACATTTCATTTTGAGACCAATAACTTAATTAACAATAACTCGTTAGGGATAGTTCCAATACAAAAAAATTTCTAAAAAAAATATGTAAAAAATGTAAGCTGCTTTTGTAGATGTTCACCCAGGTAAGGTGTCCGTTAGTAGAGCTTTCACTGTATATACAAGGAGGATATATGTACTTGTGTTTAAGTGGCAAGTTGTTCAGTTTATATGCACACGTTTGCGGCTGTTTGACCTTTGTTTGAACCCCTACCCCGCTTGCATTGTACTGTTACGCTTTGCACCACCACCATTCAGCATAGAGTACAGTTTCCTTTATTATTGCTAGTTTTATCCCTCTAATGTTTGGTTACATAAATGCACATCCGCTTTTTCACAGTGCACGGCTTTTCAAATGAGTTCAGTTTTGTACACGAAGATGCATTCATTTATGGGCAAGCGTCACAATCAAGTATCTTGTTTACGTTCTAGCTTCAAGCCCCAACTAATAGGGGTCCGGGCGGGGAACTGTTTTAGACTGCATTTTCATCGTCTTTTGGAGCCAATTGTTGTTAATTATTTTCAGGGCCTTCTAAAGTTAGACATATGCTACATTCAACTGACGGCTGTTTGCTAATTGTTATTCGTTCAAACACTTCAGGTAGTGAGCCTCCTGAACAGGACACATGTGCAACAGCTGTATTCTCTCGCAAACTACAACATGTAGAAATTAGAAGTTGGTATCAGAAGACAACTTAGATCCCTATAAGTATATACATAACAGATGCATGTGTGGAAGCGTAATTGAATCTTTATCTTTATCTTACTCTCTCGGGTTCAGTAGCCCGTGAAATTATAGAGTTATATTTTGCATGTTTCAACTGTAGTATGTACTATGTACTATATAGATACATTTGCATCCCTAAGTGGGTCACTATTTGAACACCTGTTGTGTGCCGAAAGTGGAGCTTTACTACTCCCAATTCTGCACATATGTTCAGCAGCTGTGTTTGCCCATTGATTACCACTGGAAACCGTTGTAACCATAGCTATGGCGGGTCAAAACAAAGCGTAGCAGCAACAATTTCAGGCCGACAAAATTATTTCACTTCATAAGTTGCATTTGGTATTTGTGTTTTTGCTCAATTCCCAAAATAATTCATATTGAAGAGGCCCTCACGTGAAATGCGTGGCCCACATGTGTCGCCGGTGCTGCGTCCAGTCCGGTTCGCAAATTTGCAAGCAAACAAAAAAAAAAGTATCGCAGTCTAAGATTCTATGTGGCGCTCCTGAGTGATGTGATGCGCCATCATTTCGGGGACATTTGCCTACCCAAAACATGCGCCATGGCTGGCAGCAGAAAGTTGGCGCGCCAATGACTCATCGACGCATAGGACGTGGCACATACATATCCATGGGTGTGTGTGTGTACGTAACCCCAGAGTAATTATATACCTGCACTGAAGTTGCATTTATAGACTGGTGTGCCGCAAGTTATTTAGGATAAGCACAACAGCAACAACAACAAAAGCAAAACTAAAAACAAACAACGAGGTGACGCATTCGTTTCGACTTTAACTAAATCAAAGTCATATTTATACCGTCAGTATATTCAATGTACTGGAGTGAAGAATACCTAAAACTAAAGCTGCATATTAATGCCAAGAATCAAAAAACATTATAATGGCGGGCATATATCGTACAAACTCTATGATCAACACAAATGAATCCCCAAGATCGCCATTTAAAAGGTTCTCAGTTTGTGCCGGAGCTGGGGCCACTTTTTGGTAAGTTTCTTCAAGTCAAATAAATATATAGTATGTTTAAAGATAAGATTGCGCGGGTTTTGAATTTCTTTCAGTTTGCTAAAGTAAACTGAATATATCTAAAGCTTAGATAGCGCGGGTTTCTGTTTGCTTCTACGCATTTGAAACCTTAAAAACAATTCTATCTTATTGTCATTCCAAGGAAGTTTATTTAAAAATTATTTGCTTATTGAATTCAGTAGATTGTCGTCATTTTACAATAATCGACTTAAATGACATCAGAAGTTCCATTTATTTGAACAAAGACAAAAAATAGCTAGGTGTGCCATTTCTATTCTACTAAAGAATTTGCACGCTTCACTTAACTCTAGTCCAAATTTTCGGCTGTACTAGATACACATTTGTATGTCATATGTATGTACATTTAAAACCATATGTCGCTGGGTTTTGCTTTTAAAGCTAGATGAGACCCATTTGGATCTGCACGAATAGCTTGAATTCATGAAAATCGCATAGAACGGCGATGTGACAGAGTGTCTCTAGTTTTCGCATGTGCCTGATCTCTATTTGAACCGCCCGCTCCCCTTCAAAACTACTCTCTCTCCACCCTTTTATAAATATATCTTCTCTCTTACACTTACACTCTCTCATACTTAATCTCACTCTTTCCTCTCTTTAACACTCTCTTTCACACAATTTCTCACTTTCTCTTCTCTTACATTTGCACTCTTTCGTACACTCCCTCGACCCGTTCACTTATGAATATCTCATAAAGAGGCGATTTAAGCCCGTATATGATCGAGTACAGAGCTTTGTAATCGGTATCTTTTCGTCGAGCAGTTATAATACTATACGATTTATTATAAGACTTATCAAATATGTTTGTTTGTCTGTACAAGCCATGTTGATAAACTACCAGTTAATTATAGGTGCTTGAGGCAGCATTAAAACAATTCAAACCTGTTTAAATTGACCTCCAGACTAGAGATGGATGCGTGACTTAATAGTGAATGCGAATGTGTAAGCCATAAAGGGCTAGAAAATATTTAAAATTGTTTTTAGAGCAAAGAGGCGTAAAGTGTAGAAACTTGTAATATGGGAATTAGAACTTAGTATATCATGAATTGCATGGAATCGGCCGAAATATGTTTGTTTCGTGTTAAATCAGACTATCACGGCTTGACCGACCACCTCTACTGCACGCCGTGGAATACAGGTGTTGTGGCTTATCCAGCTGGTTGCTCAGTTAAATCGTGCTTGAAAGCTGGCCGGATAACTGTCGCTCATAGTAGTTAAAATAGTAAAATGGATAAGTTCGCCCTGGGCATGTGGATGTGCCTGCTGGTGCTATCGCCCATGCTGGCGATACGTCTGAAGCCTTGCGATTTGGCCGGACAACTTTATATATTGGACGTGCCCAAGACGGAACTTGCCCAATGGCTGTGCATAGCCGACTTCGAGAGTCGCTTCAACACACACGTTGTCGGGCAGGGCAACTCGGATGGCTCGAGGGACTATGGTCTCTTTCAGATCAGCGATCGCTTCTGGTGTGCGCCCCCAAAGGCAACGCCCTACCACGCCTTCAATGGCTGCAATGTGAACTGCACAGAGCTCTTGAGCGATAATATCACGACGGCTGTGCACTGTGCCCGGCTTATCAAGAAGCAGCAGGGCTGGACGGCCTGGTCTGTCTACGAGGAGTTCTGCAACGGAACCCTCTCGGACGCCGAAAACTGTTTCCAACCGGAAACCACAGCATCGACTGTGACGCCAGATCCGGAAATAGAAACCACGACTCTCGTTACGGAAATGGATTAAGCACCTATTTCGTGCGGATCGATCACTGCCAATAGACATTTATTGTAAACTTCTAGATGATACATTAAAGTACTAGCTGGTGTTACCCGGCTTTGCCCGAGCCAATTGTTTTTCTATTAATAAGTCGAGCTTTATAAATTAGCTTAAAATTAATTAATCCAAATGTAGAATAATAGCATCACGTCGCTTTCCCTTCTTTTCCGCTAAATCGATCTGCGAAAATGACCACATCTTTCCACCCAAGACGCCCGAAAGGAATCCTTTTGATTGAATCCTCGCAAAGTGGAAATTATTTTGATCCTGTTGTAATGCTTCCTGCTACGTGTTTTTCCAGTTCTAATCTAGTTTAATTGTTTCTATTTTGCAGCACAAGTCCCGGCGGTATTCACGATGTAACCATGGAAAATTCATGTAAGTATAGAAGAAAAAATAACATTTATTTTTTAGCTGTCGAATTGAAAATACCCTTGCACACAATCAGGACTCCAGCAGACCTTATCAAATTAGTTTTCCGAAATTATCGACTAGACTATGTTTTGAGGGTATCATGTTTTCGTTCTGCATTTTCTGTCCAACTTTTCTTTTGACATTTTGGGGCAACTATTTATTTGGCTTGTCTGAGCTACTTGTCCGTGTGTATTATGTCAACACACACATCTATTTTATTAGAGTTTAGTTTGGAAACACACCCGTAAATACTATATGCAAGGCAATCACTCAGTTTCCTTTTATATATTTTTTTATTTATTGCCGGAATGGGCAAAAACGGCATACTATCAGCGGTCTCGCCACGGACATCCACGACAAATGGTTTACGCATGTTTGATGGTTATGATAGTTCACAGGTTTGAGACAAGTTGCTAGATTCAATTAACGATATTTCTTTGTCTTTTTGTAGATACCAGCTTCGATGCAGCGCGTGCACCGGGTGGTATTCATTCGCCGATGCAGGGTCGGTCCGTGCGCGAGCTAGAGGAGCAGATGTCGACACTGCGCAAGGAGAACTTCAATTTGAAGCTGCGAATTTACTTTATGGAGGAGGGTCAGCATGGCGCACGAGGCGGCAAAAATGCGGCCGAATCCCCCTCCAAGCAGCTCATAGATTCCAAAATTGAGATCGAAATACTACGGAAGCGTGTGGAAGAGAAGACCGAACTCTTAAAGGATGCGGCTCGGGCTATATCGCAGCACGAGGAGATGCAAAAGAAGGCTGACATGGAGAGTCAGGCGATGATTGAGCAAATGCAGCAATACATAAGTCAGTTAGAGGTAAATCTTATAATTTCACATTGTAAATTGAAAAGGAATTCACGATTTCCTTTGGAGCAGGCAGCCGCCACGCAGAAGGCAACCAAAAAGTCGATTGATACGCTGAATGCTGAAAAGTTCAAGACTTTGGAAGCAGAGGTTTGTAAACGAAGTCGATTCATAGTCTTGTTATTTTAGTTATTTTAAAATGCAACTGTATATAAATATATTAATGTGAATTCTGCCCTTAACAGGTGCTTAAGTTGGAGAACGAACTGCTCGAGGCCGATTTGCGGGAGACGGAGTCTAGGCGTCAGCAGGAGCTCTTGGCAAATGATCTAGCCGAACGCCAGGAGACGCTGGTGGCATGCGAAGCCAAGATTGAGGAGCTGGCAATTAAAAATGCCAAACTGGTTGAGCAGCTTGAAAAGCAGACGGAAACCGAGCAGCTAGCAAATGTAAGTAAAATAGATTGTAGAATATATAAATGATAGTGTTTGAGTGAGTTGGTTTTCGGACCTTGTGGAAGCCACGTGAGATGAGGATTGATAAGTGGTTTGAACTCTTAGCAAACGATAAGTCGCCAGAAGCTCGATTTAAGCGCCTCTTTAGCGGGAAATGAACGTCTACATAGGGAGCTAAAAGACGCCGAGCAAGAAATCCAGCGCAAGAATATGTGGGTAGTCGAGGCGGTGACCATATTGAACGTGCAGCGCAAGACAATAAATGTGATGGAAGTAAGTAGTATACAACGAGCAGGAAAACGGTGTGATACTTAATCGAAACTCCCCGCAAACAAGGACCTGATCAGTGATAAGGAGCTTGCGCACAGGCGTCTATATCTACGGCTTCTTGAATACGAGAGCGTCATTAGAAAACAGAGCTGCGAGGTTGATATGGTGCGACGCGAAAAGCAATTCTATCAGGATCTGAGCAATAAATTGCAATATACGGATAGACTGCATTGCTTGGAGCGGATTGCCATTGTACAGCCGATGCGTTTTGATAAATTTCAAAGTTGTTTTCAAAGTTGTGCCAGCAGTTGTTCGCATCGCTCCAACTTTTCAGCGATCAGCGTATTGCTTGGCAATCAAGATCTTTCCAGCGCCAGTCCCGTAAGGCGTTTGTATTTCTCAATGCCAGAGGTGAACCATTTGACCAACATTTCTGTGGTGTATTTCAACTCAATCCCCCCGATCCGCAGCATTGCAGGGCAGTCCCAATGCCATTATCCGTTGCCGCACCTAGCACGGCCTTTTACAACTATTCGTTGCCGCCGTTCAATGGATTGCGTGAGCTGCTGTGCCGATGGTGCTGGTGCTCCACGCACCATCCAAACTGATGTTCCTTCCTTGCCAAATAGCTGCACTGTACTGCAATGCGACATTCTGTTTTTCCAGACAGAGGAGCGCATCACTGTGTCTGCCTGCTCCGGCCACCGTGCTGATGTCTACCTTGTCTCTGAAATGCAGCATGGCTCAACTGGACAGTGCACTATTCGCTCTGATGATCTGATGAGAATATACACACCATACGCCGGCCGTCGCAATTTCGTTTCTATTTTTGTCGAGTTCAACATTGTTAGCATAGAGTGTCAACATATTCGCTGGTAGTTATGCAAAAATTTCTCGTTATTAAATACTTACAAATGTAATTCAAATAAAAAGAACAAAAAATAGTGGGCATAATTTGACATGTGCGGAGATCAAAATCAGATGGTTTTTAAGCGTTTATTTTTGAAAATCAGTTTTACACCGATTTTCCATCGTAGTTGGGTTGTCTGAAATCGGCGAAACATGTAAAGCTTATAATTTAAGTGTGTGCTTAAGGAGCAGCTTCTACCTCCTATGTTTTGGGTTATGCATTGACCATCTTTGTATTTGAATATACTTTCAGCCCCATCAAGAGCTGCGCACACAATTGGCCGACAAGATCTGCGAGCTGCAGGACGCCGAGGAGAAACTGGCTGAAAGGGAGCGAGTGCACGAACAGGCCTGTCGCACCATTCAGAAGCTGATGCAAAAACTGAGCAGCCAAGAGAAGGAAATCAACCGAATGAAACAGCAGCAGCAGGCGCAGACGGTAAAAAGAGAAAATAGCCAACTAGATGCCTTAAAGACCATTTATATAAAAAATGTATTTTCCTATAGAGCAAATCGACATCGGAGTCCTCGCCCGGTAAACGGTTACATTCGCTGAGCGACAGCGAGTCCTGTGCCGTGGACATTTCACGCAGCCTGAAGCAGCGCTATGAAAAACAAATTGCGGATCAGGATGAGCTAATCAAGCAGCTGCAGGCGGATGTTAAAAAGAAGACGGCCAATTTGCAGAACCTCGTCAACAAGGAGCTGTGGGAGAAGAATCGCGAAGTTGAGCGCCTGACCAAATTGGTCAGCAACAGTCAGCAGCAGCAGCAGCAGCAGCAGCAGCAACAGTCCGTGGAACACTCAGGCGATGATTCCACAGTTGGCGCCGATTCCCAGCAATCCTTTTCGGAGGTAGAATTCGCTAAAGCTGTCAAACGCAACAAACTGCTTCAGCGCAAGGTTGATGTACTGTTGCAACGTCTGGATGGTGCGCAGCAGGACAGCGCCCTGATTGCACAGATGCGTCAGGAGCTACAAACCATGGAGCTGGATGTGGAGAATGCCAACAAGTGGCGTCTGGAGTGTGCGGACGTGTGCAGCGTGCTGACCAATCGTTTGGAAGAGTTAGCTGGCTTCCTCAATTCGCTGCTCAAGCACAAGGATGTGCTCGGCGTGCTGGCAGCGGATCGTCGGCATGCTATGCGCCGCGCGGTGGATCGCAGCTTAGACTTGTCCAAGAGCCTGAACATGACACTGTCTATAACTGGCGTTTCCCTAGCTGATCAGAGTCTAGCGCAACTTAGCAAACTGTCGGAAATATTGTACACCGAGGCGGATGAGTGCAATCATACGTACAATTCGCACGAGGATCTGCAGGGAGCAAAGACGGAAAACAAGGGACTGAAATCAGAGCGAAAAGAGCGACGCTCGCTGCCCCTTCCGCAACAACAGCCGGACAATCAAAGCGAATCGGAAGCCTGGTCCGAGCCCGATCGTAAGGTCTCTTTAGCGCGCATCGGTCTGGAAGACACCTCGAACAGCATTGTGGGCGAGCAACATCTGAGCGAATCGGATAGCGAGGGTCACGCCTGTTCGGCCAACACGCTTAAGCAGGAGCGCAGTCGCCACAGCGAACGCATCAGCCAGCTGGAGGCGCTTATAGCCCAGCGAGACGAGCGCATACTGCAGGCCCAATGTCAACTGGTGGACGCGGACAATCGCTTCAAGCAGGAGCAGCTGCGCGTCATTGAGTTAACCCAACAGCTGGAACAGCTGCGTGCACTAAACGAAACGCTGCACGCGGATCTGCGTGCGATTGGCAGCCAAGATGATCAGGAAATTGCCGAGTTGAAATCTCGAATTGAACTCAAGACGCAGCAGTTGGAACAGCTGCAAATGATGTACAATACGCTGCATGCGGATGCACAAATCTCAGAGCTTGAGCTGCAGGAAGCGCAAAAGAAAATTCTTGAAATGGAAAATGAATATAAAACAACGCTCGCTGAAGCACGCAACGAGCTGGCGCAATTCAAGTTGGAGGCGTCACAACGTTTCGAGGCACAGCAGCGTCTGCAGCAGGAGGCATTGGAACGTGACTGGATTGCGGTGACCAAACATGAGGAGCTCAAGTGCCAGCTGGTCGACGTGCAACGTACGCTGGAGTTCTATCAGGACAACGAAAAGGAGCTGAAGCAGACCCTCGTTGAGAATGAGTTGGCGGCGCGTTCGCTTAAAAAAGAATTGGATGAAAGCACGCTGCAGGCTTCCAAGGCTATCATGGAGCGCACCAAAGCCTACAATGACAAATTGCAGCTGGAGAAACGGCTGGAAGAGCTTAAGGTGCAACTAACACAGTTGCAGGAGGAGCAACGGCAACATCAGTGCCCACATCCCAGCGATGTCTCCCAGTCCGGCTACACGTCCGAGGAAGTGCCGCTGCGTGTGGCTCACCAGAGAGCCGGCCGCATTAATAATCCATCGCCGGATCTGGGCATAGAGAGTGATACAGGTCGTGTTCTGAGCGTGGAGCTATCCAATGCGCAGCGCACCTTGCTTAAGACGGTGGAGCTAGGTGAGCATAATTCGAACCAAGCTGCTGATATTTTGGATGAAAAGGAGGGTAAGTGTATGAAGCGCACAAAACTGTACAAAAATAAAGATTTCTTTTTGACAGCAGACCTTTCACCCGACACGGAGGCTGTTGCATCGAGTGCTGGGGAATTGCCGCCCATCCACGATTGCGCTAAGGTAGAGCAAGAAAATGCCGATTTACGGCGTAAACTAATACGCACCAAGCGCGCATTTGAAGACACTTATGAAAAGTTACGTGTGGTTAACAAAGCTAAAGCACAAGTCGAGAAGGACATTAAAAATCAAATACTTAAGACGCACAATGTACTGCGAAATGTTCGCTCGAATATGGAGAATGTGTTATAACAATTGATTTGATTTGATTATCATCTTCGAGTGGGTTCACAAATACCATTCATTTCTAACAATTTCCTCTTTCATTTTTACTAATTTTCTTGTTTCTTATAAATGTTCTTGTAAATGTCTGTATATAAGGCACGAAAGCAACGAGTTATTAATACTTGCATTTTTTTAAAAGACTGTGTATAATAAAAAATATATATAATGTATATGTAACAAAATGCAAGTTTCCACCAACTGCACCTAACTGGTATTAAGATAACCAGACACACATACACACATTCGTTCATATTGAATGACCTTAAAATACATAGTTAATTAAGAGCATTACTAACCGATTTTAAACAGTATCATAAACACCTATAGTTCGCTAGAAATAACCCTTTGATAACCCTGATGCCGAATGCCATTTCTTGCCATATCAAACTAAATGTTCTGCAACAATTAAAAGACTAAACATAATATTTTGCTTGAATTAATATTAATCTCTTTTTACCCTCAATTTTGCTATGAATTTTCGTTTTCAGTTAACAATTGGAACGGATATTGAAATTATATTATGATTTATCTGTTTTGAAATAATTTTTCTGCTGTACAACTTGTATAATCTGTAAAGATAATAGACCTAAGCGTTTTGTACCATTATGCTATAGAATAAAATACATTTGTAGTTCGTTTTAAAAATATTGTTCGTAATGGGTATTTACTGTATTCCCGGGTCGGTCGTTTAAATAATAACATTTACGTTCCTCAGGGAAATAAGTATACGTGCATACACAATTTATTAAAAAAAAGTATGTAAAACAAAAGGAACTTTTCAAACTTTATTTTTATGTTGTTGTACTCATAAAAAGTAACGAAAAACAAAAGGATCTAATTATAATATGTTTATAAAAAAAAAAAACAAATGAAGTAATATGGCTTCTTAGGAAATAAGTATATGTGCACAGTACAGTTTCTTAATTTATTTTAAAGAAAACTAATCCCCCTTTATTTTCTTATTTTTCTTTAATAGTTTATATGCTTGCCATTTGCTAATAAGACCTTATTATAAGAGTTGATAAGGTTTTCAAGAGTTGAAGGGTCTATTTGATCCCACTCCTTCAGTAAAGTTTCTTTTAGTTGCTTAATGGTATCAAACTGCCGACCACCCTTGTAAACTTTATTGGAAAGTATGCCCCATAGGTCTTCTATTGGGTATAGATCCTGGCTGATCGCTGGCCATTCCAAGAATGGTATTTTTCTTTCCGATAGAAAGTCTCTAGTTTTGCGTGCAATGTATATTGGGGCGTTGTCTTGCTGAAAGATCCAGTCATCTCCGTACAAGTCACCCGCAAACTCAATTAGCTCATTCTCCAAGAGTTCTACATATATGTCCGCATTTGTTCTTGTCGGTATGAAGCAAATCGAAGACTTTCCAGCATATCCAAAAGCTGCCCAAATCATCAGTGAACCGCCACCATGATTCCGCTTATGTCGAGTCTGCCGCGGTTGTCTTAAATCGCGTCAATATTTATGGCAACAGTCTGGACCATCCAAATTTCTCGTCCGAAATAGTGACATTATGGAATTCATGGGTCCAAAATTTATATTTTTCAGCAAATGCCAAACGGGCGCATATGTGAGGTTTTATTAGCTTGGGTACAGGCTCTCGGGAAGCATATGAAACGTTATTGTTTTCCACTAAAACTTGATGGACTCGTCTTCTAGATATGTTAAGATGTAAATGACGTCTGATCTCAATACAAGATATGCCCTTTTGAATCGCAAGTCGTGAAATTTCCCGTTTACACTGGTCATTAAAAAGGGTCGGTCTGCCGCAGCACTTAATATTACCGTAATTATCGACATTCTTGAGAAAGTTGGTAATCGTATTTCTATGTCGATTTACTCTTTTAGCAATTTCTGCAATTGTGGTGCCGGATAACTGCAAGCCCCTTATCAAACCTCACTCCTCTTCCGATAAATGCATTCCACGTGGCATTTTAAATGAATAATAACAAATTAAACGTTAATTTATTGAAAGGTATATTGTCCGAACCTATTTCCTACTCTTAAAAATGTTTTTATATTTAATTATATCTCCCCGACGCTATACTTCTCTTGCTCACACGGAATTCCACACAAAAACTCACATTTGCACGCAGCACACAATTTAATGGTAACGGTACCTAAAATGAACAGTAACGAAGACTTTGGCATACAAAAAACAAATATAACACACAACAACAAAATCTGGTATACTTTAAAAAAAGTGGAAGTGATATTATTGAAATGAGAGGAAAAAATAAAGATGCACATATACTTATTTCCCTGAGGTATTAGATATTTGGCGTTGCCAGCTGTTTGTCTTTGCAGCCCTGAATCTATAATGATTTTAGCACTTGTAGGGCGTCTGTTAAGTAACATAATCAATTATGTTAACAACAGCTGTTCACGGTAAGTGCTCTGTTACCATTATTAAAAACAATGCTTTTCTGCTAATTAACTGTTTTGAAATATTATTTAGAAACTACATGCTTGTTAATAAAGCTTAATCTAACTTATTTCAAATTGTAGTCTATAAGAAGATTTTTAAAGTATTTACTAAGCATTAGGTATCGGCAGTTTTACAGCCCTTACATTTGGCTCACTGTTGTTAACAGTTTGGCGTAATGTTGCGCTTCGCTATTTATTTGCCAGTCTGTTTACATCTCATGCCTACGCGTGTGTGTTTGTTTTTATTTTCTTTTGTTTCGGCTTATCAATAATTAAAACAATAACAAAATGGGTTTAAGATAATAGCAACAGCTAAAAGTGCATTAGTTACGCAGACTCGGCGTAGTTTCGAATTATTACGTTCGTTCGCGCGTAATTTTATGTGCGTGCGCTTGTGTGTAATTTTTGTTCACACCAGTTGCTCTAATCTTTGGGGGCCTCTGAAGGAAGCCCTACACACACATGGTGTCCCGTTACAAGCTACACGAAGAAGATGCGGATGTCACAGCAGCCCCCGCACCTAGACAAAGCCGCCACTCCAGGCCTGAGTCCGCCGGTCTTTTGCAATCACGTAAGTAAACATTTATCAGTTATCTAAAAATACTCTTGTGTGTGTGTGAAGAACACAGTCTTTATATGATTCATTCAAAGGTAAACATGATAGATAGCTAATAATGAACTAATGAATAGTCTTTCTGTTACACATTTTGTATTTGCGGTATTTTTGATAAGATAGTTGTCATGTGGAACCAAATATATGTGTGCGACTGACTACTAAGTATATAAACTAAAAAATTGAATTTATAAATATATACAAAAAAGGAGAGCTGGCCCATGGGGGGATCGAACCCGCGACCTTCGCGTTATTAGCACGACGCTCTAACCAGCTGAGCTAATGGGCCACAATGTCTATGGCGGATCTAAGGCGGCATATAGAATAAATGCTTGACGTTGTATTGAAATAGAGGTTTCTTTTTATTGACTTAACATACAACGGAAATCAATAAAAAGTTTCATTTGTTTATTTTTTTTCTTTTAATTTTTAGAGAAATAAATTGTACTTTTTAACACGTTTCTGTCTCGATTTTCGGCTATCTGTTTTATATGTCACGACCTGCTGCCGTTTCGTAGTTGACAACTTACACTTCGGCTTCGTGCAGGCGACCACCACACGAAGGACAAAATATTGAGTGTCCTTTTTTTCGTGGCTTGCCCGCAGTTGGCTTTCGGCTTTTGCACGTAGTGGACGCATTTGGCAGGGCGGATGCCTGAGCAATATGGAATAAATAAATATTAATTGTGCCGCCCCTCAAAACGCGAAAATCAGAGCTTATCTGAAGTAATGTAGATATAGCATTCATCTATATCGGCAGACAGTACGAAATGAAAATGGCCTTAAAACCGCCTCCTAACTAAACCGCCAACTGCACTCAGTTCGATAATTTGAAGGCTTTCGCTAATTTTAACTTGTGCATTTACGAATAACAAATGAAATGAACAAACTAACTGTCTGAAAACAAGAGATGTGTAAAGTGCCTTTTGGAAAATCAACAAATCTGATTGTTAGTGCATATAGAACGTATATTCCCCGCCATATAGTAATCGCTGTCAGCGACTGCATATGCGTGACGCGAATAACAACATACCATATATGTTTTTCGAATATTATAAATTTTTGATGTTTTGACTGCAAGTGGATACATTTCGGTCGAACATTGCTGACATTGCTTTCATTTTAAAAATTAGTCTGGAAAGGGCGACGGCGGCCCGAAAGGGCGCCAGTTCTTGGCATTGGCTGTCAGTTGTTTTAGTTCTCAAACACATGTCAGAGCTTAAGTTCAAGGCTATTGTTAGCCGTCTTTTAAAGTCGCCCCACACAGTGCCCACCCGCAGAGGTTAAAGACCTTATATAACTGAAATATGATATAATAAACAAGAATACAACAAATACAACAATTGCAACAAGCTGCTTTAAAGGTGCCTTGAACGACGCTTTTCTTGCGCTATTTATTAAGTGCCTTGGGTTCTGACCCCCACAACATGTCCGGCTGTTATCAGCGCCAGAGTCTGGAGCTGCAGGCTCCACAGGACAGCAGAAACACGCGCACCATTTCGGTGGAGCTGAACAGAAACAACACCACCTCCAGCTGCAATCCCAGCCAGCGACGGCGGCAACAGCGGACAGCCCAGCAACGGCAGGAGTCCTGGTTTCGGCATTCAATGCCGCCGGCAATTAATCGGGACTTTGAATCGTTGGAGCATCTGCAAGCGCAGGAGACGACCAACGGCTTGGACGAGCAGCTGGCGGCCTCATTGAGCAGCAAGCTGCCCGTTCTGAGCCAGACTAGCATACACCTAAACAGTGCCAATAGCAATCTCGGCTTCATCGACTCCGACACACCAAATACGCCCATCACGCCGCTTTCCAACTCGGTGGCGGGTACACTTTCCTCCTGTCAAGCGGCTGCAGCCGGAGCCGGAGCTGGCGGCGACAATGGCTCCAGGAACAAGTCGCGTAATCGCAAGGACTCCAGAGCCTCCATATTATCCAACGCAGCACGCGGCCTGCGCATGACCACATCATTCCTACGCAGAAAACGCAAGGAATACGAAGGTGAGTCGATTGCCAGGAATCAGGAATCATCATTTCAGATGAAAACAAGAAAGAAAAAGTTTCTTTTTGTAAAAATCAAATATGTCTCATTCAGTTAGTTAGCTGTTCCTATGAAACTTATATGGTATTGTAATCCGATGTTGAAAAGATTTATCAGATATGGAAGAATCATAGTAAAGCTCACCATTGAAAAGTTTGCCCAAGATATCTTTAAACAATAAAAGAGTTTTTCTAAAAAGTATTCTTTTCGAATAAAGTTTTGTAGATTGAAAGAAGCAAATAAAACAACTACAATATCAAAACTTTTTTAATTAAAAAATAAAAATATGTTTGAAAAATTTCCTTTAGAAAACAAGCTTAACCCTGAGTTATATTATTAATGTTATTGTTATTTCTATGCTTTTTTCTATGAATAAAGCTATTTGTATGAATATTAAAGCTGGATGAATCACATTCAAAACCCGTATGGAACATTTTTAATTCTGTGGATAAGCAAATTTTGTGCTGTTCTTTTCTATATTCGTCAGAATGATCTGTTAAAGATGTGGTTTCGCTTTGAAAAAAAGTGACTCAAAAGCCAGAGAAATCTTTAAGTAAACTCTGGGTTAGCTCTAAGCTACTCAGATCTAGTGCGAAGAAGAATTTCTTTGCCAAATAAACGCTGAAAGAGTTTTGTCTGATGATCTTAAACCGAAATATTCGTATTGTCGAGCTCCAATTTCTGCATTCTCTTGAATTTTATTGTTATTAGTATATGACATAGTTATAAACTACAAATCTGACTTTTTAATAGTACTTGGCTGTCGTTAAACATGATACATTGGCCATAAATTAGCCTGGCACCGTCTTAATTACATTTTTCCCTAATGCTATTAAATTGTTTTCTGTGCTTGGGCGACCCAAGCGCTGAGCTCCGCCACATTGGCGTAGACGCCCGGATAGTTGGGTAGGGCGCAGCTTCTGCCCCAGGACACGATGCCGACCAGCTGGCCGCCCGATACAAGCGGTCCGCCGGAGTCGCCCTGGCAGGCATCCTTATTGCTAGCCGCCGCACACAACATGGTCGCCCTGACCGTTGCACCATAGCCATAGCTGGAGCTGGCGCACTCCGTGCGACCCACTATACGAGTATTGATGTACAACAGTTTGGCGGAGGACAATCCCTGGTAGCTAGTCGAGCCCCAGCCGGTGCAGGTGGCCGCTGCGCCGTGCTGCGGCGTGCTGCTGGCCAGCGCGATGGTGTTGATATTGCTGCCCAGTTTGAGCTTGGTCGTCAGCCGCACCAGAGCGATGTCGTACATCTTGGCGCTGCTGTTGTAGGCTTCGTGTACCTTGAATGCGGACACGGTGCTGAGGGTGCCGCCAAGGGATTTATAATTGGAGCCGGCGCGTACACGTAAATTGGCCACTGTCACAGTCGATTTGTTCAGGCAGTGGGCGGCGGTGACCACCAGAGTTTGGCTGATCAAGCTGCCGCCACAGAAATGGCCGCCCGAACGCTGCACCGAAACTTGCCAAGGATGCGCGCTAATTGCAGCCGCAGAGCCGCCCACAATGCGTCCATCCAGCTGTGGACTGAGGCCCAGAGGCGTGATGGCCCCACTGGCCAGGGCCAGCACACCGAGTAGCACTATTAGAGTCTTGTAATACATTTCTACTGTCCAAACTTTGGTCTGCCAATGGCATTAAATTCTCGCTGCTCTACTCTATATATTGCAGCTGATTAACCCTATCGAAATTGTTGTTGACACTTAATCCCCATTAAATTTACAATCCACTGTAAATAATCATAGTGTCTTTCACTTTAGCCTGATAATCGTCCCAAAATGCAGGTAATTCTTTAGCCGCACCTGAACCCATATTTCCAGGCGTGACAGCTGCGTCTTTTGGCAAGCAAAAACTTACCAAAATGATATATTGGCTCAGGATCTCTTTAATGGACATATTTTACATTATATCTCTATCATATTGACAATCAGTAAGTTTCATTATCTATTAGTTTTATGGCCCGTAATTAAAATTAACAAGCTCTCATCCTGTTGTGCTTGGGTTTTGCCTATTGTAAATATCAAGACGTGCAGAAACAAACTGTTGCTTGATTTGCCAATATATATATAAAATATATAAAGATAGTAATTAGTTAAATATGAGTCTTAAAGCAGTCAACGATATATTTCTATTTCCAGCCACAGAATTATAAATTGTTCCCACGGCAGCAATATTTCATAGTATTCCCAAGCTCCTTAGATTTTGTATCCATTAATGAATTATAGCTGAGTATTGCAGAGTTTGGTTGAAATATCACGAAAACAAACTGCATTTTCTATAGCCTATGGCAGCTATATAATACAGTAATACGATGTTGGTTAAATATTAATAAATATTTTGCTAGCATGGGAAAACATGTAGAGTTCAATTTCGTCTTGAAAATCAGAAAAGCTTTTTAAATAACTACTATATTATATGGTAGCTATAGAGCTTGTCCGCCCGAAAAAGGCGCCAGTAAACCCTAATTGGAAGTAGTTTATTGGAAAACGTTCGTCAACTGTCACGTAGCCTCCATAAAACCATTTTCTGGTTCCGGTTCAGTAAAAGGGCTGTCCCTATAATTTATTACGTAATCAGCTAATATAAAATATAAACTTTATAAACGGTGTCCTCATTTTCCCCTAGTGGATATTCCATTAAGCTGCTCCTCACTCAGACTCTGAAAGGCAGCTTGTTATTAAAATGTAAATCATAAATATTTAAGAGCTACCCAATCGTCATTTGAGAGCGGACATGTTTTCTCCAGTTCCATTTGCCAATTCTCCGTATATGTATAATATTCAGCAAAACGTTTGAAAGTTACGTGCTTTTTGGACTGTTTCGGTCCATTTGCCTTAACTTTATCCACAGCCGGATCCTTGAGGATAAGAATCGACTTTTGACAGCTTGTATTCATTTTATTTTATTTAACTAGTGAATGGCTTTTTACTTGTGAAATAAAAACAGCTGGTTGCTAAATACTTATATTTGTTCAACCCGAAAAGGTCTTCACAAGTATAATTTCCATATATTCCTTAACTGTTGCACTACACTGGGTTCAGGTTAGAAATGTAATTAAAAGCGTTTGGTGGCAAAACCTTTTAATGCAGCAATCTTTTTAGATAAGAAGTTAAATGGCATTTGACCTGGGTTGCGCCTCTGAGATCATCAATGTCTCAGCATTAACGTACTTGCTTGGATTTCTCTTACTTCATTCTCATGACATCACCGTCGTGGGGGTTGAGAATTTATATCCTAATGGGCCCGACATGAAAGTATATTACTTGTTGTGATTGTGCCGGATACGTTGACATTTTCCAGTCATTGCAAAAAGCTTTTCAGACTCAATTTTTCATGTCCATATAATATACTGCTAGATAGAGGTAGTTAACGACTCGGTTTCCCGTGGTGTTTGAGGCTGCTTCAGGTTTGCCGCTGCTTAAAAAAATCAATGAAAATGCCTTCACATGTAACCGTGTATTCCGGTTCCTTTCATTTGAGCAATAAAAAAGCTATTTAATATGCTCTGAGATACCTTTAAACTTTTGTGGAAAATTAAAAATAAGCAAAACGAAAACTTGGCCCATGAGGGGATCGAACCCGCGACCTTCGCGTTATTAGCACGACGCTCTAACCAACTGAGCTAATGGGCCAGTACGAATGTAGGGCACAGGCAGCAAAAAACTGACTCAAAAACGAAATGCTATTATTCGCTTTGCTGTATTCTATACATAGATGCATTTCTAATGTAATGTAAACAATCAAAAAAAAAATGTATATATTCATATTTAGGTGTATAATTTTATTTATTTGTTATAAACTGTTTATATTTGACGTTGAGCAGCTAACGAATCATGTGACAAGGGTACAACAAAACACAATAACATTACAGCGACAGCTGCTGCGCATGATAACAGTTTATTGTTTCGACACTCGCTCGTACCATATAAGTTTGATTTGCGACAAGCTGTTAGCAAGTGTCAGGATGGCCGAGCGGTCTAAGGCGCCAGACTCAAGGTTGTAAATCTTGCCTCTTAAACAGGGGTTCGTATGAGCGTTCTGGTCCTCTCTGAGGGCGTGGGTTCGAATCCCACTTCTGACAATAGTTTTTTAAAATTTTTTTTAAACAGTAATTATTTAATAAATGTACAGCAATTGTAAACAGCAGATACATTTAATTTTACACACTTTTTTCTATCGTTTAGTGTGGATTTAAGAATATATATATTCAAATAAATATTATAACAAATTATCATATGCAAAATTAAACGAGAATTTCGCTTAGCAATTTAAAATCAGTCCAGGACATTTAAGCTAGGAGCAAGGGATACAAATGTGAGATTTTTTCAGCAGACTTACTAAATACTATTGTATCGACCAGTTCAACAAGTGCCTCCGTGGCGCAATCGGTTAGCGCGTTCGGCTGTTAACCGAAAGGTTGGTGGTTCGAGTCCACCCGGGGGCGATAACTAATATTTTATATTTCGTTACTAGACAATAATTTTATAAATTTTTACCTCAAAAATGTACACCAAATAAATCTTATGTGAACGAAATAAGCAATATTTAATATGTGTTATTGTAAGTACTATACCAACAACAGAATCAATCGAGCTTAACAGTGCAATAACAGCAGCAGCACAAATATGCGCATAGGGTAGTTAGCCGTACTCTAGTGTGGTGGCTTTGAGAGTTTAAATGCATTGACATTTTTGCGCCAGTTTTGTTAGTGGTGAATTCGCCGCTCAGCTGGTGAAATCTGCGGTGTTTTAGCGCTCTTCAGCAATATCTATGTGTGTTGCTCTCTCTTGAGCGCGCACAGGTTAGTCAATGGCGGCATTTGTTCAGTTGCTTTCTAAACTCACGAGCGTTTAGTACGTGAATCGCGTTATTGTTGCTAAACAAACTCGTCGTGCTTAATTGGTGTGAATAATATATTGTGTTTCGTAGAAACGTATTTGGATAAGCGATAA